ATGGAGACGGATACAGCCACTGTTATAGGTAATTTAATGTATACCTATAAGCAACGATAAATCATTGTTTAAAAAAAGACGATTCTGATCGGAGTTCAATTGATAATGATGCTTTATCAACAATATATGTGCCATATTATAGTAAAATTATTAAATAGGCTATATATATACTTTATTTAATAATATTTATTTAATGTTTTACCGATTTCTCCGGTTTTACTACGTTTTTTCCGGTATTTCCGTGTTTTTTCCCACTTTTTCACATTTGCAGGAAAAATTCCTGAGAAAATCGAAAAATGCTCACTCTAAAGTACCTCGTGCCAGAGATGATCTTGCTCCGATTTTCTCAGGAGTTTTCTCAACAAATATGAAATACCTAATGAAAACGGAGGAAAAATGGGAAAGTGTAAGAAATTTAGTCATTAGTTAAAAATATTATAGCTTTCTTTTTTCCTATGAACAACTTTTCTACCAGCAATTTCGCTCCAATTTACAATGATAGTAATTATTTTTAAATAAATTTGACTGGGGAGGTAATTTTTCGATTTTTTCTGAATTGTTCTCTCAAATGTGAAAATCCAGGAAAAAACACGGGAAAATCGGTACATTAAAAAAATATTATTAAAAAAAATATATAATTTCTATTTTATTATCGTACTATAATATGACATATATATTGTTTACAAAGCAGTAATATCTACTAAACTCCACTCAGAATCGTTTTTTCATTATCAATGAGTTATTGATTCTTACAGATATAGATTAAATTATTTTTAACGGTGCACCCGACCCCATTATCCTAGGACGTCTTTTTAAGTGTTTTTTTTTTTTTTGAAATTTGTATGCACTTTTAAGCACAGGACATTGAGTGGGTATAAATTAATTCCTAAATAATCAATTTTGACATTACTTTAAATTTATGAAAGACACCTTTCGTACGGTTCAATGTCATCGTATAATGTGCCCGAGGGCAACGACTTTCTGCGAGTCTATGTAAAAAAAATATCTATTAGTATTTTATAACCAATGGTATGAAATTAAAATATTATTGTTTAGCAATGATGACTGATGTAGAAAAAAATAAAATAAAATGTTTAAAAACTCTTTATTCTTATTAATTAGTTTATTTTTTTTATTTATTTGAAATACACGCCCGAAGGTATTCAATACAGAAAATATATAAAAATAAAATTATGAAAATGTACATAAATAGTGGGAAATAAAAAACAATCGTCAGGAAATCTGTAAGTTTTCTAGGTATATAAATAGTATGCTGTATAAAAGTTGAAAAAAGAATATATTGATTTGTTGCATACTTTGAGAGGAATAAAAAATATCAAAATAATTTTGAAAATTATTACAAGAGACTAGTGTTCTGTTGATATGGGAAAAATAATAGTAGAGTGTTCTGTGCCTAGTAATGTGAAAGGTTGGCTGATTTCTAGAGTTAAAAGTAGGAACAGATAAATTTGATTTTACTAAGAAGAAAACTGTCCTCAATAATGTTATTTAAGATTTTATAAATAAAAATGACGTGATAATATAAACGTCTAGAACTAAAGAATTGACAAATAAAAGTTTTCTAAGAGTTTCATAACAATGATCTGCGACTATAATTGGGAATTTTAGTATTAATAAATCTAAGAAATTTATTTTGCACTCTTTCAATTTTGTCAATCTAGATAAGTTGATATGGTTTACATAAAATGAAGCCATATTTAAGAACTGAACGAACAAAAGCAAAATAAAGAGTCTCAAACGATAAAATATTGTTAAAGTCTCGAGTATTTTTGATAATAGGGCAAAGTATCCGTGATATTTTTATTATAATTGCTTAAATGTGAGTAGAAAAAGAGAAGGTAATTCCAAGATCTATTAAAGAGTCAACTTTAGGAAGGTGATAATTATTGCAGTAATAAACAATATTAATCGGGGATTTATTACAATAAAAAGAAATAGAATATCATTTATTAATATTAACTTGTAGACCATTTTCATAACACCAAGTTCTGAAGTTATCAAAGTCTTTATGTAATTTAGAGCCATCACCTAAAGAATTAATATTGTAATATAGCTTCAAGTCATTAGTGTACATGCTAAAATTTGCATCTTTAAAAAATTAAGCCAACGTCGTTCATGTACAAAATAAAAAGTAGTAAAAGTATGACCACCCTAGGGGACACCCGAGAGGACTGAGATGTTATTCAAAATATAACCATTTAGCATTACCTATTGAGAATGACCAGAAATATATAAGCTCAACCAATTTAACATGAAATTATTAACACTCGTCAATTTTAATTTATGAATCAGCACAGCGTGGTTAATTGTGTCAAATACTTTACTGATATCAGTACAGATAGTATCAACCTGACTACCGTTTTCAATAACATAAATTAAATATTTATGATACGAAATTAAGTTTTAGGAAGCAGACGTATATGTACGGAATCCAAATTGTTACGGTATAATATATTTATAAAAAGTGAAACTTGAATGAAAGGAATTGAAGACATAATGCTAATAGGTCGGTAGTTTATAATATTAGAACGATCTCCGTTTTTAAAAACTGGGTTGACATAAGATTTCCATAAGTCTGAAAATGTGCCTGAAGATAGCGGCAATGTAAAAAAATAGTGTAAAAGAAGCGTTAAAGCATATCTACATTGTTTTAAAACAATTTCAGGGATAGATCCAGGTGTGCTATTATATTTACATTTATCCAGTCCCACAAAAACTTCTTGGACAGTAATATTGATTTTAGAGAGATCAATACAATCAGGGAACTTAACCCTTACTTAAATTATTGGTTGGAGGACTAAGGTGTGAATAGGCAGAAGAAAAGTGTTCATCAAATAAATTATAAATATTTTACTCGTCCTGTGCAGCTTTATTATTTAAATACATAATTCTAGGAAAAGTATTTAATTGTTTGCCGTCTTTAATAGATTTCCAAATTTGTTTAGGATTATTAACCAAAGATAATTGTGCCTCAGATATAAAATAAATATAACAAGATCGAGAAAGTAGTTTGCATGCAAGGCGAAAGTTTGAAAAAATAATTTAATCAGAGTTATTTTTAGATTATTTAAATTTAAAATGTGTTTTTTTTTTCGTTTATTAACAGTCTTAATTCTTTGTTACTAAATTGGAAATATATTTATAAGATAAAATAGGAACGTGTTTTAGCAAGATCGCATGATAGATGGAGTAAAATTTATTAACAGGTGTGTCAGTATCTATATTATAAAATGTTAATGATCAATTGATACTATTTAGTTCATAGATAACATAAATAAAATTTACTTTTCTAAAATTCCATGTGCTATACTTAGGAGTTAATTATTATTGGTGGATGATGGTTATCGAAGGGGACGATAGGGTCCAATGATAAAGAGACAGATAACAAAGAAAAGGATGAAAATACAAAGTCTAATAGAGAATTATTATGATTAAGAATATGGTTGAATTGACGAAAGTTAAAATATGAATATCCGAAACTAATAGAGTTGGATTGAGTAGTGGATCGAGAAAAAGAAACCCCGGAAATAGAATTAAGTTCAAAATGAGCTGATGACAGGTTAGTCACCAACGATAATAAATTCATGGTCAGCATAATTCGTACGAAATAATTCCACAAAATTAATGTGATTGTCCTAAGTAACAAGGTTAGAAAATGGGAAATGTAAACACCACCTATAAATAAATTCTTATTACCGACAGACTAAATTGAAAAGTTGTTCGACATTATTTATTGGCACAGATAACACTTTAGCGGCATATTTATTATCAATTGCGATAAAAATACTGCCACCTCTAAGGTGAGGACTAGTATTTACATTCCTGTCAAAGTGAAACAGTTGATAACAAATTAAACCTAATTCAGTGTCCCATAAATCTGCAGTGAGCCAACTTTCGGTTAAAATAATATAGGCAAAATAGAACACAGAACAATTACAACACAAAATATATAATTTAGTACGTAAATCACGGACATTTTTGTAATGACCAATGAAATTAATAAACTTATCAGCTAACTTATTAATATTAAAATAAACGTTACTATTATAGTTAAGTAAAGACGGAGTTGGAGCTTCATTGAAATTGGACGGGCGTGAATGTATTGTTTTGTCCGTATCAGTGTATAGAACAAAAAAAAAAATAAAAATTGGTGGTATGTGGGTTTTCCACGTAATAGAAGTGTTCTAGTGTATTATACACTTTTTCATTCGTGTTACTATAGATACCTGCATAACACAGGAATTAAACTATATTTATAGTTTATTAAAAGGCGGACATGTTATTCTTGTTTCATCGTTATTGTCGTTATTATTGTTGTTGTCTCCGTTATTTTCATCTTTCAACTATATTTTGATCATGCGTTTGTGAAAGATTGTTCCTAGATAAGCGCATCTTCTTGGTACTATTTTTGAACGATTAAGGTTTGATTTCCTCTGCATTAGCATAATATGATATATAAAAAAAAAAATAAAGAAAAAGAACGTGGCTGTTCAAAGCAACAAACAAAAATTGTGATACGTCAAAAGCGTAATTCACTACAGATGTCGTAAACTGTACGATAATGACATAAATAATACAGTACATATAAGATATTATAATTGGAAAGAAACCATAGATACCATAGATATGTTTTGACAATAGATACCAACCCAGTACAGCACATAGTTTTTTTAAATTTTATCCGTGTTACTAAGGTATACCGGTATACAATTTACACATTTATTTTAACTAATAACTAATTATTTAATAGCTTTATCGGACTAAATGTATGCCTAAAACCTGCTCTGTGATGTCCTCTTTAATTTAAAAAAAAACTGCATGGCGATTGATTAAGTAATTTCGTAGCCAACCTGTAACAAAGATTTACATTTTCGTTTTTATATATATATAGACCCATGATTTATACTTGCATATTACATACAGTCTTGACCCCCCAATGCAAATTTCATGCACCACACGATTGTTGTTATAAAATAGGTGTAATAATATTCCGATGCGCGGCCGAATCGTTTAGTCGCGTTTATATGATCGTGTACAACAATATATATAATTATTCACATTGACGAAAAACACTTACATCGTAACTACGTACAATTTCATGATTGATAGTTTTACAATTTTTCCCCCTTCCGATTCACCCTCCAAAAATGGATAAAATATAAACATTCGTACCTATAATACAGTTTACAACCAGATGACTTTCATCGTTCATTCTCCTCCGAACTGATCTCTAAAAAGGTAAGATATACAATAATAATAATAATATTATATCCGTACAAAGTGTATACCTATCTATACTGACTGCAATACTTTGATGTTTGAAGTTTATACGTGGTATAATATTTTATAGATTCCGGAATGAAACGAGCTAGTGTTATAATAATATATATATATATACATACACACAAATAGGAAATAGGAATGTATTTATTGATTTTACAATGAAGTGTGTGTATATATGTAGTTTTTATGTTTTTTCTTTCTGGATAGTAAAAAAAGTACCTCGGAAGTTTTTATTAGAATATAGAATTAACTGACTGTGATGTCCAGATAAATGAAAAACTAAAGCGAAAAATTACTGAGCAAAAACACTATTTTAGTAATTTGGTTAAGATTACTACCATAATAATTCCCAAATTTTAGATTCTGAATGGAGCGAGAATTGTATTGGTTTTACAATGATGTATTTTTTTTTACCTCTAATGATAGCAAATTTTCTGAAAGGAAATCTGACTGGAGTTGTACTTTAAGGAGGTAGTTTTTCAATTTTCTCATAGGTTTTCTCATAAAATGTGAAAATCCAGGAAAAAACATAGGAAAATAGGGACAAACGTAGGAAAAACGGGAAAATCGGTACATTAAACAAATATTACTAAAAAGATTATACAATGCCTATTTAACTATTTTACCACAATATGACATATATATTGTTCACAAAGCATTGGTAATCGCCTAGGCAATCTTCCGTGTACGGGACAATGTGATTTAGTAAGACCCTGGAAAAAACCTTATACGCAGAGTTCAAAAGTGATTTGTCTCTATAATTGTCACATCTATTCTTATCTCCTTTTTTTGCAATGGTAATGATTGCTTCATTCAAACTATCCGGTATTCGTTGTTCAATCCATATTAGCTGATACAGTCTGTAGATTAGTTTGTGCAGCTCTTCACTTCCATATTTTGTGAGTTCTGTAGTTTTTCCGTTCCCGTATGAAAACTTCTGTAGTAATTCTGAGTAAACAACCAGAGTTATGATTCATATGTTATTATTATGAATTCTTTAATGCGATTACGTAAAATTATAATAAAAATAATATCCATTTTCCCTATCATAACATTCGAGTTCCAAGTTCGTGTCCTTTGGATAATAATATTATAATATAATTTTAGTAGAATTCAAAGAACCCACGATAGAAACAAGGTCAAACGTAATTTTTAAGGATTTTATAAACAATTTATACAGTTACTCTTTGATATTATAAATTTTTAATATTTAAAATAATCATAACTGTCGGGACTTAAACAAGGCCGTTGTCGCAGCCGATAACGACGCATGCTCTAACGATGACTTCGCTAGTTGTTGCGTTACTATCAACGACAATCCTAAAATATACAATTTTACGGTCACAAAATTCAGTTTTCAGAATAATTGTTGTGAGTTAATATAATATTTAAATTCGCTGTAAATGTATAACACACGGTGACTCCCGAGCATTTGTCTGTTTGTCTGTTTCCGACCGCTACGCCGCACCTGCATATTATTGCGAACGACTGGTAATTTTGTCAAATAATAGTCGGTTTTCATTACCATATTTATTATTTTTTGTTTAATAGCTCTAATAGCTAATATTTTCATTGTGTTTGTTTATATTATTTGTCTGTACAAGTCGTCGCCACTGATTGTCATCGATAGCGTTGGCTCAAATAACCAAGACAATTTATATTTTTTTATTTTATCTTATACTGCTGGCTCGAATAGCCTTTCGTAGAAGTTCTGTTTTTTTACATATTTAAGGTAGGTAAGCAGCTGACCAGTCTACGCTTTGTATATCTACTATATGTAACATTTTTTATATTATTTTAGATTCAGAGTGGAATGAATAAGCTTAAAGTTTTACAAGGACGTTTATTTGTTTTTTCTTTATCTGTGTGCAACTTTTTTATCAGAAACCTTGCTCCAATTATTGAGTGTAGTATCTTTTCTGAAAGAAAATCGGTGCGAAAAAATACTTGAGAAAGGTAATTTTTCGATTTTCCCAGAAGTATTCTTAACAAATGTGAAAAATCGGGAAAAGAATATGGGAAAACCGAGAAAAACGTAGGAAAAAGGCAAAAATAGGAGATAATAAAGCTAATCAAATTCTGTTTTAGTTGAGCGAAACTGAAAACCGAAAAATATAAGACATGGAGATATTAGTTAAAATATAATGCGGCCTTCTTTTTTTCTGTGCAGTGACTGCACCCACGTGCGAAGTATGTTCGGTTTTTTTAAATCAAATCTAGATGTCTGTAAGTCTCAGGTAGTTTTTTTAGATAAGTGATAAAAATATTGAAATGTAGAAAATTAGCTAAAAGTATATATTTTTGCATTTCCCACCTGCCTAAAGGAAAACTATTTTTAATTTTAGACAATCTGGCTGAAATTTGTTGTGCTACTATTTGAGTGAAATACATTGTTATTACCTTTAGCTTACGTATATACGCAATGAAATATCAAATAAAATCACCACCATGGGGGAAATAATGTTTCACAGGTGATATTATATTACTCTATGTAAGGTTTGAATAATATATAATACAAGACGTAGGTATATCGTACTTCAACTCGAGCCTATCCATTTTAGTTTTAGACGTCGGTATACGGTCTGTAGTCAAACACGTCGTTTTAACACGTGAAATCAATACCTACTGCTTATTAATACATCTTTATGTAGCTACTTCAACATTTTATGAAAAATTTTCCCTCTTCGAATGAGATTTTTTTCCATTCAACTTTTGACAATAATTTCAGTATGTGTAGGTACCGTTTATAATGGCTTTATTTCGTTTTATATGAACTACTATAAAGTTCACTTTCTTTTTTTTTTAATCTTTAACACGTTTTGTTTTGTGATTATTTTCCGTAATATATATTTTTTGTAACGTACCTATGTACCATTAATAATCAATTAAGTATACCTACATTTTAATTTTAAATACCTATATAAAGTCTACAAAGAAAGATTTCTTTTAATAGTAGTACCATTTAACTAAAAATATTTCGATAACAAGTAAAAACGTTAATTTCCGTCTCACAGTAATTTCTATTTAATTGATAGTTGTTTTTTTATGTTTTCTACAGTAATACTGTCTTTAAATTTACTCTCATTAAATTCACCCAATTTCGACCGTTTCTTATATACATTTTTAATATTACATAGAAAGCTAGTAAAAATAAAATATTTTATTTCAAAATTTTATTTTTTACTAAACAATTTATGTCGTTTAACTACGTTCATTCTAATGTATAGTAATAACTAATAATTATCAACTTTTCTTCTACTAAATGAAGAATAAATAGACAATATATCTAAGAACCTCCTATCTGCTTTTATTTTTTAAATTTTGTACATTGAAAACGATTCTATTGTAAGTCTAAAGACCATACAAAGGTCACCTTCAAAAATGATTTTTGGTAACGAATTTTGTCTAGTTAGTGATTTTAGAAGATCATTCTATCATTTATTTACTTTTATTAATAATGCGGAAAAACCGGAAAAAAATTACATTCAAGCAATAATGGATTCTATTCATTTCGATGTGGTTCTACTTATCAGTGAAAAATAATTACAGAAACCTGAAATTTTCATCAAATAATAATATTACCACTTTCTTGGCGTAATACGACTTTTAAAATATGCTGGCGTGGTTTTAGTTATTTGCATTTTGCGTACAACTGCTTAAGTACCTAGTTACTATTGAATATTTTCCAATTGTTTGTTTGATAAAACTTTTTTTGCTCAAATAAAAGTATTTAACAATTTAATCATTTTTAATTAAAAATAACCATGGATCTCTCAATACTAATACAATTATTAAACCGTTATTTAGGTAGGTAGTTTCTAAACGATTAAATTCTAATCAATTAGAAATGCAATGTGAACTAAATAGGTAGCCGCTTATAACCTCTTCGTTTCGCATTATTTTTATTATGTACATGGTTGATGTGTTAATTACTCTACGATATAATATAATTATGCATAATTGCCAATGTATAGCTAACGTATACTTTACCTACTTTATGTTAATCGTGGGTTTTACACGTTATTTTGACGTAGCTACATAAAAGAAGTACAAAGAATAATAATTGTATACACATTTATACCTACCTACCTATTTTGGAAGCAGATTAAATTCACAATATAAAGATCGATGATATTAAATGTACACAAATATTAACTCAATTTTCCAACTGCTACATAAATATTCTTTTTATGAATTTCAAAAAACAAAACGTTTGTACTTTAATAAAACGTGATTAACTTATATACTTTACGTCTAAAACTCAATCGTAATATTACGATATACGGTATAAATCTACGATATTAATTATTCGTTGAAAACCCGTACCTTTTTTTTTTTTTATCCTATCGATGAAATACTATAATTCCTTTCAGTTATCCCACCATTTAACATATGTTACCCTTATTATTAATACGTGTAAGTTAGTGGAGATGTACTATAGATACTTACGTTGGTACGCATAAAGCCCCGAGGGTAATGAACATTTTTCTATCGACCTTGTAATAATCGTTCTTTGCAGCTATCTATGGTATAGATATACCTATGTAGATATTTGTGTCATTTACTTAAACATTAAGAGGGGCGAAGAGGGTACTCTTCTGATCAAATTAATTTCAATGGTCCGAACCATTTCCTATGTCATTTGCACGAAAACTACAACAACAATACGCGACCAAACATGAAAAATATAAATTATTATGTATGTGCTAGTAAATTTACTCAGAAATAAGTTTTAAACTACATAGTGCTTTTCATATTTTAAATATGTTTTATGCGTAATTTTATAATTTAATAAATTTAATTAAATTGTATACTTGGTATTTTATCTCGTACTTTAAATCTTAATTAAATATAGTGTAGAGAGTTATACTTACGACTTACGGGAATATCCAAAGAAATAATAAAACGATATTCAAGTGAAGCAGACGTAGTTATTTCTGTTTAGTTCAATTGTTACTAAACCTATGTATATGTATTTAGAAGACTATTAAATTGATCAAATAACATTGACAGTAAAGACATTTCCTTTTGAGTGTGAACATATTTTCAATATTTTGAATAGGTAGGTATGTATATTAAATATTTTCTTAAAGTGTCTATTACATTTTATATTTATAAAATAATCTAGGTACTTTGTAGGAGTGGCACCATAGATATTGTCTATTGGCGTTAAAAAAAATCCTCGTATTATGATAAATTTATTTGATTTAAACGAATAAAATTTCTCAATAAATAGTTGGTAAATCAAGTGTATAAAAAAAAAATGTCAAAATTGCCCATAGGCAAGATATTTGTCAATACAATGATATCATAAAATAATATTATTTAATATAATAAATATAAAATATTATTTATTTTTGTATTTTATAGTAACTTGGAAGATTAACACAATGACCAATACTACTTACGGTGTGGACTTTATAAATTTGATTGTAGATACACAAAATGGCATCAAAAATTTATTAGACAAAGAATTAAAATTCGGTAAGTATATGGTTTACAATGATGCTTTTTTTTTATCTGTGAACAACTTTTCTAACAGAAAACTTGCTCTGGTTTTCAAGTGTATCACCTTTTCTAGAAGAAAATTTTATCTGGGTGTTATATATACTTTAAGGAAGCCATTTCTTGATTATCCAAATGGTTTTCATAATAGTTGAGAAAAACCGAAAAATTTGCGAAATTTATTATTTTCAATTTTGTTTCTTCGTTGTGATTCAGTTAAATATAATATTCGTAAAGACTTAAAAATTTGACAGAAAACTTATATTTGCCTTTTCTAGGCGTGGTCAAATTTTCAAAACATTTTAGTCATTTTTGAGCTATGGATAGATATTTTAATTTTGCGAAATATAGTGAAATATAGAATTTTTTTTTATAAAAATTTTAACATCAAATTTTGACGAAAATCGTAAATATTACGGCCTTTCAAAACAAACAACCGAACGCTACTCAGGATCTTTTTCGTTAGCAGTAATTAATTGTTACGTATACATATACATTAAATTATCCTCTATATTCTACCTTCACAACTTCTCACCAAGAATAGTGTCCCGCCCATAGTGCAAAGTATGTCCGTCTTTTTTTAATACACTATTGCAGTGGCGTATCCTGTTTTGCCACCGCTCCATAATTCTCAAATTATTTTTTTTTTAAAACATAATTTTAAATTTATGATTAGTAAAGCAATAGATGGACACGGTGAACATAGATGAGACTAGATAATAATATAGGTGTAATCGAAAAAATAATCGTTGGTAGGTAAAACCTACCTATAGGTTATAGGTATTATTATTAATTTATAATAATTGAGTAAATCAAAATGCTAGGGCGATTTATGACATGAATATTATGGCTTGAAAAAATAATTAACTTGTTTTCAACTGGGCATAGTTAATTTTATGTTCCATCTTAACTATAAACTTATCGGATTCAATTTTTTCTTTGTTAACTTTTAACTTTTAACTGAAAGCAATTTAATTTCGGCGTAACTACGACCTTTTTTTGTGAAGTGATATGAATATTTGTTGAAAATATCAAGACAAATTATAGCTAATATACATTATACTAGATATATTACACAATATTAAACTACTAGTGCAAATATTAAATAACAAGGGAGCTAAATTAATAAATAAATACGCTACCATGATAAGCTGGTAAGCTATTTTGCTGATTTCTCCATCTGCTCTATTGAATTTGTCTACAGCGCTGCTCTGACATTATATTTATCTCCTAATTGTATATTTATATGAAATAATATGCATACTGTATTTATAATTTATTTTACAGACGATACAGTTGACTCATGGTTTTTTATGAGTACACCATGGCCAATGTTATCGATTTTGACGGTTTATTTATTATTTGTATTGAAATTAGGCCCAGAGTTGATGCAAAACCGTGAACCGTTTAAAATAAAATATATAATGATGATCTATAATCTTATACAAACCATATATAATATGTACATTGTATCACACGTGAGTTTATTTTAGATATTAAAAAACTTTATTTTTTAAATCAAATTTAAAATAAGTACCGTGTATATATTTGTACCTAATATATAACATTACATTTTACAAAAAAAAAAAAATAATATTCATTATTTTCTATACTTTCTATATTTGTTTTTTTTTTTTTAATGTTAACCTTATATGCCTATATTATATTAACGCGTATCATACCGAACAAATATTTTGGTTTTTAAATTTAAAAAAAAAAGTATCATACTATAAATAGTTTTTTAATATTATTTATAGATGGGTTATGTCAATTTCCCTCGGGTCCCTATAGTATTAATGGAATTCAACGCAATAAAGTTGTCTAAGTCCACATCTGTATTGAGTTTTTCGTCTTTTCGTTTAAATATCCCTAGTCTGATCCTTTTCCCCTGTCTCTCAGCCCCACATCAATAATCACTCAAACGATTCGTTTTTCCTCGATTCGACAGTATTATAGCTATATCTGCAATATCAACCGTTCTTCAAAAACCTTGAGTTCCATTATATATATTCTATATTAATAATTTTAGTTGATACTTCGTACCCACCATCTACCACCGTCATTCTGTACTACCATCACATGGGTGTTTTAAAAATTTTCTGAATTCCATCTCGTGTTGATTGTGCTAATAAAATGATGATACCTAATAAATTATAAAAACCCGATATGATTCCTCATCACACAATTTCTAATTACATAAACCAGATCAAATTTGTAATTACATTATTTAATGTTGTTATGTTCAAACTACAATAAGCAATAATCAAAAACATATTTTCAAATAGATAAACAAATTTTTAATAGAGGAAAATATGGTCATTAGAAAATTAAACAATTTTCCCGTGGTCATATTTTCATCTAGCTATATTTGTATTTAACTATAATTTTCTCGGGCTTAATAGAAAAACTAAAAGCTCATAAAAAAAGTTCATGTTTTTCTTCTAACCTTACTTTCTTCCGCAAATTTTTCTATTTAACCTTTATTACCTAAACTCGAATAGAGTTCATAAGGACGGAAAATCGAAATTCACAGGTATACTCGTAAATTCTGACAAACTCCTGAAAATCACATAATTAAATAAAATCCACTTAATAGAAATAATAGATAGGTGTACCTACTTTACAAAATGTTATATTTATATATTTTAATGTTATTAATTTGTGGTTTTAAATAAAATATTACAGATATTCAGGGTACCTGGTATAGCCTCTTATTTATATACCAACGCGTGTCATCCTGTTGGAAATGATGACGAATTCAACTTTTTATTTAAGGTGGTAAGATAACGTATTTTTAATAAGAAAATATATAGATACCTAACCAGGTACCAATATTATTTATTCGTATGAATTTAAACGATTTCAGTTTTTCGTATTTTAATCGGAAAAAAAAATTTAAGGTTATAATAAAGTAGGTATCCCACCTATAAGTATCTATATCCTAAAAAATCAACTGAACATCGCGTTTAAATATAATTATTATATTAATTTCATGCACCGGAATCATTCATATAGTGAACTCAAAAATCGTAATTTTATTTTATTAACGATTTTAAACTACTATAGTATAACGAATTATTAGTTCTGACTTATATTACACATTACTTATTTTATTTACAGTACTATGAACAGTCATGGCATTTCTTTATAAGCAAATTACTTGATCTTTTCGACACTGTAAGTATACAAATAAACTATTCTATTTTAATGATATTTTTATCATATGCTAATAATGAGATAAGGAGCTAAAAAACAATCTAAATATTAAAAACATTTCTAACTGTTTCATTTTGAACTCCATAAAACTTACTATTCAAACCTTTGATGTAAAAATTAAATATGAATTTTAAGTAGTACTATTCAAAAAAGTATTACAATTGTAGTACTTAGCTTTAAACTCGTTTTTATTACGACTATCCAGAAATATATTGAACATGTTTTCTAATCAATGTACTATATACATACATTTAAATTCATCCCACGAGAAGCGGCAGCTCCCACCCCCTCCCCGTCACTTGATACACACAATTATATTTATAAATAAAATAAATAATAACTAGGTAACTTTAACCTTTATTTAAGTGTATATGTAGTAATGTAGTATTTAGTGTAGTACTTTAATAATGTATTTCAAATTTTCAACTAAATACCAATATATGATGTTTGATTTTAGGTATTCTTCGTGTTGAGAAAAAAACAAACTCACGTATCATTTTTGCACGTTTATCATCATGTGAATATGGTCATTACTATATGGACGTTTTTAAAATTTATCAAATGTAAACTTAAACTTCCGAAATAAGTATTTATTCGATCGTGTAATTTTAAATTTAAATTTTAACCACAATTAACTGAAATGAATATATAATCTTCCGATCGACATATTATAATATATAGACACGTAAATAATTGATATTTGACTTAGATTAACATGAATAACTGGATTTTGTTGACTTGTATGTATACAAAAAGACAGACGTACTTCGTATAATGGGTGGGCCACTGTTGAAGGTGAAACGTTAGGATATAGAGAGAAATTGAATGTATATCTGTATGCAGCAATTAATCATTGCTAACGAAAAACGATTCTGAGTGGAGTTCAGTGTTACATATTTTTAATGGCCGATATATCAACGATTTCGTCAAAATTTGATGTTAAAATTCTTATAAAAAAATTCTACATTATTCTCTATTTTATTTTTTTTTTACCTCAAAAAAAGATATATAGTGAACCTCATGTTAAGTTTTCAAGCATTTCTGTCTGGTCTAAAAATGTTATCAATGGAGTACTTACCGAATAAAAATTATGTAAAGAACTAGTCAAATTAAAATGTCAATAAATAGCTTTAAAAAAATGCTAAAATGTACTAAAATTTGATCACATTTAGAAAAGGTAAATATAATTTTTTTTTCGAAATTTCAAGTCTCTACAAATAATTAAAAACCGCTTAGAAAATAAAAAGAATACGTTCATAAAGTATCACTAAGAAAAAATTTCCTTACAGAAAAAGTGCTACAATTCAAAATCGTAGCAACATTTTTTTTGGCATCATACGCTGATTTTGCTAGGCACGGCACTGTAAAATATTATCATAATACTATTATTTCGTATTATATCATACTAAATATTTTTAATGTTTGAGGTGAGAACGATTGGCTACAGTAAAATATTAAAATAAAAACTAGGTAAAATATGAAAATTAAAACTGACTGAATTATATTGTTGACAACTGTTAAGTTTGCTAATAATTGTAAATGTTAATAATTTTTAATTTTTAAAAAACTACGAACAGGTTAACCTTAACTATATTTTTAAATAATATAAATAATACGGTTATTATATTCTATACGCAGGTCATCAAGGAGTCCCTTGTGGTATTCTGAACGCGACCGTTCATTCGATTATGTACAGCTACTATTTTCTTTCGGCTTTCGGTCCTAAAATGCAAAAATATTTATGGTGGAAAAAATACCTGACCCGTTTACAAATTGTAAGTGTACTTATACATTTTTATTAGGTGTCTGCATGTTCGATTCATGATATTTCAAAACATTTACTAAAATAATATTGTATTATTTTTATTTTCAGATTCAATTCATAATAGGTCTTGCATACGGAACATCCTTATTTATTTACGATTGTACTTTTCCGAGATTGTTTAGCTTTTACATGATATTGGACGTCAGCCTATTTTTGTATTTATTTTTGAAATTTTATAAAAAGACTTATAATACAAATAAAAAGTCTCAATAAACTTGAAAAGCCGAATAAAACATCACGTTAAGTTATATTTAACGATATTAAAGATCTCCTTAATGATTCGTCTCGACGATAATTGGATTAAACTTGCTGTATTTTAATTCAATACTTTGTTCATTTTAAAACAGAATACAAAGTAAATAATAAAACCATGTTTCATATTTGTATCAAAATTATACAACGATAGACAAATATCCATCTCACAGAGACTTTTTCATGTTTTATAGAACATTTAAGAAACAAACAGCTCTACAATTTTATATTATATTTTTTCACCCTTATTTTTGGGGTTAAAATCACTACATACTTATGATTTTCCTATATTTTAACCTATATTAAGAACTAATATAAATATATGTAGTATTAGTTAAATACATGTTGGTGTTAAAATTTTTGATTTCCGTCAATCCGTTCACGAGATATTCCACTTTTAAGTTTAGGTAAAGGGAAAGTAATGATGCATTACTAAAACACCACGCGCCGCTCCACTACACAAATGATGTTCCACTACTCACCCTTTACTGAAACTTAAAACTGGGATACTTCGTCAACGGATTGAAAAACAAGAATGTTAAAAATAAAATTTATTTTAACTAATACTCCAATTATTTATGGAATTTTTAATATAGGATGTCACTTGAAAATCAAAAGTAGGTATAGTAGTTTAACTTCCAAAAGTTAGGTTTACAAAAAATAAAATGAGCATAAAATTACAGAGCTTCTTGTTACTTAAATTTTCTATAAAACAAATTCCGAAAAAAAATATTATTTTCCGAGATAATATGAGTCTTTTGATGGATTGATCACTCCACTCTGTATATTAAGTATTACAACGTAGTCATACCGATCATTAATAAGTAAAAAATTAATTTTATATAAATATTAATATCTTATCTATATAAGTAGTCGTATAGAAAAATTGAAGATTTTTCAAGTTTATGATCTATATTGACTTTATTACAGAATTTAAGTACTTGTATATTTTGATTTAATTCGATAATATTATTTTAATTTATTCGAAAGAATATAATATGGCTAAAATTATTATTTAAAAATAAACTGTTGTAAATGTATTATTTTTTGACTGTCTACCAATTATCTCATTTTTCTACATTTTAGATTCGAAGCATGTCAAATAATATGTTATCAAATATCAATCCTAGTAATTTAAAACAAGGCTATTATCAAATAAAAATGTGTCATAAATTTTGTTAATACTTAGTTAATCATTTGAAAAAAGTGAAATTAGATAAGATTTCAAATCCTTAAATAAAAAATAAATATAATAAATTTCCCTTTGTATAACTTTTTTCCAAATTTCTTTCCTTTTTCCCTTTTATTAAATTAAAGTTGGAAATTCTCCTCTAAATAGGAAATTTCCCTTGGAAATCACATTTTTTTTTTTTAAAATAAAGGATATAGATGCCGATAAAAAAAATAAATTAATTTGTATGTATTACCTTTTTTTTGTACGCGGTGGAGTATACCTACGTGATTTTTGAAAGAGAAGGATTAAAGAAATAGCATCATAGGGATAAATTTGGACTACCGTAACTCCTACTCCTAAAGACAAATTTGCATACTTAAGATATTTTAGGAAATTCTAATTTTTGTTCAACAATAATTAGGCTTTATAAAAATACATTTTCACTTATGATTTTTTTTTTTTCAATCAAAACCAAAAACACTATTATTACAATAGTAAACAAAATTATATTATGAAACCATGAAGACTGTTATATTGAAAAAATCAAAATAATTTTAAAAAAATAAGAAGTAAAATAATGCTAACGGCACGTAGTGTCCCCAAGCGGTCACTCAAGTACTAACTACTACATCCGACGTTACTTAACTTCAGTGATCGGACGAGAATTGGAGTATTCAATGATGAAATTTTTCGCTATCAAGTTATTTGAATATCTACTCATTTATGTCAATTATAATTATAATCTGTTTTGATTATTTAATTGATACTATGGTACACAAAATGTATAAAAACATTAAATAAATATTAGCATTAAGTACCAACAATATAAAATTTCAAAAATTTCAGTGTAAGTAAATTAAATAAATTTAACACATAAACAATACACTTTAAGATATTATGTCTCTGCTTGTTTTCATTAAATCTTTTCTCTTCGTTTGTACGTTTTTTTGTAGAATTTAACGAATAAAAAAAGAAATACGGCCACGTCGGCCAATATGTAAGCTATGAACGATTTAGGAAAAGTGCAATTAAACGCGAATAGGCTTACGCAGTATGATATACCGAATAAAAATTGTACCTGTAAATTACAAAACAAATAAAATAATTGTTGAGTGATCTATACATGAAATACGTTCATACACTCACAATTTGTATACGGGTCAAATATTTCTTCCACCATAAATATTTTTGCATGTTCGGTCCGAGTACGGTCAGGAAATAGTAACTATACATAACCACGTGAACAAACGAATTAACAATGGTACCGTAAACGGCATTTTCGCCTGTAAATCATACACTTTGGTAAAAATTATTATAATCGTACATTTAAATTAGATATTGTATTAAGGAGGACGTCACAGTTACATTTACCATATTTGTCTTTCTAACAAGTTATTGCTAACAAAGCAAAAATGTATTTTCGAGAGTTTTACCGGTACTCCAGTTTGTGTATAAACATACTGTGCAATGTTACATGACCCGTTGGTTTCTGATTGATTCAAATTTGCCGTCGAATTTATTTTGCTTTTTAGCTATCAACACGTTTATTGCCGATTTTTAATATTTTGTGCTTCTAGGGGCCCAGCGAGGTCATTCAATCGTTGTGCTTGCTCGTATTGATTTAAATGAAAAACCTACGATTTTTTGTGCAAAACCACGTCGGATAGGTAATAAAGGAAAAACAAATGCATTTTTGGTGCACCTAGAGATCCAGTAAAGTCATAACGTGGTATGATTCCATATGATCGACATATTAAAAAGCGGCAGCAAACAACATGTTGATAATTAAAAAATAATCTGCGGAAAATTTGAATCAACCTATTATAAAACAGCGGGTAGTATAATAGCGATATACCATGTACAGTATGATAATATGCCTCCAAAGACAGAACAACATTATTTTCGTCAAATTAAAAACAACAAAATGTATTGTAATATGTTTTCATTTTGAAATTTATTATATTTTATATACTATGATTCGAAAAAAAAACCGCATAACGATCGAGTGCCTATCAATATAAAAAGTCTGGGCAATGGATATCAAAATAATCTGAGAAAACTTAGTAAATTTTATGGTCCGTTGAATTAATCGTAAATTTTGTGTTGAATTTGAAAATTTGAAATAACTATGAAATATTTGAAAAAACGATTCTGAGCGGAGTTCAGTTGATAGTGATGCTTTATCAACAATATATATATATGTCATATTATGGTAAAATAATTAAATAGACATTATATAATTTCTTTAATAATATTTATTTAATATTGTATCGATTTTCCCATTTTTCCTGCGTTTTTCTCGGTTATCCAATGTTTTTTCCCGGATTATCACATTTGCTAAGAAAACTCTTGGCAAAATCGAAAAATGACTTCCCTAAAATACCTTCTAAGTCAGATTTACTTTCAGATAAAATGCGATCATTGTAAATCGGAGCAAAATTGCTGGTAGAAAAGTTGTACACAGAAAAAAAAAGGCCATAATATTTGTTTACTAATACATTTCTACATTTCGTACATTTTCTATTTTTCCGACATTTATCTCGGTTTTTTCCTATTATTATGAAAATCAATTGAAAAATCACAAAAATGACCTCCCTAAATCATGAAGATAATATTTCCTTTCAGAAAATAAGCTATACTTGATACATGGGACCAATTTTTGGTAGATAAATTTGCACAACAAATCGAGGGGTTTTCGATTAAAATCGTTCGAGCGAACGATGACTAAGTCTCTAAAATTCTCTTAAAATTCTTTTGTTTTTTCTCTATTAAGATAGAAAGGAAAAAAAAGTTCAAAAAATGTCTTACCAAACCCCGGGTTGGAACCTACGATCCCTAGTATGACATTAAGAATTCATGAACATTCTACTACAACAAACATATGTTAAAATGGGCAATGTAAAGTTATTTAACATAAACATGTAATATCTGCATATATCTGAACTCCAAAAAGTTATAATTTCGAAATTTAATCAGTCCGCTCAATTCTGACTTTACCATCCTTCTTAAATCAGCAATACACATGTGTTCGAAAAAAAAAAATTGAAAAATTAGATTTGTTCCACATAATTTTTACTCAAACAATTTTCGTCAAAATATAGTATCAAAATTCCTTTATAAAAACAAATACTACATTAAACTCATTTTTTTTTTTTTTACAACAAAGGATTTAATGAACCTCCTATTAAATTTTCAAGCATTTCTATTAAGTCTAACAAGTTTACCACAGAGTACCTACCGAATAAAAATTATGTACAAAACTCGCAAAATAAAATGTCTATAAATAGCTCAACAATTTTACCACGTCTATAAAAGGCAAATATAATTTTTCTGTCCAAATTTCCAATCTCTACGAATATTTTTAACTGAATTAAAACAAATAACATAATTGATAAAATAATGAAAGCATTAATTTCATAAATTTCCCGTTTTTCTTACATTTTATCCTAGTTTTTCCTAGATATTATAAAAACCGCTTGAAAAATCAAAAAGTGACCTCCTAAAAGTACCATCTAGATAACATTTCCTTTCAAAAATTGTGCCGCGCGTATATATCTGAGCAAGATTTATGGTTGAATTATTGTACACAGGATAAAAAAAAAAAAAAAAAATCATCTTAGTAAAACCAATACATTTTTCGCTACACTCAGAATCTAATATTCAAACTCACTATCAAAAAGATTTATTATTAGCAATCTTGTGTCAGTATTTATTGTATAATTATTATAAATAAACTAAAATATTTCACCTACCGTGAACAAAAACCAAATTTCCAACAAAGAATTAAGATAACTTACTCATACATACCAGGTGATCCATTAAAGTGTTTTTTTAGAACATTTAAGAAATAAGCTGCTCTACAATTTTATATTTATGTTATTTTTTGTCGCCCTTATTTTGGGAGGTAAAACCACTGCCTACTTTTGATTTTCGAAAGGCAACCTATATGTTAAAAATGCCATAAATAGATGGAGTACGTATCAGTTAAAATACATTTTAGTGTTAACATTTTTGATTTTTGTCAAATCGTTGACAAGATATTCCACTTCTAAGTATGGCTTGGAGAAGTGTAGTGGAGTATTATTAAGACGCCGCGCGCTGTATCACCACATAAATGATACTCCACTACACGCCTTCAACCAAAACTTAAAAGTGGAATATCTCGTCAACGGCTCAAAAATTTCAGTACTAAAATTTATTTTAACTAATACTCAATTTATTATTCTGGAATATTTAATATAGATCGCTATTTTAAAATCAAAAGTAGGTAATAGTTTTACCTTTCAAAATAAAGGTGGCAAAAAGTAACATAAATATAAAATTCTAGACCTGATTGTTTTTTCAATGTTTTAGAAAATAAATTTCAGAAAAGTTTAATACTTTCTGAAATAATGAGTGTACTCACTTAAATGAATCACCTAGTATGTATACCGAACATTCTCAATATTTCAGTATATCTTACTTTTAATAAACCTGAGATGAAGAAAACAGGTGATAACCATATTCACATGATGATAGACATGTAAAAATGATATGTGTGATTGCTTTTTTCTCAAAACGAAAAATACCTAAATAAAAAAAAAAAAAATGTATTACAGTGTATTGTGAATCATAATTATAAAAAATAACTTTTTATTACCGTGTCCAATAAATCTATGATTTTAGATACGGAAAAATACCATGACGAACTGTGAAACTATACAATAGTGACAAAATTAAACAAAAAATGATTTTTTTAAACATTACAAAAATAACTAATCGTGAACACTCATTATGCAAGAATTTTATTAAACTAAAAAGACTAAGTCTATAATGGACTTTGTATAAGTGTTACCGTACATTTTGATTATTCCTAATATGGTAAGGAAATTATACAATTGGCATTAGAACAAGCGCACGTTATAGTCCGGTGACCGAGTCCATAGAGACCGTCCTTAGGCCTTCTTGGAATGTGCTGTTAGGGTACTTACATACTTGACAATAAGATAATTTCCTAATTGTCTTAATATTTTAAATTGTTAACATTTGTGGTAATATTATCATATTTTATAACATCTACTTATATAGTTTATATTTTAATCATTAAAAACAATGTTGGTGTATCTCACCTGGTATATTATGTGGTTTTTGGCGCCCGAACGATCAGGATGACACGAATGGTTCCATATATAATTAGGTACACCCGGTGTAGCCAACAGCTAAAATGTAAATTCCCTATATTAAAATATACATTTGACAACAATAATATTTAATAGTAATGTGGGATCTCTTCAGCATTTTTGAAAAGGAAATATTCAATAGGAATTTTTCTAGCTGTAAAGGAATCCCTGCAGTTTCGATAAGCAAAATAAATTATTCTGCAATAAATATACGTTATATTCACAGGTAATTCCACGTATATTTAATCTGTAAATTCAAATTAAAATGCCAATAGAAAGTAAAAATCAATTAAAAGTCCTATTAATTTAGAAACAAAATGTTCGTAAATATACGCAGTATAATTTATTATTAGTAATAATCAGTTTAATTAAAAAATTAATTTATAGATAATTTTTTTATATATATAATTGCTTCAATAAGATTTTCTCATTTTTGTGAGAAAAAGAGGAAGGTAAATTGTTAACCATACAAATGGGGTGAGCTATGAGTGTTGTTAAAATGTAACCCTGTATATTATATTAAATCTTTGTAGATATAAAAAAAGATTGTGTAAATAATAATAATTCTTAAAAATTAAAATTATCCCCCCCCCCCCGTGACAAATCATTTGACCACCACTGCAGGATAGTAGGATTATTATTATAACCAAATTGCAACAAAAAACAAAATCAAAAGTACTGAAATTGTAAACTTTTCCATTTTCCCTAATTTTCTTCAAATTATTATGAAAACTACAAGGAAACTATAAAAATTACTTATTAATATATCAAAAAGCTGCATTTTCATTTCAGAAATATGCTTTGAATGAAAATCGGACCAAGATTGCTAGTAGAAAAGTCGTTTACAGACAGGTAAAATGTATTTAAAAAAAAATATCGTTGTAATACTAAATATCATACTAATTTGTGATTAAACTTAAAAAAAAAAAATCAAGTTATTAAATTAAAAATATACATAGAAATCTACATATTCAATACAATAGCTATATACTGGTTAAGTTAGGAAATGTTCCAGAGAAAGTTTCTGCGGATGGTCGCCTACAGGCTTAATATATACTTTGGTTCCTTCACAACTATTAGTCAATCCTGATTGCGCTAGGCCTTCCTATTCTTTCAGATCGAACATTCAATTCCTCTCTAAACTATTATCCAACTAAATTAACTCCCTCTACCTTTCTTTCTGAAATTAATTTCCGCATATCTACACGTCACACTCGTTTTTCTGTTTCCTTTCACATCCTCCAATAAAATATATCTTCCAATATACTTTTAAATGCCCCCATGGACCGCCTCCCTCGTTTTGTTAATACCCATCCCACTTTTCTGCATTGTTATCCAAATTACCGGTACATTATTTAACTATATTTTAATAATTTATTTTACTTTTAATTTGACTTGTCCGTTTGTAATAATAAACTATTATAATAAATACATTTAATCTGAGTGTTTGTCAGCCGTTAATAAATCATAATATTATTTATTGTACTCACGTAAATTAAAACAGTACTATTAAATACGATCTGCATTAGGTTGTAGACTAGCATTATGTATTTAATGTTAATCGGTTCGCGTTTTTTCATTAATCTCGGGCCTATTTCGAATACAAACGTCAAGTAGGCCGCTAAGATCGTGCATATCGGCCACGGTGAGCTAACAAACAACCACGAGTCAATCGCACTGCCTATACACACAAATATATGTAGGTGTTTATTTAAATTATTCTAGGTGCAATAATAATTATTATTAAAATGACGTGATACAGACCGTATTTAAGGGGTTGTAGGTAAAAATGTCCGGCTTGTATACTGTAGGAATAGCTAGATAACTAACGAATAAACTGAAGGGTGGAATCTTATGTTTTCCAAATTATTTTCACATTCCTACTCAGCTGTTAATTGAAAAAATGCGGTTGGCGTTGAGGATTGACCAGAGCAAAATAGGTCAAAAGGAAAATATCGAACCACCAAAAAATAAATGTACGAAAACTTTTTGAAATGCATATCCTTAAATTTAATTAAACTGTATATAGTAGAGTAGAATACTATATTTTATAATTTTCATTTTTATTACTTTTATTTAAGACCAAAATTAAAACGATTATTATACCTATTAATATTATTATTACGTATTAAAATTGTATTTAATTTATTATTTATATTTATAAATTATAATTATATAAGTATTTTTTTTTTACCTCTGGACATTTTTTTGTCAGGGATTTTGGTAGAACACTTATTAAAGGGTTTATGTAAACATAATCGAACGGGATTTTCGAAAAAAATAAATATAAATTTATCAACTCAACAATAATTACCCAATTAACTTTTTAAATAAATTTAGAAGTAGGTATAATATATATATTGTATAGTCTTGTATCAAAAAACGTATTTATTGTGTAATAATAAAATAAACTAAAAGGTTCACCGTGGAAAAAAGCGGTCTCGCGCAAGCAAAAATCACTTGTGGTGTTAACAAGTTGCCGTCACGGTAGCAATTTTATCGTCTCATCGGTCTATTTGACAAAAAAAAAAAAAATATTAGCAAAAATGTGTTCGAGTGAAAACAAACGGAATTACCTTAATGATCGGTTTTAGAGATAATATAAAGCGCCAATTATAAAATGTGCAGATAACAAACATTTTAAAGACAACCTCGTTTTACAAATCTACAAAATATTCAACTCATTATCGAAGGTACAAAAAAATCGTATTTTACAATTTTTGTAAAATAACTGTAACTTAATGAATAATTAATGTTTTTAAAAACAACCGACGAGGTTGTCTTAAAAATATTACCATCCAACTCATTTTAATACAGATATTTTATCTCAGGACCGACTTTAAAGATATTTTCGGTTGTTTTACGCGAACACATAATATTTGCTATGCCTATTGCCCGATAGAAAGAAAAAGATGGCGAAGGTCATTATGACGGTCTCTTAAATGTTATTATAAGAACGTGGACCATTACTGATCGGAATAGATCAGATTTTAAAATAATAATAAATAATTTGTTTCGCATTTTTTGTAGCCAACAGATATAATGAACATTACGAAGTTCTCATTTTCCTTTTCAAAGGTTAAAATTCGATTTCTTAATATTAAGAGTCAAGATTAACCCGATTTTATACCCCTTATGCAACGGTTTTTATACCGACAATTTTATGGACACTGAACGTCATCTTTTAATTCTATTAGATAATAGATAAGTACCTATATTATCGTTTTGGTCAATAAAAATGCGAATATAATATATTTATTATTTTTTTATTTACCGTGAAACGCGCTGATAATATAATTTTTTAATGAACTGACCGGACTTAAGCTCTCTGGTTAAAAATTGTGAAAATTCATATTGTGTGTCGTTCATGTTATGAGACGCGTCCATCATTTTCGAGCCAGAACTATTGATTTACCATCTAAAATATTGACTAAAACATTAATAAATAATAATATTATTAATACCTATACAATAAACGTCGGTTTTGTTTTTCATAGTTTATATATTTTTAAATAAAATTTGTGCCATGTAAGGGGCAATAAGAATACTACGTCTAAACATATTATATTGCTTAATTTTCATATATTTGTAATCTTTGTTTTTGAAAATGTCGTTCATTTTAAATATTTTGTTCGATCATTTGAAATTGAAAATTCCACGTTGGATTATACAAAACTTATTATTATCGAGTAAAATTGTTAACTGTTTATTGATTTAAAATTTAAATTCCCAACATTTATAAAAAAAATGAATTGTATTAATTTACTAATTTACTAATGGATATTTAAATATTTTGTATTCAAATCAATAATAATATCAAATGACAATCATATTTCATTCACAATTTAAATATAATATAATGTACCTATTAAAATTTATTAATTTTAGAGTTGTTTTATTAATGAAAAAAATATATATTATACTGGAATTATTATATGCATTGAAAAAAAGTCACAATACTTTTTTTGCATTTTTAATGCAAATAAAACGTCGACGTTCCATTTTTGTTGCATATTTTTAACTATTTTGTACATAATATTTCGTCTAAAATATCTAAACATTGAATTCTAGAGGGGAAGAGATTTCGAAGGAAATAAAGCCTAACCTAACGGGGAGTAGGGACGCTCGGGAGTGGTTGAGGGCGTGTACTGTATTATAATCGTCACTTGCAGATAGCACGGCGTTTTTTTTATACCTTTATGTACACAATTTATATTAATACAAAATTAATAAGTCTATTGTCATGATTAGAGATCGGATATATTCCTAAAATTCACAAAAAATACTTGAAAACGTCAAAAAGCCTTGAAAAATCACTAAAAAAAAAGGGAAAAATAATAAAAAGGTTTTAATATTCCCCCCCCCCCCCCCTTTAACGAATTTAATTTATAAATGTAATTTTCTAGAACCACAAAAATGATTAATAAAAAGTATTTTTTTTTTTTTTTTTATAGTAAGCACATTTTTATTTAAAAGAAATTATTTTGTATAAATAAATTTTGTAGTGTTAAGAAAGTAAATTAAATAAGTTAGAACCATTAGTGAGTGGACTTTTAAACTCCTCCATCATTTTTGCTTTTTTAAATGTTTGTAAATGCTTTTTTCAAAGATTTTTTGATGTTTTAAAGCGCCTTTTTGTGGATTATATGAGAATATAAATCCGGTCTCTTGTGTATCTCTAGTGTAATCTCTATGTATTATGTATAAAAATGAACCGAAAGTTTGTCAGTGACTGCACTGATGCCACAACTTAAATACCATCCAAATTGTTCTCACGTAATGCGATGACCAAGGAAAATAGGGATTCATTTATATATACATAGATTTAGGATGATTTCGGATTAGATTTGAAAAGCGGATAATTTCGGTTTCAAATATTATTTTTTCCCTATTGTATGAAATCGACAATATCTACCCTATTATCAACACTTCTATTTTGAAAAGATTCAGATTTAAATTGGTAAAATCATTCGAATCATTCTGTATACGTATACTTATACGATTCCAGTGAGATTACGTGCTTATAATTGAATTATTATTATTTATATAATGATTCGGTTTTATTTTTGTATTACTTTGCATTTTGCAGGTTTATATACAGTCGATTTATTATTTCACGTCATCGGGTGCCTAACAAAGCGATAATTCATAGGTATATTAAATTGTTACCTTACTCCAATAATAATTGTTTAATCCAATTTTAATCCAATTAAAATTGCCTACCAAAGTTTTTAATATTTTTTCATCGCCGGAGATTTCTCATGTTTTTCCGATTCCGCAGGCACCTTTATCCGTTAGTTGTGTACCTAAACTATATCGACAATAACGGGCTTTTTATCTGTTTGATATTCGTAAACTATACGGTTTTATCAAGATTAATACGTATAAAATAAACAGATAGCAAAGATTTTCGCAATGTGTTTTGGACCGTATCATAGACAAAGCTGACAAAAAATAACTTGCCTAAAACCGAATATTTATCTGTTTAGGTACTTATGGATAGGTATAACTTTGGCTGTTCCGGATAAACAGAATATTACATAATATAGCCATGGCAATTAAAATTCGATCCGAAAATAAAAATTCCTAAGGTTAGGTAAACCGTAAACAAATGTATTAGTAAAAACGTAAACTAAATTATAGGTTTTATTATACCTATACATATAATTGAAAAGTGCAATAATTTAAATAAATCGTTAAAAATCTATATAAGCCACTGCAGGAGCAGGCATATTGTGGTTGACAATATTATTTTCATCATTAATTGTGAACTATTAATTATACATAAATAGTTAGAGAAAAAACACGTGTACAATAAAAATAATAATTAATAATTATGTAGGACTGCATGCATTTTTAAATTAAAACGTATAGGTTTGTTTGATTCGAACCGACTTCATTGTAAATTTCGCAGTATTTTCAAAACTCTGTCACTGATAAAAATTCAGTTTGCAAAAAATAATTATAAAGTATATGGACAAAAAATCATAAAACATTTTAATTTTAAACTACCTATCTTCTTCAGTTATCATGTTTTAATTTAGCGCAGAATACTGTAATTTATACCTAACTTTTAGATGATAGAAATCTTTAAGTATATAGCTATAGATTTGTTTTAGATTTAGAAACAATTTATTTTAAGTTTATAAGATTGTTTTATACTTTACTTATTGTATTTTACTCAATGAAAAATTGCCGTTAAATCTTGTACATGTTTGCCTTTAAGTAGGCACATAGTAAAATATGAAAAGAAAATCTACAAATAATAAGTAGCCATGTAAGTATACCTCCTACTTAGGAACGTATAATAAACATAATATAATTTTAAAAAAAAAAAAAAAATGTACACCCAATAAATTCCTCACGTTATTTAGGTCATTTTATTTAACATTGCCTATATCATTTTGTTAAAAATTTGATTTAAACTCTGTGGCCTATAAAACGCTTTACCGATAATTGCCTACATCAAATCGCTTTGATATATTATAAATTTGTAAAAAAAAAAATTTAACTTTGCTTACCTTATTATGAAATAATTATAAACAAATGATGTGCGCGAGTTCGGTATTGTAGACGATTGATAATAATGGGTACCTATACCTACTTAAATTGTCTTCATTGTTTTCGTTGCACATTTTAAAATAGACAAATAGTTTTAAGTGCAGGTAATCGATTTCAATTATACCGAAATTAATTTGATTAGTACCTAACCTATAATAATACTGAACGCTATGTCGCTATCGAATTATCAATTGAACGTTGTATGGCTATATTTTGTCATCATAATAATATTATAAGTAGTGGTTACCTATATACCATTTTTTTTTTCATATACCTACCTGTCTATATAGGTGCCAGCTATAAATGAAACGTACTATTTTCTAATTAGACTATGTACATAAAGTTCTAGATAATATTATTAGCACATAATATTTTTAGATTTTTTTCCAATAATCTCTCTCCGATTACATATTATGTATATTAAAAACGGGTCAAGTAAATTATACGAGTGTATAATATATTTATACGAATATTAGGATTTATTTAGTGTAGGTTATACACTAATTATGTTATACTTAGAAATATTTGTTTAAAAAATAAACCAAACTATCATACCTAGGAACTTCATATTAATTTATGTAGATACCCACCTAACTAACTTACAATTTATCGTTTTCTAATAAGGCATATACAGAGTGATCAACATAACGTAAGACTCTCATTCTCATAAGATATCTCGCAAAGTACTAAATTTTTTGGGAATTTGTTATTTAAGAAATTATAAGAAACAAGCCATTTTAAAATTTTACTTCACCGTTATTTTTGATCACCCTTATTTTTGAAGGTGAAACCACTATACTTTTGATTTTCAAATAGCAAACTATATTTAAAATTCGGCAAACAATAAAATGGAGTATTAGTTTAAAAACATTAGGTGTTGAAATTTTCGATTTCCATCAACATGTTCTTACGAGATATTCCATATTTATGTATTGGTAGGAGAATAGTGGAACGCACTATTCAAACCCCGTGCTGTCAGACAAATGATGTCCCACTACTCTTCCCAATCGAAACTTAAAAGTAGAATATTTCGACAACAGGTTGACGGAAATCGAAAATTTCAACACCATAATGTATGTAATCTATTACTTTATCTATTTGTGGAATTTTTAATATTAGTTGCTATTTGGAAATCAAAATTAGATACCAAGTGGTTTCGCCCCCAAAAATAAGAGTGACAAAAAATAACGGTAGTTTAATATTTTAAAGCTTCTATTGTTAATTACTAAATTTGTTTTCTAAAAAACAAATTACGAACAAATTAATACATTCCAGGGTAATGAGTATCTTACGATACACTGATCACTCTATATAGTACGTTAAGTGGCCACTAGAGATAAACGATTGAGATATTATACTTTTTAGAACATTACATCTATTCCTAGGAGTGAATATGAGTAATATGAAATAAATAGGTTCTTACCTACTAAAATTACACATTATTATCAATTGAAGAAAAAAACTGTTTACCTAACCTGTAGTCGTGTACCTACTGGTTAAAATTATATAGAAATATTAATAGGTACACTAATTTCATCAATATAATATATAATTTGCAATATATAATCAAGTTTTTTATTAAGTGTTAAAAAAAATATTGTTACATAGGATTTACTTTAAATTTTTTAATAAATTACTTTGTATTCAATATTTAATAAGTACTTATTGTATGTTGTACATTGAAGGTTAATGTAAAGTTTATTTTTGGGTAATTCCAGATAAAATAAATTTTATCTATATTTAAACTCGTCATTGTTCTAAATAATAAATAATTTATCTAGAACTTCCAGGAATTTTTATTTAAGTTCCTATTGTTAGTTCTAAATAAATCCAATAGTTGTTTTATAATTTTATTTCTGTTATCAGGTATCTATTATAACACCAAATCAAGCAGATCAATGGTCAATATACCGCAAGGACTCAAAACTACTCCTGTGGCCAGTACTGCTCAAAACTTTCACGAACCATCTCTTATTGTAGCTATTGTACAGCCACAACTTATGGAAATGACATCCAATTCACAACCTTTACAAGTGCAACAGCAACAATCCTCTACTCCTATGCAACCACAAGAACCTAGACCTCCGAAAAAAATTAAAACTTTAATCAAAATTATTCACCCTAAAACTGAAGTTGAAATAGACTTGCTTTATAATGAGGTTCAAGTTGTTACTACTCCAATAAGTTAATATTTGTTTACCCAATTTAATTGTATAAATTCCTTTGTTTTATTCAATATAATTTAGCAATCAATTATGTAATTGACAAAGTTCATTACCAGTTGATCGAAACACTATTTACAAATCTGTTTATATTATAGTAATATTTAGAAAATCTCATTTAAAATGTACAAAAATCTAACAAACCTCAATTAAAATTTTCTTTTATAATACTTACGAAATTTATAATTAATTTTTTTTTTTAAAAAAGCAGTATTTGTTTAACTAGAGTTGTTTGTACTGTATTTTTTAGAGTTCTGTTAGATTGAAAAAAAATGAGTTTTCAGAAGGTTCAGAAAGGTTCAGAATGTTGTAAAGAAACATGATAATAATAAGGTAAATAAAAAAATGTATTTAATTAATAGTAAGAACCTAATTTATAATATAAAATAAAGAAATTAAATACTTAGAGTATAAAACTTTCATTTGAATGTAATTTATATTTAATTATAATTAAACAATCAATCAATCTAAACTTCAAGGATTCAAGGTTAATATTATTATATATATAATTAATATTATTTATATTAAAAAGTAATAAGTATTTTTTTTATTAGAAGCCATAGAAGCCAGAATTGAAAACCAAACAAAAAGCTTTTATTAATAAATGCATAAACATTTAATAATAGTTTTTCTATTCACTATTATAAATTCTGTACTATTTTTATTGCTGCTGATTTTTTGTATAAAATATTGGTGTACTCTGGACTATATAACAAATAATCATTTTTTAGGAGTCTGATATTACACTTTTGGGCTCTTCATTAAAATGGTTATTTTCAAATAATTCATATAGTGAGAGCAAAAACAGTAGTTTCACAAGTAGTAACATATTTGGTATTCTCATTGATGAAAAAAAATTATCAACCATTTCACAAACAATGTAATTAATTTGTTTTCAATTAAATTATATTTTATTTAAATTATATTTTTTATGAATTGTATTATTTTGTAGGTCAAAGATAAATATATTAAGAAAGCCAATTATATCAGAATCTGAAGAAAGACAAAGAGTGATGTCTGGTAAGATTTTACATAATTGGATAAATCAAATGTTATATTACAGTACAAATTATATCACTTATAAGTAGCAAGTATGATGCCACAATATGCTCAAACATCTCTTACATTAAATTCTATATCCTCATTACAGTCTTCTAAAGAAACAACCAACATTGAAAAACCAGTGAATGAAGAATCGGCTTAAGAAATTGCTGACAAAATAAATCCACTGTGTAAAAGTATCTTGTATACGTTTTCCCAAATGCAAAATTTGGATGTATGTATTAGGTTATGAACAATTTTAAATATAACTTAATACATTTTAATTATATATGTTCCATACCATTAGGATATAGTGTATTCACTAACAGATGATGCTAATTCTGTCATTAAAACTCAGCATCAAGAATTTGTTACAGCTATGATATTTACAGCATTAGATAGTAGTCCAAATAGCAGAACAGAGGCAGGCAAAATATTTGCTGAAGTTTTGTCTTACAAACATAAAGATTATGATGAAGTTATTTCTGTAGTGGATGTTACTCAAGGATAATATTTGTATTAAATTCAGAAGAAAGTACAATTAAAATTAAAATTGTTTTTTTTTATAGAATTGATACAGTACTAAAAGATTGGAATGATTATTTAATTGATAATCCACAATTATTTTCCTACATTGCTGATATCATTAGTGAGTTCTTTGACTGTTGTCACATTTTAAACAACTTGATATAAAATAAACATTGTCTTTTATAGCTCCGTTATTAATATCAAAGACTGCTGGTTTTGAAATAAGTAATTTAATAGATTCTTGTATATCTATATGTCCTGACAATGTCATTGTTTTTTTCTCCAAAGTATTACACAACATTTTAAATTATACGGAAACTCAGAATATAGAAGACGTAAGTTTATTGTACATTTTTTGCTTATATTTACAATTGTTTATGGTACTTATGGCAATTAGTTTAAAAATAATTTAAAAACTGCAAGTTGCAGGAAAATTATTAGCTAGGGTTTTTATTTTTAATTCACTGTCTTCTGATCCTAGCAAATGCTATTCATTTTTTACACTCTCTTTTTCATTATATTATGATGATGATGTAAGAATTACAACATATTATTTTTCAAATCCTATGTTTAAAAGTAAACGTGATTAGTAGGCATTGGTCATTAAACAAAAAAATGTGTTCAGTTGCAAAATTTGATCTAATGACTTATGTCCGGAATGATGATACGCGATGGTGTAAGCACTTGTTTTCTCAATACATTTTTGATATTTATCTATTTGGACTACCGGAGTGGCCATCCATATGGTTAAGGAAACAGTCTGTCACCTATGATCAGATTATATTACATTACATATTCATGATTATTATTGATTATTATTATTTAAATGTTTTAACAAGTTGGTGGAATTTCATGGATGTATGTACCTTTATACGTATTTATGCCTATTAATCAAATAAATACATATTTTAAAAGTGATGTGAGTGTTTGATTCGAGCAACAAAACATTGTTGCCCGAATCAAATGTTAATTATCTGTTATTATATTTTAGCAAGTTAGAGTATTTCTTTTGTCTACGACTATTTATAATAAAATGAGATTGATTGATGATAAATGATTGTATGAAATAATGCACAGTTGGATAACTGTAAGTAAACTTATTTATAAAATATGTTATATGATAAGGTAGTAATCTTTATGTGAATAGAGCAAAACATTTTATTTTTATTTTTAGAGAAATATAAATGCAGAAATTATCAAATGCCCAGTTTATATGTATTTTAACCATTTCCATTATTATAAAATATGTTAAGTAAGTTGGTATCTCCATTTTCAGTGTTTACCTTTTTTATTATACCTAATTTTTTTCATGTATAGAACTTAATTATTCGTTTCAAGATTTCTTTGACCATTGCAATGTCAAATTGTTAATAAGTTTCATAAAAACTGAACCTCTACCTGAATCTGAAATTCAGGCACGAACAGTTCAATGTTTATATGGTATACAAATAATTTCTGCTGCATTGGAGCATTGTGGTGGTAAGTTACCTATTAACCTTTTTTAATACAGTGTATTTTAACTAATATGAGGTGTTATGTTTTTTTTTCTATTCGGAAAGTATGAAAACTTTTCCCCAGACTTTACAAATACAGTGTAATAAATAAGCAATCATATGAATTGTGGAAGAAAGAATACGAGTTCGAAGTTGTTTTTGATGAAGACTTGGAAACTAAAACAATAGCTATCTTTGTATTGAATTCTTTCTTCCTATAACTTTCAATGAATGGTTCCGATGACAATGACACGTTGAACAGTAGTGTTCTACACAGACTGGCTGTGTATAATTTTTCATTAATCAATATTATATTTTTTTAAAACTTATTATAGATATCATGTTATTAAAAAAAAATAGCCATTTTTCATTTATTCCTTAATAGTTATTTTTTAAATGTGCAAATATTTTTGTATACAGCGTTCTTATCTTGGTTATCTACACAGATTGGAGCACATAGAATTCGTTCTGTCGAAGTGACATTTGTGTGAAATATGAATGTTAACATGTCAGTCACAGGGAAAATGATAAAAAAAATCTGATATTGGGGATGGGAGCTGCCATTGATGTAAGTGAGAAGTTAAAAAGGTTATTTTATTTATATCTGTAAGCAACGATAAACCATTGCTAGATGAAAGAGGATTCTGAGCGAAGTTCGGTAATACATAATTTGAAATGATGTAATTTTTTTTGCGATTTTCGTTTTAATTTGATTTCAAAACGCTTATTAATAAAAATAAAAGTCGTCTGATGATTTTGGAAATTTTACCATGTTTATGTAAGTCCAATATAAGTATTATTACCAAGTTTTTAATTTTTGACTGTTTTTGGAAAATCTTTCTAAAGATGAATTTTAACGTGAAATAAGACTTCTAAAGGCTTATAACAAAAATTCAAAACTTGAACAAATTGGCAAACTTACAAACAACGATTGTTTATTTTGGTTGTATTTATTGATTAGAGGCATTAAGGCAAAGTGATGTTGATGCAATTTTCACACAACAGGAAAGTGTTTAACAGAAATATGTGTTCCGTTGTACCATGTTGTACCAATTATCCGTACCTAGGGCTTCATGTGAAAAAGTATTTTCAAAGCTTACAGATATAATATGTTAAAACTGAGCTTTTTACCACTAAAACACGTTCAGAACACTCGACCTGCGTTAAGACATTTAATGTTTCCGTGTATTGAGCAAACCATAGAAAAAAAAAAACATACTTCGCACGTGGGTGGGCCACTGTTGTAGGTGAAAAGTTGGGAAGGTAGGTAGTAGAAGGGTAATGTAATGTGAATATATCTGTATGAATAATTAACCATTTATAACGATAGACTATTCTGAGTGGAGTTCAGATAATAGTGTTGCTTTGTTAACAATACATATATTATAATAATATGGTAAAATAATATGCATTATTTATTTTCATTAAAAATATTTGTTTAATATTGTACCTATCAATATAGACTATATCATAATATCTATAAACAATATGATAATTGGTGTAAGTTATTACTCTTTTGGAGATAAATATTAAGTAGATAAGAGTAAGATTAAGTAGATATACCTATGTACATATTAATACTTAGATCAATACCTATGTACCAATACACTTACTACAAATTACAAAATAAATTAGTTGAAAACTAATTAAACAATACAAATTGTATTCACATGGAAAACATGAAAATAAATATTAATAATAATATTGGCTCGTTAGTGAAATTTCCATTAGGTATATTTAAATATTACACAATATACATTTTTTTGAATAAAATCCAGAAGTCTATGCTTCAATAGTATAAAATGCATAATAACTATTTAATATTCTGTTAATGGTACAAAATTCTAGTTTCACACCCAAAGAAAATTCTACTATAATTACTATTATAGATTTCTAATGGATAATAATTTTAATGATAGATAATAAAAATATAAAATTGACATTAAATTAAAACAATGATATTCAAATATTCAGTATACTTTTTTGTTAACATAAAAAATAAAAAAAGGACAGACATACTTTGCACATGGGTCAGCAACTGTTATAAGTAGTAAGTTGGGAATATAGCATACAGACAGGAATTTAATGTATAAGCAACGATAAACCATTGCTAACGAAAAACGATTCTGAGTGTAGTTCTTTGTTAACAATATTTATGTCATCTTATGGTAAAATGATTACAATGATGTGTGTTTCAATGACAACAATGATTGTTTAAAATAATAACAAACAAATAAATAAAAACTGTTGCCAGTGACAACCTTATTTTTAATCTTTCTTAACCTAAAGAATGCAGTTTTTCTCATTATCTCAAATATATCAGAGAATTTCAAAAAATAACCTCTCTAAAATAACACCCAGAGAACATTTTCTTTTGAAAAAGATGCTATACTTGATAATCATAGTAAGCTGTATAGTGGAAAAAACTATTCACATACAAAATATAAATAATAATTAAAATAAACATCTTTGTAAAACCAATACATTCATTTAGAATCTAAAAAAAGGGCAGTTTATTCTAATAATTTGTAGTGGCACAGTATGATTTATTTTTGGTGAGGGGATGTAAATTTCAAACAAAGTTCTGAACAGATTTTTGGGGTGAAGTAGAATAGTAGGTTAGTGGAGAGCGATAACCAGTTTTTTAATTAATAGGGCTCCACCCTTCTCCCCTTACAAAGAAAACGATATACTTAAAAGTAGAAAATCTCGTCAACGGCTTGACACAAATTAAAAATGTTCATAACAAAATGTAATTAAACTAAAACTTCATCTATTTAAGGAATTTTCGATAAAAGTTACTATTTTAAATCAAGATGTGAAAGTAATATCACTCCCAAACATAACACTAAAAACAATAATGGTAAGATAACCGTCTAAAATATATTTTAGAGCCGTCTGTTCACAATTTTTCATTATACCCACCTTTATAAATTATAATCCTTAATTTTGAATAGTAGTGATAATGAAATAATTAATTTTTAGTTTAATTATGAAATACAAAAATTTAAAATTTGTTTTTTTTAATTTTGGTTATTATATATTGTCTATTCGTTAATAATAAACATGGACTAAGATTAAGAGGTCTACTATATTTTGTTTATTTTTTTAAATATCATATAATTTGTACAGATATTTTACACATTACATAATTTATTATTTCAAAATAAAAATTTGATTATATACACAAACTATAAATAAACAATGTATATATATATATATATATAAGCAGAGATTATAAAAATAAACCGTGTTTAAACTATACGCAATAATACTAAAAGAACAGCAGCACCAAAAAACACTATATCATTAATATTTTTCTTTTTTTTAGTTTTTACCTTACAGGGTCCAATGTAATCGGATTTGGAAACTCTCACTTCTTTATCTGATAACAATTTTAAAATTTTATCTTTAGTGTATTTGATCATCATTAAATTGTGTATAGCTTCTCGGCCTTTCTTTTGATCTAAGATATAACTTTGAGATTCTAAATATATTAGTGTAGCATCCAATACATGCAATTGTCTTACAATACCTGCTAATATATGAGCAATTGTTTCAGCATTAATTTCCTGCCTTTTCATGCCCAATGATTGATTTGACCAGTTCCGTGTATGAAAACATTTTAGTGCAGTAGTTAAAAGCTTTTGATGTGGTGTTAAAGTGATTCCCACATTGTTATTAACGTTACTTTTCCAAGTGAGTAATTGTTTAAAAGTAGTTTTATTTGATTTAAGTGTGCTAGTAAATTGTTTCATTGACAACGCATTTAAGAATGATTCTGCATCTCGAGGGAAACCATTTTCCAATTCAGCTATAACAATATCCCAACAAGTTTGTTCTTCGAAAATGAACTCTGGTAGTTGTTCCTGTTCAACATCTCCATTCAATAGATTTAACATATCACTCATATTTTTACTTTCAACTATTCTATATACAGTATGGTTTCTTTTATCTGTGGCATCTTTGTTGGCACCGCGTGACAATAGAAATTTTACAATATTAAAGTGATTAAAACGTATAGCAAAGAATAATGCAGTTTCGCCATTTTGATTGTCTACTATTTCAATATCTGCACCATCATTGACCAAGTATTCTACTAATTTTAACCAACCGTTGGAACAGGCAAACATGAGAGCTGTCATACCAGACGTATCTTTAGAATTAATATCGATATTATTAAAACTCAAAAAAAGATTTAAGCATTTTACTAAATCAAGTTCATTAATATTAACAGATTTACAATTGCAAACACACATGATGACATTATGACAGTCAAAATGTATTGCAGGATCTGCACCATTTTCTAAAAGATATGTTACTGCATCAAAAGATCCGTAAAATGCTGCAAACATTAAAGGAGTCCAATTATTCTGCAAATGACAATTAATGTTCAAAGATTTAGAATTTAAAGCACGGATAATTTCTGGGACATTGTTTGAAATACATGCATGTTGTAATGTCAATTGAAAATTCTCTGCTTGTGGTTTATAGACCGGTTTCTGATGATAATTACCAAATTCATCATAATATTCTTCATCACTTTCGAAACCAGCTGGGACAATGTTGGTTGTTTTTTTATATTTCATTTTAGAACGTATTGATCCTAAAATAGATAATTGAATAAGATTAATTAAATGAACATAACATATCTACCTAAATGTTTTAAAATAAATAAATAAAACATAATATGACATTAGGTATTTACTGAATTATTTTAAATTGGAATAATTCAAACAGTAGTAAATTGTTACATAAAAAATGAAATGCTAATAAACAATTGTTGAAGATCCAATAGAAAATAATGTACTTCATAATAATTAAACAATGAGTGTAGTGCTTATAAAAACAAAGTGAAAGTCCTTTCAAAGATAATTGTAATTTTGTAGTAAAATTAAAAAAAAACTTAGAATTTCATCAATTAATAGAAATAGCAAGTATTTAGAACAGAGTACCAAATTCTGAAAATCATTACCACGATAAGACAAATCAATCACCATATTGATATAGAATGAGAGAATAAATTATAATATTATAATTAATAATCGTAATATAGGTAATACCATTGATTATATATCAATAGACATAGTACAAGTGGTATCTACTTATAAAAATTAATTACAAAGTTTAATATTCTACATATGATTTCAATATGATTACAAATATTTGTGCATTGTACCTATTTATAAGGTAAGTGGTATTTTTAAAAATATTTTTTTTTCTATTTGAACTTAATTAATTGTTCGTATTTAATTATTATTGATTTTTGAGAATTATTATTCCGATTACCATTATTTAAACTCGGGGCAGTGGCACATATACAATATTACATAATCATTAATTGATTCTCTACATCAAATCAAATTTAAATACACACATTTTCATTGAATTTTGAGTTTAAGAAAAACAATTTTAAAATAATCAAAATTTCTTTGATAAAATTTGCTTAAATACCCAATCAGACTATTAATACGTAATCTGATTTCCGACTTTTACATTTTTCACCCCTTATCAACAATACCACCCAGACAATTAAAACATGATCGGATTTTCCATTTTTTGACCACTGTTCACAAATTTGTATTGTTTTTAGATCCTGACACAATAATGATATCCAAGTTTGGTGTTTAAAAAGTTAAAAATAGAAATTGTAACTTATATAGGTACTAAGTTGTAATTGGTTTTATGAATAAATATAAAACCTCTGTAGCTGTTGTTGGTATTTTAATATTTTTTCCAATATCCAAGAGCCATAGGGTACCATCAAAAAGGGGTGAAAACGAACAATCCGATATCGGATCATGTATTAAGTGTTTTTTTCCATTGCCCAAAAGCCAGAGTTTAACCCAATTAATATAATTTAAGTAATATAATGCAGTATCTCAGGGGAAGGAAGTTAGTCACAGAACTCGTTCTATTGTGGCATCAATGGAACCAACAGAAATCTTAAAAATAAAACATAGAATAAAAGGCGAAAATCATTTACCCACTGCAGTTAAACGTATCGTATAAATTCTACGGACAGTAAAATATTGGTTAGGAACAAAAAAAAAAAAAAAATACAAACAAAAACCAAAGATCGATTGAATAAAATTAAAAAATTAGATAGGTATAGGTACCTGTTTGAAATTTTCTTTTTTTAACAATTCGTTCGGATTTAATTTCGATATTATAATTACACGCTGGACAAACGATTTTATAATAATAATTTAGAACGAACGTCATGTCAATAAAACCGAAAGCGATCAACATAACACTACTTGTACGCGTTCACCGTCTTAATAGTAATAATAATGACATGTTGTCATAAAAAATTGACGTTGCGGGTAAAAATCGCATGCATATAAATATCGTCGAATGAAGACCGACGGTACGTACCTATAAACACGGTTTATGTATTACGACTGAATGTTCCTGTCGGCCGATAATGTAATATTGATATGTTCGAAGGATAAAACGCAAATAACGCTTACGTTCGCAAAACAGCGCGAAGGGCACGTGCTAATTGGGCAATGTTGCTAAACCGTAACGAAACAAATAGGCAGTAATAAACGATCGTTTATCAGTTGAAATAAAATGAACTGTTACCTGAACTTGAAGAAATAACCGCTCGCGGTGTTGATAACACCGTGTTATCTACGGACATAATGTATATGGTATATTAATTATGTAATTTCCGTGTAAATCCCATAGAGTAAGAATCTATGGCGCGGACTAAGATCCATCTATATCTCACTGTATCTTTGTCCGTGCTCTATGGTAAATCCATAAATACCGTGGTCTACGCGTAAATCTTTGGCGTTATCACAGAATTATAATTCTATGATTTTGTTATCATCAATATCAAAAATTCAAAACCGGCTAACCAGTAAGTAGTTGTCGTGCTCGAACTCTCGTATAGCCGAAGACATCAATTGAGATATCCCCGAGGTATACATAAAATTTACTATACGTCTTAAATCGCGGTCGAAAATTCAAAATGTTATATACCGCTGTTGAATTTCTTGAATAAATTATTTTCTACTTGTACTGTGTCTCTACGTATACCCGTAATACAATTTTTTGTTCGATTTAACCGTTGAGTAGAAGCAAAGTACCGGTGATATTATGTCATAATTATTTACATATATAATTCGCATACCTATTCGTTTTTATGATATTTCAAATATATATTTTCGATGTCGGGTCAAATTAAACCAATAAATAAATTGGATGTGCATAAAATATGTTCAGGACAGGTGAATGACACAGATTGTGTACATTTTCATAGTTTAAAAACCCATATTATATTAAAATAAACAATTTTTTAAGGTCGTATTAAACTTGGCTACAGCTGTAAAGGAATTGATAGAAAACAGCTTAGATGCTGGTGCTACATCGGTCGAGTTACGACTAAAAGAATTTGGTAAAGATTCTTTAGAAGTAACTGATAATGGAGCTGGAATTCATCCTGACAATTTTGAAGGCCTTGGTATGATTAGTGTTAATTAATAAATACAATATTTTGAATTATTTATTTTTATCTTCAGCTTTGAAACACCATACGTCCAAAATTCAAGATTTTGCCGACTTAAGTTCCGTGGAAACATTTGGTTTCCGCGGAGAAGCATTGAGCTCATTATGTGCTCTAAGTAATGTAACAGTGACTACTAGACATTCATCACAAGAGTGTGGTACTAAGCTTTTATTTGATCATGAAGGAAATATTAAATTCAAAGTCCCAATTGCTAAACAAGTATCTATAATATTATCACTTTTTTTATTTGTATAAACCTAACATGATTTACTCGGTTATCAGAAAAAAGCCACGAAAAAAAAACAATCTGTATGCTTTGTACTTTTAATTTTTTTTTTTTTGTTTACCCCCGACCAACTATTCATTTTTTCATCAGAAAAATTACTAAAGTTAAAATTAAGTTGAATAAAGTTTTTAGTAAAAATAAAAACAAAAAAATACACTTTTACAATAAATATTAATCAGTAATAAAAAATTGTTCTATAAGGCATCTTACTGATGCCTGTACTAATTTGTTTACTACCATAATAATAATATTTTCATAGTGTACCCCAAAGTGCAGTTTCTTCTCCTGTCCCATATACATATACATTGTGGACTAATCTACCACCCCACTCAGCACTGTAGCTGAATTTGCAGATGAAAAAATTATCTTTATTTTGCATATGCATACTCTAAATGGAAAATAAAAATCAACAACAAAAAGTCCTCACATATTATCTGTGCTCTTAAACAAAACATAGTTCCCTCAGTAGTTCTGAATAATAAAATCATTCTTTAAACCTCAAATGCCATTAGATAAAAGATTAACTTGGGCAGAACATATTAAACAAAAACAGATTCAATTCAACACCAGACGTAAGTCTCTCTATATGCTTGGAAATCATTCTAAAATTAGCCTAAAAAACAAACTTCTATACAAAACCTTACTAAAACCAATGTTGTCTTATGGTATCCAACTATGGGGTGCTGTTAAGAAAACAAATATAAATAAATACAAACATGCCTTTCTATGTATCGAACCGACTTAAACATTTAAACTGTCTCAGAGGTTACAAAATCGACTTAAAAGATATTTTGCTTCCAACTGTCAAACCATTCAAATCCCTCGATCCTTGCCCTTGACTCTGCCAATCTCCCTGGAAACCCATTAAGAAGGCTTAACAGAACCTGGTGTAAAGACATAAAATACTCTTCATAAGTACTACTATTGGGTAGTTCCTTAAATTAAGCCATTTATGTACAAAATATATTTTCTAATCACAAATGCTTAATGTAAAATACCACTTAAAGGTTGTATATTTTCAAATAAAAAAATAAATTTTTAAATTTTAAATTTATTAATTAGTTGTTAAATATATTATATTTGTATTCAATATAAAATAAATTAAAAAAGGTTGGACAATTTATTTTTACTTTTTAAAAGTATCTTGCAAAATGTAACTAAAATATATTTTCAGGTTGGAACGGCTGTTAATTTGTCTAATTTATTCTCTTCGCTACCAGTAAGGCATAAAGAGTTTCATCGAAATTTAAAAAAAGAGTTTGGAAAAATGATCCAAGTGGTAACTGGTTACTGTTTAGTTGCTACTCAAGTGAAGTAATTCATTATTTTATTGATAATGATTTATGTATTATATTTGGGTAAATATAAATATTTATTTTTTTAGAATGTCATGCACCAATCAAACAAAATCGACTAATAATGTTCTTCTTTCAACACATGGTAGCAATACTGTATTGGAAAACATATCATGTATTTATGGTTCCAAACAGGTAAGTCATTTCTACATTAATAAGTGTAATTTTGCTTTATCAGTTCAATTTATTACTTCACAGGCCAATAGCTTGTTAATTTTGAAAAAAGTTATTCCTGAAAACGATGACAATGATATGGCATATATGTTCGAACTTGATGGTTATGTATCTAGTTGTGACCACAGTAGTGGTAGAAGTTCTAAAGATAGACAATTTTATTTTATTAACTCGAGGCCATGTGAACCATTAAAGGTATTCATAATTCAAATTATCAACTTTCTTAGATGTATGATATTGTACAAAAACACTGAAATCAAAAATCTCAGTATCGATAAAATTTAAAAAAAATTTAATAATATTTAATACTTTAAGGTTGTACGAGCAGTTAATGAAGTCTATCATCAATATAATCAGAGTCAATATCCATTTGTTTACTTAAATATAACAATTGCAAGAGATGAAGTAGACATTAATGTGACACCCGATAAAAGACAAATTTTTTTGTCCAACGAAAATTACTTAGTTTCATTAGTAAAAGTAAGTAATTCATATTTGTTCATAATATATTATTATTAATTATTTATTTTATTTTAAGGCAAGTTTAAATAAATTGTATGAAAATATCCCATCTACTTATAAGATTAATACATTGTTATATGATTCAATATCAACTAAGAGACCTTGTGAATCAAGTACAGAAAGCATGGAATGTAAACGTAAGAAAAATAGTTATTTATATTTTATAAAAAAATCATACTGTACACATTAATATTAAATATATTCATACTATTCTTACTATTCTTATTTCAATAATAATCATTTTATTACCACTATAAAATAACTGATATAAACTATTTTTATATATATATATATATATATATATTTCAGAAATTAAGTTAGATGTAAGTAATGAGTATGAAAGTAAAGAATACAAAAGTAAAGAAACATTCATTAGCCACTCAGACCAAATTAAAGCTAAACTTAATAAATGGAAATCGAATAGTTCTAAAGCAGATGTTGTAAACACTATGGACAAATTTCTAAAAAAAGAAGTTGAGTCTATCTATAATGAACAGAATGACAATGAAAATGTTGAAGAAAATAAAGTATCCAATATTAAAATTATTGAAACTAATGACAAAGAGCAAATTACTATTGAAGTAGAACAAGAAAGTTTAAAAGTTGAAGAAAAACAAATTAGACCATCTATTAATAATTTGGATAGTCATGATATTGAACTCACTTTTGTTGATCATTCAAATTATAAAAAAGATGCTATTGTAGACCAAGAATATGATTTGGAAAATGTTACTGAGAAATCGGACAATAAGGAAAACTTAAACATGCATTCAAAACATGAAGAGAAATCTATATATAATATTAAGAATATGAAATTTAACTATAGTTCATCGAAAATAGAAACTGAAATGATAGAAATAGACACATCTCAAGCACCTGAAAATAGAAAATGTGTTGTAGTGGAAACTAGTATCAAGCAAATTAGACAGAGGTTGAAAATTTTATCATCTCAAATACCTGAAAAACAAAAAATGAAAACACGATTTTATGCAACTATTGACCCAAATAAAAATCAACAAGCTGAAAGTGAATTAAGTAGAGAAATTTCTAAGGATATGTTCTCTCAAGTAAGTAAAAATTATTAGTTTTACTATGATAGTGGTTTTTTATATGTAAACACATTTTCAATGTGAAAAATAATTGTTCCAATCATTAACTTCAGGGTATTTTCTTATTGGATAGAGTTTGTGCATTAGAGAAGTTATTTTTAATGTTCCTAATAATTGAGTAGAACTCAAAAAGAAAAAAAAAATGAAATATTTACTCAACAAAAACTTTTGCTAAATTGATTTTGATTTGTTGTAATTCTGTAGGAAATTGTCTGAAACCTTCACTTATAAAATTGATTCAAGTTTCATCATAATTTGTTCTTCTACATTAATTATGACTGAACTCTGTTAAGAATCGTTTTTTCATTAACAATGATTAATCATTGTATACAAAAATACATTAAATTCTCCTTTACATACTACTGTACCAACTTCTCACTTACAATAGTGGTCCACCCATCGTGTGAAAGTTTTTTTTTCTATAAATACAATACTTAATATTTTTGATATTACCTTACAGATGACTATTGTTGGACAATTCAATTTGGGTTTTATTATTACAAAACTTGATGCAGATTTATTTATAGTTGATCAACATGCTAGTGATGAAAAATACAACTTTGAAACATTACAAAAGACAACAAAAATTACAAGTCAAAAATTAGTGGTGTGAGTAATGAGTAAATATAAATTTCTTTTTCAATTATTTTGGAAATTCTAACAACTAAAATAATTGATCACTTAAATAGATATAAGCTTGATTTTTGGATTTATTATTTTTAATCTTATAAGACCTTTTGTTTCACAAAAATGTTTGTATGAAACAAAGAACATTTTTTTTCAACAAAATGTTCACTTATTACTAAAACATATTAAATTAATAACTTGAGAATATTTCTGGAGATGTTTAATAAAATATTTGTAAAATCTCGCATTTTATAACAGAAAAAAACAAACAAACAAATGTGAATAACTTCTAATACACTAATTTCTTTTTTATAACTATTTTTAAAATTAAAAATGGGTTATAGTGTAAGAATAATAGTGAAAAAATAGATTCTTATTTTTCATTTAATATTTAAATCTTTCTGCAGACCTCAGCAATTGGAATTAACTGCAATTAATGAAATGATTTTAATGGATAACATTGATATTTTTAAAATGAATGGATTTGACTTTGAATTCCAACCAAATGGTAAGTTCTTTTTCAAATTAATAATTTAAAAAGAAACATACGTCACACAATTGGTAGGCTACTGTTCTAAGTGAGAATTTCAGAAGGTTGGAGAGGAAAAATTTAATGTATATCTTTATGCAACAATTAATCATTGCTAATGAAAAACGATTCTGGGCGGAGTATAATTATACATGTTTTAAGTTCATAATATTTACAATTTGAAAATAATATATTTTGTAAATTTTCACATTTATGACGAAAACACCTGGGAAAATTAAATGATTAAATGATTTCCATAAAATACCACCCCAGATAGATTTCCTTTCAAGAAAAGTGCTACGCTTGAAAATCTGAGCAAGATTTTTGGTAGGAAAGTTGTTCACAAATAAAAAAAAATAAGAGGAAAAAACTAAAACCAACACATTCCTGCTCCTCTCAGTATCTAAAATAATACCTGTGAGCATTAGATTCAAATTTTCCCTTTATACAGTTTTATAATTTCTTTTATTTTTATAATAATTTTTTATTTAATAAAAAAAATATATATTTATGTATACAAATGTTGGTTGTTGAAAATTGATATCTCCAAACTCTAATTATGTAAAAAATGTCTTCACCTAGTTTCATTTGGGAGTCTATAGAGGTGTTCAAGACTAAAAAACAAACAAAAATCAACCACACAAACATAGAAAAATTCTGATTTAAATGTATATTCACTTTAATCACTCTAATAGGCTTACATACAATTTTAATTTCTGAGTTTTAGCCAAAAGAAAGTCGCTAGATATGTTTTAAAGTCATTTCCCATTTATAAATAGACCTGGTAATAATAATAACAATTATGAAGCCTATATATTTATATATGCAAAACTACTGTTGCTATTCATTTTAAGGAAATTTCCGCCTTTTGAGTAGATAGATATCAGATATCATTGAACATCTAAAAATTCTGTTCCTATTAACCCGTAATTGTGAAATAGACTTAAAATTTGTTTTCATTCTGATCTGTTGACTTTTATTACAATGAAAATGGAGAGAAATTTGATAATACACTTTTTACACTTTGAGCAATATGTACAATAATTTATTTTTTTAGCACAGACAACAAAAAAAATTAAATTAACCATGATTCCCATGAGTAATAATTGGAGATTTGGTAAAGAAGATGTAGATGAACTACTGTTTATGTTACAAGTGATTAATCAATACTTTACTTTCAATTACTATTATTGCTATAATTATTTTATTATTTAGGATGCTCCAAATACACTTTGCAGACCTTCTAGAGTACGCTCAATGTTTGCATCTCGTGCTTGTCGCAAGTCAGTAATGATTGGTTCAGTATTAAACATGAATGATATGAGAAAGCTTATTGATCATATGGGAGTGATTGAACAACCTTGGGTAAGTTTTAACTTCAATAATGGTTAAATTATTATAATAATAACATGTTCTTTAACACATATATATATTTATGTATTATTTAATATTAATTTTATTCAAATTGACTTTGAAATGTAATTTCTATCAAATTTATCTTAAATGCTATTTTTTCAATATTGCATGTAATAAATTGTATAAAACATATTAGTTAGGTATCTTACATTTTTTGAATAAATGTTTATTTTTATTAATTGACTTAAGAACAAAATTATGCATTTTTTTTTTTCAGAATTGTCCCCATGGAAGACCAACAATGAGGCATTTATTAAATCTTTCATTATTATTAAATGAAGATATAAAATGAATAAAATTGTTTCATGTCTTTTGTGTACATAAATATATTTATTAAAGAATGACAAAATAAAATCTTTTGTTAAACAAATAAACAATTTTTTATTATTATTTTTATGATTTATGAATTTGTACTATTTAAATTATAAAAATTAATCCTCTCCAAAGAAAGAAATTATCTATCTTGTTTGACATTGTGCCATTATTCAACAACTAATAGGTAAATTACAAATATTAAATAATTAAATAAGCTGTAAAATTTACGGTTAATAATAAACACAAAATATTTTTGGGCATAAATATTACTCTAATTCACTTTGGTTTAAACCATTTGGGAGTCTTTCCACTGTTTGCTGTTGTATTATTTTGCTGAGAAGAACTAGCCTGTTGGCGTTGATCATCAAATGTTCGACTTGGTCCTGGTTCTGTATTATGTGAACTTTCATTATTTGAACAGTTTGCAATTCTTTCCTTTCTGTAATTATTTAATTTTAAACAAATAAATATTATAAAACATTAATCGGCCTCACTGAAAGTAGTATTGTAATAGTATGGAAACAGTTTATCATGGTGTTAATATTATGCTTATAATTTATATCAATCGAAAATTAATTTTATCTAATGTGTATACAAGATTAAATACACAGATTATAACTAATTTGGCAAATATGCTCAGACCAACCTCACAAGATAAGCAGCTATTGAAGCTTGGCATGCTGTCACAACTTTCTCTTTGAGTTCAGGTTTTAAATAATGGTCAATTTCGCTACCACATGAAAAATGTATCATAGCTGATGGTACACATCCACATTCTAATAATGTATCTTCTGGTTTTAAAATGGTTTTAGGAGGTGTAGTAACTGTTAAATCAAAACAACCATTAGTATTTTGGATGGAATTTTAATCATCGTAATAATTGTAAATTATTAATTACTCTCGTACACAAAAAGAAGTCCAAAGATTCATCAATGAGGTATTTTCTAATAAAATTAAAAATATCTAATATAGTTTCAGTCGGTTTAAACACAGTTTGTAACACTAATCTGTTTGGAAAATGTATTCTAATAATACACTTGTTGTATTTATGTAATAAATTTAATATATTCTGAGCTTTTTCTATCTCGCGCATAGCACTTGTAGACAGCTGACCATCTTCAAATTGAATCCTAAAGTAAAATAAATATTAAAATCATTAAATCAATATACACAAATGTGCAAGCAAAAAAGATATGCACACACTTTGCACAATGGGTAGGCCACTATTATAAATGAGAAGTTGAGAAGGTAGTATATAGAGGGGAATTTAATGTATATCTTTAAGTAACAATTATTGATAATGAAAAAATGATTCTGAGCGGAATTCAGTTGATAGTGTTGCTTTGTCAACAATATATGTCATATTATGGTAAAATAATTATATATGAATTATATATTTTTTGTAACAGTTCAATAAACTTATCCCTATAATTTCATTTGAGTCATCAGGGGTGTTTAAAGCAAAAAAAAGTATTCCATCCTGCCAAAACATAGGTGAAATTCTTGATTGAAATATAACACCTCTTTTCAATGTTTTATTATCACAGTCTACTATTTCATTTCCTCTGTCTTATAACACCTATATTATTTAAATTATTAATACAAATATGGACAAATCATAGCTTATGTTTTATGAAACCCTTTTCATCTACAAATTTTTTTCAAGTGTTACTTTTAAACCATTTGATAGACCAAATTGTTCGAAGTACAAAAAAAAAAAATTCACTTTATTGCTTATGTTATTAATAAATAATTGGTAGATTGAATTTTCAAATGACATACACATTTGAACTTAAATATTTAACATTTTTAAGGAAACAAATTAAAAATGTATACAATTTACCGTGAATTTTTTAAATCTCGTAATACAAGATTAACATCCTTTACGGTTGGCTCAAAGAAATCATCACCTTCATCTTGATATAATACTGAAGTACCATCCATAATGTTAAATATTAGTGTATCACGATCGTCCAACTAAAACAAATAGACACTTATAATAAATGTTTTCTCCTCTTTCAAACTGTTAACTAATAAACAAAATGTGTAATTCAAAATAGATCTATCATATTAACTCTTCAATTAAAATACACACATCACATATTGGTTTGTTAAAACAATATCAGTGAAAAAGATCATATAACCAGAATTATTATACTAACATATGATATTGAGTTTTTAAAATGTTCAAGATCTTCATTGGAGATAGTTTTTTTGTTAGTAGAAGTGTTTATATCATTAAGGTTTTTTAAACATTTGATTTTATCAATGGGTTTTGTTTTTACAGCCACATCATCTGAATCCATTTCAGTATCCATAGGTTCATCATTCATGGAGTTTTTTTCTTTAATTATGGGGTGTTTAATTGTAATTGAATTGTCTGGTGATATTTTTGAAATTTTTTTATTTATATGTTCATCAGTAGATTCCTCGAGTTTTGGTTTTCTTTCTTGAGGCACATATACATGGGCTTGGTCTTCTGATTCTCTTTTATTTAATAATCTAATGGACCAAATAATAAAATATTTGCCAATAAAATTAATAATATTTTGGGTAAGTAAGTAATGTTAATATTATATATTTTTAATTTTGAAAAATGTGTTAAATTGTTTGTGAATTATGATAAAATATAGTTTACCTTAACAAGGCTTTGCCACTAACTAATCCAATGTCTTTTAATGTTTTTTGTTGCAGTTGTTCTTTACCAATTATTTCCATTCTTGTAAAAATTATTGCTGGACTTTCATAACTGATGGTGTTTTCCTTCAACAAAGTCTGAACAACTTCCCATAGAGTTTCTTGTAAACAAAATTTATAATAAAATTAAAAAAAAAAAAACAAAAAAAAACCAATAATAATAATAAAATTATCAATATGCTTACGGCTAGATAAAAATTCACCAGTTAGTCTGGATCCATCTTCTATTTGTAACAATATACCAACAGAGCTATCTTGTCTCGACTTTGTAACAGGTACTAACTCTAATAAAGCATTATTGCTTATGTTTGTGAACCTAATCAGACTAGTTGTGTCCAATATTTTATTGTGGTATCTATCAAAATAAAAATAAAAATAAAAATAAAAAAAAACTTATGATGCTTTACAATGTTTATGTTAGTATAAAAAAAAAATTAAACAAACTTTAAATCATAATCGTTGCTGTCTAATTTCATTTTTGTGCACGCCAATTCCAACACCTAAAATAGTAAAATATTACACAACACATTCATAGATAAGTATTGTGAATTGAATCATTTAAAATAGGTACTTGCTTTTAGTATAGTCATATTTGGATTGACTTTAACATTAATTCTAGCAGCGTTTAGACCCAAGACTACTAAATTTGTAGTCATGTTGAGAAACTATAATAAGAGAATCGACGTAAAACTGAATTTCACAAAAGACTTCTTAACAAGTGAAATCAAAAAAAATACAATTTAATAATGTATTTGGTAGGTAAATAGAATGGCTAATTGATTTTCTTTTTTGATAATATTTATGAGCAATATTTAAAATATATAAAAAACATGACGTAGGTAGATAGTAATGAATTTTTTAGTTTCCTTTATTCTACTTACCGTTTCAAATTTAATATTTTAACAAGTTATTATCTACGATATTGCTTTATCATCGTTGTTTTTTTATCAAAGACAATAGAAAACTAAACGTTATACCATGGTTATGATGTTGAGGTACATGATACGACTTATCGGCCGCTAGAATTACTACATTCTTACCATATCTTCCCATCTCATCCTGGTACGTATTTAATTTATCTAAAACAATAAAAGCATAGACATATTAAGATACATGTTAAGATTTTTCTTACCTAAACAAAGCTCTTTCTCATTCTAACAAACTTATTTCAATAAACCTATGGCGGGGTGTGGGGGAGGCGCAGCCCATATCTTAATATGTCTATGCATAAAAGTCATAAAATAATAATAAAAATTTGTTTATCACAGACAGTTCATGATCACAGATTATATGTTTTATATTTCCATAGATAATAAGCGCGTTTTGACGCTATAATGTAATCGTTTGATAGCCGAATGCACTTTTCGGCAACCGGGTTGCCGGAATCAGCAAACAATTAAAAACTACATTTACTGTTTTCGGTTACTAATTATTATCTGCCGATAAAAAATATCATTCGACCATTCCATCAATTTAGTATACAATAAACAGAACACGTTTTGGCGACCAACGCCAACGTAGTAAACCTGTGCATATTACATTCCGTGATAATATTATGATTGGATCTAATGCAATCTGTAACTATAGTCGTGGTCACGATTTAAGATCTTAAACCGCGGTCGGTAACATTAAATTTGAAAATTTCATATTATATTTTACAGAATACCGTCGAATGGTATTTCGAATATTTTGTTTTATTCGAATAATTATTCTGTCACTTTTGCAATATGAAATCGAATTAAGTATTGTAATATTCTATTCACAAACAGGACAATAAACAGTTGTAATAAGTTGATTGCATCGCGGGTAAAGAAGAATCAGCGTGAATATAAATTAGTTAGAAAAATGCGGGAATATTGGTAGTTCACTAGTTCACAATCCTATTTAACCGCACAATCACGGTAATGTGTCTTTTGTACTTAAGTACTTGCACTACAAATTAAATGTAGGTATTTGAAAAGACATTATAGAATTTGAAACATTCGATTGTATTATGTATAAATCATTATCGGCGAAAAACGACAGGGTAAAAAACTTCGAATGTATTTTCTTTAAAAAAATACAAATGTTAGTGTGCGATTGCAGGCTGTTGACCCCCGATCAAATAGCATCAGTCGTTTTTTTTTTTTGTGTGTGTGGGAGGGAGGGGGTTAAATATAGGTATTAGTATTAAATAGTAACAGGGTACCCGGTATTTTAAATAGCAAACGGTTTTAATAAGGATATCCGTATTTAATACCGTTCCAAAATCCTGAAGGTGAATACGAAGAAAATCGCATTCGCAGTGGTGGAGAACCGGACGGACAAGACAGGATAATCGTTTCTATAAAATCGTTATCGGACACATAACTGAACTAAAAATTGCTGTGTGCACAAAAGTCCAATCAAATGTCTGTGATTTTCAAGTAAAATGCGTTTGACGATTTTTACCTTGTCGGTTTTTTCCCCTAGATCCATATTAGCATAACCCCCTACTCGCATACATCATTGACTTAAGTCATACGACTGCTTTATGCGTCACATAATGTCTACCTAATATGTTTTTCACCGATGTCGTACACGGTTTTTAAAATTGTATTTAATTCTACTGTACACGGAACATCTTTTGAATACTTAAACCTATTTACTATCGCATTTCAATGCAATGACCGCAGCTGATTTTGAATTTTTGTTTAAAAAGTTTATGTTTCCGTTTAAATGCACTTCTGTCATGACGATTATTCACGACTCATAGATAACATGCATGTGTTTATTTTAAAATAATCGTTAATTTTAGAACTAGTATCTACGGTTCCTGGAGTCTGGACCGCAGTATTATTAGATGACGATATCAACATGACGTGGATTAGGTTACCTACTATAATAATAGTAATAACTAATAATACTATTAATATTATTATTTATTATCAATACTTTTGTTATTATGTATTTATGTGTTATTTAGGTTCAATTATGTCGATGATAACTAACCTCAGCTGTCCTCGACATAAAAAAAAATAAAACGGTAGTATCACAAAACAGATTAAATTCAAATGATAAGCATTGTTGAAAAATAAAAAAATTAATAGTAAATACTGAACTTCAATAACGTTATTTACCTACCATTTAATAGTAAGTCAGTTACTTATTTATCAGCTCTATAATAAATTATAACTTATCATTACTTTTTCTTCAACAGATGCTTGCAGCGTTTCTACTGCGTTTTGTTTTAAATAATTATGTGCGTAATTGATGTTATTATTTTAATTTTATAATTCCTAATTAATAGATTGATTTTAGTGTTTAATCGCATTGGAATTTGCTATTTCTCATAGTTCGATAATAGTGCTTACACTGTTCCAAAGAAATTTAATTTTCATTGAAATAACATTTGATTATCATATTACGGTATTTATGATGTTTTAGGTACCTATTTGAATTAGTTAATATCCATTATTTAAGATCTAAAAAAAACCTAAAAAACCTAAAAAAAAAAACATTAATTAACTAGAGTATTTTATTTTTCTTTATAGTAATATACAACATCATACAGTAAAAAATGTCTAGGAAAAATACATTGCTAAAAACGAGGTACAAATATGAATATTAAAATACTTATTAGACATATATTTTTAATGCCTTGGGGCTTTATTAGGATCCTCCCTCTATGATTATCTTTTAACTGTGTATAAATAGATAAATAAATAAGTAATAATATTATTACTTATTACTATGTGAATGGTAATTTCGCAGTCGGTAGCATCTTAAATTTGTATTTTGTATGCATTTACACATTGCATGATTGTTGTGTCTTCATTTAATACCAAACCATAAGTTAATATTTTTCTTTTTGGTCACTTCAAACTTTGAAAGTTTATGGATAGATTCCGGGTTACAGACAAATTACCTACATTGTGTTTATTATAGTTAATTATGAATAATTATTATTCTTATCCGTACGTTTCTGTTATTATTTAAAATTAAATGTTAATAATAATTACTTTAGTTTATCTGTACCTCAAAGTGTGTAACTTGATTGTGTTAAATGATGAATTTATAATTAGGTAATTATGAAAACAATAATAAAATAAGAACTTGTTTGTTTTTGATTGAACGGTATTTGATAATACTGCAATGTAAAATAATCTGAGGTGCAATTGAGTATTGTTGTTAGTGGCGTTTATTAAAAATAAATTGTTTGGCTAGTCACATTAATTATATAATTAAAAATCTAAACAGTTAACAATACAATTCTTAATGAAAATATTTGATCAATTAATATGAATTAAATTTTGTTTTTTATTATTTAAGGTATTGCGAATATTTACACATTGACATTGTACATTAATGTTACCTAAAAACTACCTAATACATACACTTATTAATGTAAGCAACAAAAATATCCATAAAATAAATTGGAATACTTTTGATTTTTAATGCTATTATTTTTATTTATTACTAAAGAATTAACTACTAATTTCATTAATAAACATGTTTAAATAATAATATTTATAACTTTTAGATTTACACAATTAAATATTTTCAACACTTATAATTTTGGGAAATTCTAACCAAAAGTTGAAAAGAGAAAGTAATGAAAAAAAAATTACAAAAATTCATATCATGTCACATAGGGTATGTCAATAATAATAATTATTGGCATACTGTATACATTGCATACTTTTACAAAATTGTGTTATTTATCATTTTTAATTATGATTTTCGAAAATTAATCATTTTAATAAATAATTATTAAAATACCCATTACAATATAATAGTTATGTAGATATAATTTTAGGTACTTATCTAACATTTTCTAATGTCTAAAAGTTAGGTATTTATTTTTAAGATGTTAAATATTTAACATTATATTATAAATAGATCTTGTTTATTTTTATTTACTTTTTTGTAAATGATTATTTTAAAGTAAAATTATAATTTCTTATTGGATAATACGGTAAAATGTTGTACTTAATATGTAGACTTTATAATAATAAAATATAATCTTTTAATAGTTATTTTTAATTAGTATCATAGTATCATAAATAATATTAATTAATCAATTAATTAACAAATTTACTATATTTATTATAATATTGGGTTTTTGTTGTTGTTATTTTTGTCTATATTTCAACACTGAATATTTTCCATGTTTTTCAGAGCCGATTCGAGTTCAAATAGATGTCTGTCATCTTCGCCCGGAGCTATCCGTCTCATTTCAGCTGCTAGATTATATACATATTCAGGATTTGGTCCACTGGTTCCTTTGCAAGCTGCTATCCGGCAAGCTATTTGTTGAACAGATGCTTCACCGGCATACCATTCGTTATCTTCGTCAGCTATGTACACCGTGACTTCTGCTGGTATTTGATCTTTATTTGTTTTCGAGTGGAATTGTATAATCTTTTTGGTATAACCTGCACGTTCACGTAGGTCCAAACCAGCACACACATTGGCTATGTCTCGATTATCAATTGCATATGCTATACCCCATACACAACTCTAAAATAACATTAAGTTTAGTACTAAGTTTTGTCTTAAGCGAGCCGCTATGTTTTATCAATTTATGTTATTTATTTATTTTACATACTTAAATGTACAAACAAAATGTCCTATTACAAATTATATAATATGAACACATAATATATATTTATTACATAGGTATATGCATAATATACCTTTGTAGAAAAATGAGTAAAACATAGTGCCCGTAAAATGTTTAAATATAAATAATATTATTCAGCTCACATCGTCGGTTGAAGGTAAAAGGGTTACCACTCGTCCAGGCTGAAATATATTTTAAACATACAACTAATATTATCTTGACTAAAATAAATAGAAAAAAAAAAAAAAACAATTTTATCTTACTAGTTCATTGGTTCCTCTATGATCCGGGCTAAATTGATAAAATCGTCTGGTGTATCCTTTAATGTATCCAGGATATTTTTTGATGAATGGAAAGTTGGTCTTCCACATCAGAGACCCGTAACCAAATATCCAAAACATATGGTTAGTTATACCGTTGGTCAGTACATTGTGTATGTGTTGATTGTTTTCTGAATTCTCTGGTTTCATTATTTTTTATTAGTATAACTTTCTATAATGGAATTTTAAAAAATAAATAAAATAGTTAAACTTTGCTTTGTCTGTATTAATTGTTTATTATATTTTTAACATTTATATATGATAACAATTTGATAGGGTTTCTATGGATTGGGTGGCAAATATTATAACTGAAAAAATCAATACCTGTTTTGCCATTACTTTTTTAGCAAATAGATGGCGTTGTTGAACTTACAGTGCAAACTTGACTGACTAAAATATTATGTTTGTGTTATTTAAGAAAAATGTATAAAATTATAATCTAATATATTTCATGAACCATGAGTAGGTACTGTTTTATACATTTGAATACATTATTTGTTTGACTTCTTTTATTTGACCTTTATTTTATTGGCTACACTCCAGACTAAAATAGGTACCTATACATGATTTGAGTAGGTATATAAAAGTATTAGATAAAAATATACTATTTTAAATTTTGAGCAAAGAGGGGGACAATATTAGTTTTGCTAAGGTTTTTTTTCTGCATTCTAAAGAATTTTTCTACCAAAAGACCTGCTCCAATAATTAACTTCGGGGATGATTTCAGGTGGTAAAGTTTAACTCGTTGGTGTACTAGCGTATTTAAAAATGCAGTTTTTTAAATCTTCCTCGTAATTATTAGTAATAACACAATAATGAGAGGAAACCGGAAAAATCGGAATATTTACGAAACAACATTTTCTGTTTCTATTGAAATTGATTTTATTTTATTTTTGTTGTAATTTAGTAAATAATAATCATATAGACCTGCAATTATCGTCGAAAATATTTGAGGCTAGATAGCATTTTCTCGGGGTATGTAGTTAGATTTTCGAAACGTTTCTCCAGCCCCTCCGTATTTTTTATTTTTTACATTAGCAACAGCATGAAATCGCGGCAATAGTCATTTAAATGCATGCTTTACGTGCTAAACATTGGTATCTATACAAAATTATACCTATTGAAATATTTGATGTTGGGGAGTTGGTGAAATAATGCTCGTTATTACTATCAAGTGCTTAATCGTGATGTATTTTCCATAAATTAGAATGCAAATTGATAGGCTAAAAATTCTGTACAATAGGTTCGCCAATGGCTTAAGCACTCACAATTTAACTTTAAGCAACCCCAGATTCTATGTCTTTGTAATTTCAAATAGGTACCTACAATTTTAACAACGTAATTTTATTTTTAAGTATTTATGATCAATATTATAAGACGTTTTTCCAAATCTCTACAAACTAATAATGCAGTTTGCATTAACCATTTCAGTCTGTTCAGCAACATGCTAGCGTAGTTTTTCTTCTATGCGAAAATTAAAAAAAAATTGCCTGAGAAGTAGTAGTATGATACAGCGATGGTTTATCAACGTAACAGTAGGTATCATTATCATCGAGAGACTTAACGAATGCAATTAACCCGGAAGAAATATTGAACAAATTTGCTTCCATCGATTGGAAATTATTTTTAATAATTTAATGCCCATCACACTGTAGAATAATTTAAAGTAATATGTGTTTAAATTTTCAATACGTTATGTCGGGGAGTGCGGGGGCGGAGCCTTTCACGTCTATGTGAGTTTCATAATTTTGGCACCCCTAAGATTGAACTCTAGTTGCACCGCTGTTCGCCATTAGGTGAACTTTTTCATCAAAAAATTGATGCGAATAATAATTATAAATAATCGATTTCAATGTGTTTTTACAGGTATATTTTGGTTGTAAAATGGACGATTTTGATGTACTCCCGTTGCACCGAAACAAACATTTCACGAAACAGTGTTGCGATTTGATCAATTCCGAATGGCCACGCAGCGAAACAGCCAGGTACCACCTACTTGTTGATTTCCAGTATAGAAATGTTGAGTTACGGTTGTTTTTGTTTATAATTTTTAAATAATATGATATAATAATAATAATTTATTTTTTAAACGACGAATAAATATGCAGTATGAAGTCTTCGGGAAAACGGTTATTCCGTTTTCGAGTTTAAAACACAGCATTTAAACACGAGTAATATGTCGTATCAGAGGAACGCATCAAACAAAAATTGATTTTTTTTTTTTATTGACGAATATTAACCAATTTTTTTTTCCTAGTTGGTAATTTTCTAATGATTAAGAATTTGGCAACCCGTGTGGCAGCAAGTACATTCAGGTCATGTCGATGCATGATAAATGAATATTGAAGAGTCCACACCCGCGTTCTAAATATTATTTTTGTACGCTATTTTTAATTTTATCGAGAACATTTCGACTAAATTTAGCAATACGGTACGGCCGCAGATAGCCATTTATAAGTTATCACCAAACAGCAATACTTGAATATTATTCGATCTCTGAAATTATTTTTATTAGGGGATTTTTTTTTTCGTCTATATCGAACCGCTCACGGGTAGGCCACTGTTGTTTGTAAGCAGTTGGGGAGGTAGGATGTACAGTGTAGTTTAGTTTACATATTATACAATACGCGACGATGAATTATTGCAAAAGAAAATTGTATTTTGCTCCGTAGTCAAGGTCACGAAAAAACCAACGGATACAAAACCAACTTTGTTAGTTTTAAAAAATTGAATTGAACAACTATTGTCAGTCTAGACATTTTTTTAATATAGTATCTACTTTTTTTTTTTTTTTAGGCTTTTACGAGCCATTTAGGCTCTTTGCCGCCAAAACTACTTCCTTCCATCGCTCTCTATCATNATCTCTCTTCTTACAAGCTAATTAATAAAATAATATACTTAATTACAGAATATAATAAAACTTTAAATACTTGAAATATGAACAACATTTTTTTTTTTTTTTTTTTAGGCTTTTACGATCCATTTAGGCTCTTTGCCGCCAAAGCTACTTCCTTCCATCGCTCTCTATCATATGCCTGCTCCCAGTCCACTCCAATTCCTTCTAATAATTCCTTGACGCTGTCCTTCCATCTTTTCCGCGGTCTTCCCCTTGGTCTCTTTCCCCTTGTCATATATGTCAATATAGGGCGGATGTAACTAATGTATAGATGTTCTTTTGTTTTTTTGTTTTTCTTGACAGCAGCTTAGATTTAAAGAGGGTTTTCAAATATAGTATCTACTACTGGTCAAAAAATCTGCATCATCGGGTATGATGCTATAATAGCCTGGAGCCTTCTTACTTGGTAGTGAGCAATTGTTTTCCGAGAAAAAATAAAAAAAAAATACCTAAGCAGTTATTGAAAATTTCAATAAATGTTTCAAATAAAATACTATCAGTCTGCCAGTGATTATTGACTCCGTGAAATTTAACCTTCCAATAGTATGCCGGAGAGGGGGGTAAATTTTTGCGGTTATCCCGTGCAAATATTCCGAATTTTCCGGAAGTTACTGCTTGAAAAGTTGGAACATTATGTATAACTAAAAAGTATTTTCAAAATAAAATATGAAAATAAGTCATTTTTCGTACAAAATATATTGGGCGAATATAAAACAATTCCTGAGGCAAGATAAAATACGTACTTGGTAAAATTGATGGCTAAAACCAATTTATTAAAAAAATTATATATTCAATTTAAAAAAAAAAAAAAAATGTATTTTAGACAAAGTAGCCATTTTCAGGTTGATACGTTCCTCTGATTATAATTTCTAAGCAGACAATTTTATTCGAAAAGTTATTAAATGTATTATGTTATTAAACACGATCTTTCGCCGTTACGCGGATCTTAGCGCCATTTTTTTTGTGAAGAGTATATTTTTGGTATTCTAACGATTTTACCGTCGAAAACTAAAATATTTTACGATATTATAACAGTTATTGTTAGCACCATACTGCATACATTTCTACCGTATTTAAGTACGTGTATGTATTTCTGATTTGGAAAATTAAACGATATGACGAAATATGAAAATATGTATTTTGTGTTTTAGACTTTACAGTTTAGAAAATTCGTGTGATACATTACCTACGTCTTTGGTGTTGGTTAAAAATGACGGAAACAATTGCAAGACTGTTATAGGACACTTGAAACTTACGCCAATACCATCTATGCCTGATAGCGTGTTTGTAGAAACTGGTAAATACAATATTCTTTTTTTTTTTTTTTTAAAGTCATTATTGAGATTAATAACAAATAAAATATTATCGATATTTTTATAGGAAATAAATTAAAGAGAAAAATGTTTCCTAACCTAATCTAACCTTTCGGTAGAAAGTCAATGGTAATTTTTCACCATTTTGATCAAGTAATTATCTATTTCTTTTTTTCAACCATTACATAATAAAATTTAGCGTTTGCTGTTTTCAAAATTATACCTTATCCATACACCTAAAAAACATAAACTTTTTATTTTCAATAAGCAAAACGGTCATTAATTTCAAACCTCGTTCGAAAAGAGAATGTTTTTGATTTGTATAACACTAATACTGAATTTTTCATTTATGAGTTAGAAGTTATAAATATCCTAATAATTTAAAATTTAAACCAGAACCCAGAAGAGTTACTATAGTCTACTAAAGATTATGAAATTGATGGTATACACAGCCGGTCTAAATTTTAAACTGTTTTAACTGTTTAACTGAAATTATTTTTTTCGGTTACTAGTTTTCGTTATTTTATATTGTTTTTCTGTTTAATATTGGTTTTCTCTTTTATGGTTTTTAAAAACCAGTTAACTTTGTTCTTTAAAAATATAGTTAAAAAAAAAAAAAAAAAAAATACTTTTTGGACAAATCAAAATTTAAGACCTATAAAAAAAATGTTTAACACATATTTGACTATAGCATCAATGGTACAACGCCATTTACTTTTTTAATTTTTCAAACCAACAACAGTGTAACCCACACAATGTATCAAAATTCTCTTAAATAGTTTAAACCCATACAAATTTGTAAAATATTAGATTTAAATGTATTATAAACTTTTTAAAAACGCAGAATTTTTTTTTCGTTTAAGAATGGAAAGTAATAATAGTTTTAATTAATACGCTGTTGTTATTCTGAGAATCTTAAATTTTAGTTAAATTTATGTAAATTGTCTGATGTAACCGGTTAACCAGTTACTGTAAACTGGTTTAACCGGTTTGAGTCCTTTGTTATTACTCATAAACAGTTATTATGTAATGCATAATCAAATTTAAAAAGAGAAATTTAAAACATTTGATAAAAAGAGTTTGCCATTTGAAAATAAAACTTAAACCATCTTTTTATTTTAGAAGCAATATTATGGATGGAACTATAGAGTTTTCATGTATTATAATTTCATTATATTCACAATTTTTTTTTTTTTTAAATAATTCAATTGATTGGTTCCATAATATGGACTATTTAGTTTACTTTTATTGGTCAGAAAGTATTTTCCAAAATAAATACTCATCGACATGTTTAAACTAGGTATTGAATTCTTATACGCTACGTTTAGAAAACTGATAATAATTATAATAATATTTTACGGTTTCAGTGGTCATCAAAACCAATCAAAGAGGATTAGGATTAGGCAAACATCTTATGTACAAGTCTGAAGAATATATAAAAACGTAATAATATTATATTGTACTCATTTAAATGGTCTATAAATAATATTATTAATTGTTTCAGGTTAGGTTTGAAAACTGTATACTTGAGTACCATAGACAAAAAAGAGTTTTACTTGAAACTCGGATACGTTGGATGCCAATCGATTTCGATTTACGGTAGCTTTTCGAGCGCCGTTAACAAACTGACCACGAATATACCGCCGCCGCCCTCCAAAAAGCAGTACATGAAAAAAAAATTGATGTAAACAACGTTTTGTTTATTTTTGTTTATATTTTAAATATTACAAACAAGGAATAAATATCACTGATATAAACTTGACGTGTCTATTGCACATTTCAGTTAACACAAACTAACAGCATTAACTTCATAGTAATAATAATAATAATAATAATAATAATAATAATAATAATAATAATATTTAATAATATTTAATAATAATAATAATAGTAATATAATATATTACATAATACATATAATATATATGTATATAAAAAATTACATATGTACAATTTAATTGAGCCAACGTAAAATAATAATAATGAAATAATATTAACTAAGTATCTAACGCATTTTCAAAATGCACAATTTCCATTTATATATTATATATGTGTATATATATAAAAAAAAAAAAAAAAAAAATTAATTATTGTGAAAAGTAATATTCTCAATCGTATTGTTAATATTTACGCTTACAAACGGATTAAAACTACATAGCGAATACACCTCGAAAACTAACCAGTGAATTACGATTAATACAAATGAGTGCGCGACTGAAATAAATCGATGTCTTCGGCACCTTTTTTAAAAATAAATTTGATATGATGTTTTGTAATATTATAATACGCATGCCTAACTTAACACAATATACATTATTATTATCGTCATCATCTATTATCTATTTCGTATTCTTACGTATAAAATAATATAATATAATATGTATTTACAAACGTATACCAGCGTGGGTAGTTCCGTTATATTTACGAGACATGATGATATTATAATTATCGTTTTTAAACTATATTATGAATAACGTGTAAATGTTACAAAATTTAATTTTTAGATTTATTTAATTATATAACGTTTTGATTAACACGTTTCAGACCAAAAATTAAAATAAACGTAAGATATCAAAATTGTCAATCTTCGTTGAAAACAATAGCCCGCAGTTTGAGAAACCGGCGTTTATTAGATAGAACTCGTGATCGTTTGAATAAAAAAAATTAAAAATCAGCACGACCCCTGGAATTGAACACTTACAAAAAAAAAAAAAAAAAAAAAACTATCTTTGGTTAAAATACGTATAAAGGTATGTATAGGTAATCTTAACGATATTATATAAGTAATTATTATAGTTTGTCCAACGCGCGTAGTATTCATGTGCAAACGCCCAAACTTACGCAACACGTGCCACGTCGTATTTTAGAATTCAGTCTTGGCCAAGTCACTTTACAAAAGCATTACAATTACAATTCATTGACGATTAGGGTTTGGAACTCGTAGCGTTTCGCATTATTCTTTATTAATGTCTTCAAAGTAATAGATAAGGGTTGACTAATAGGTTTCCGATTAGGACGATGATGAGGACGAGAAGCCCGTCGCCCGCCGTGGACCCGAAATTCGGCCCCCCTCCCCCGCCTCCTCAATACTGGGTCATGGCGTGCCATAATACAGGGCGAACTTTTAACCGTTTATATCGTTAACAGATCGCTTGTAATTGTTCAAGTTGCACCGTTATTGCTTTGTAAAAAAAAAAAAAAAAAAATGTAATTAAATCGCGTAATAATTACATTTACCCGTAATATACGTTACTTTATTGCCCAAGACTGTATTTGTATTATAAAAACGTGTTGGTTTTAAAAATAAATCGTCGAGTTACGCGTGACTACGATCGTCGAGGCGTGATGTGTACGTATACGTTACATTGTACACAGTATTAAAATCGTCGGTGTCGTACGATTAGTGTATTTCTAATATTCCTATATTTTATTGTATACACTTAATAAGTCTAAGTATGTGTGTATAAAAAAAAAAAAAATAATAATAATAATAATAATGACAACATTACAGTCTCAAACGAACATATACGTACAGCAGCGCAGTGAAAATCTGAACAATAAGTACACAACCCCTATTCGTCGGTGTACCCTATATCTATTTTAACAATATTATGCAGGCATGCGGGGTCACGATAAACGCGTTTACCGCCCGATTACCACGAATACCGACATTTACCATTAAGTGGGCGTGGAGTACCAGTTGTGGTGATGGTTCTTCAACGAATCGGCCGCGTACACGGACGACGGCGGCGGCGGCGGCGGTCCGGTGGCCATCGTCGATTTGGCGGCGGCCGCGGCCGCGGCCGCTGCGGACGGATGGTACAGATGAAAGCCGGCGGCCGAATGGTAAAACGCCGCGGCCGCTGCGGCGGCCGCTTGATCGTAATGATCGAGCGACACGGACGGCGGCGGCGGCACCGGGTTGTACGGTTGCGGTTTCAACGGCAGTGCGGGCGCCCCGCCGACGCCGCCGGCCGACGACGTCACCTCCGCGTGATGGCCGTACTGGTACATGTCGTACGGTTGCTGTTGTTGCTGCTGCGTCTGCTGCTGGTGCTGGTGCTGGTGCTGGTGTTTGTCGCGCGGCGACACGGACGACGGCGGCGTCATGGCCGTATGATAGTCCGCGTAATTGTTGTACGGAGGCGGTACCACCAGGCTACCGCCGCCGCCGCCGAATTCGTTCTTCTGCGGGCCGAACTGCTGTTCGCCGTAACCTCCCTCGCTGCCCGGCGGCGTGGGCAGCGCACTCATTTCGCCGGCGTAGTAAGCGGCCGTGCCGCCGATGCCCGCGCCGCCTCCGCCGGGTGACCTGGGCGCGTGCACGTTGGCCCTAATGACGGACTCGCGGTTCGCGTATATTTGCCGGAGCAGGGCGGAAGCGGGCAGCGTTCCGGTGGCCCCCTGGTGATGGTGTTGGTGATGAAGGTTGTTCGGTGTCCCGGGGTGAAGTTGTTGGTGGTGTTGGTGTTGAGCGACGAGCTGTTGCTGTTGTTGCTGTTGCTGTTGTTGTTGTTGCTGAAGTTGTTGGTGCTGCTGCTGCTGCTGCTGCTGCTGCTGCTGCTGGTGATGGTGTTGATGGTGATGGTGAGCGCCTAGCTGATGAGCGCCGATCCATTGGATGGTACTCTTCTGCTGTTGTTGTTTGAGTAGCGCGTCGGTACTAAAATCTGTCGGCGGTTGGTGCGTCGTACCGGCGGACGTCTTGTTACAGTCCGCGCCGGCGGTGGCCGGTGGCAGATGCTTGGACATGGCGTGCTCGAGCTCTTTAACGGCGTTCGGGTCGGTTGTGGGCCTCTTGCAGTTGTCGCCATTGGTTTTCGATGGGCTGGGCGGCAACGTAGACTGACAAGATGACGAGGCCGGACTGAGGCTGGCGAAATGCTGTTTTCGGCCCACCGTCTCCTCCTCCGAACTACTGCAACAGCTGTTCTCCTCGTCTCGCGGCTGCAATAGTTCCGCTATCTTCCTTTTGTGCGCTTTTCGCTTGTCGTTGTTCAATTTCTTAGCCTGCAACACTCCCACTCCGCCGTTGGTATTGTTGTTCAACTGAAACGGAACAAACCGGATATGTTAAAAACGGGATGTTTTACAGAAAAAAAAAAGCGAATAGAAAGTGGTCGTCTTTTGGTAGGAGAACACTTCAAGCGCTTGCTATGTATACGGTAGTGGCGATGTTACGAAAAAAAAAAAAAAAAAATTTTAATTACAAACTATGATTCACTAGAAGGGTCGAATTTATTAAAATTTAAAGGCACTTTTCGAACTTGGACCGATTTGTAATTAATTCAACACGATTTCGAGGAAAAAGTTTTAAATTCTCAAAGTCATACCCCCGGGTTAATGGTTGCGGGGCCTTACTCTGTTAAAACGGAACAAATAAGCGAAAAAAAAATAATCATCACTTAATTTTTATACTCTTGAGATTAAGTATTGTATGTTTTTTAATCCAACTGAGATGTAAAAAAAAAAAAGTCCTCAACCTTGTTTGTGGGCGCCTATTTCTCGGGTCTCCCCTCCCCTTCACCCGTGCCTGCTAATAGCCGTCCGAGAGCCAGTCTCTGGTCAGTCTTTTACCCCGACTTCTTTGTCCCCGGAGCCTCGACAGCCCTGAATCCGGCCCTGACTAGACGCAATGGGGATATAGGAGTTTAGTGGCGGTAGTGCGATGAGTTTTGGGCGAATTCTCAAATCATTACATTATATAGGTATTATTATCGTAACAAATCGTAGTTATATATACGGATGCGCTCACGTGTAGTCGTTCAGGAGGCGTACTGTTCAGTTGCGTGATGTCTACGTGATTTCGGCCTCTGGTCGGGTCGCCGTGTCCGTCCGCCGATTGTCCGTCGTCCAAGTCGGCCGGCGTCAAATGGTCTCGTCGCGGATTTCCGCCTCGTCCGTCTGCGGAAAAACGCGCGACCGTTACGTTACAGGCAGGTAGGTATACAAGTAGGTGCGGTGAAAACCACGTCTGCGTCGCGGTAACCCCGGTAACGCAGTCAGCGGCGGCGCGGCCAAGGGGACGGACCTATTCGTACCACACCGTCGTAGGTGTCGTAGGTCACAGAGACACGGACGGTCCGTGGCGTGAAAAAAAAATCAACGGCCCGAACCCCGTGTCCTCGGACCACGCCGCTCCCCCGATCTTTTTAGCACCGCCGCCGAAGACGGTTTTTTTTTTTTTTCTTATCGTTAAAGTGTAATAATAATACGATGGCGCGAACGACTTACCGCCTCCGTCGCCGTCGGGCGAACCGTTCTCCGGGTCATTTCCACCTGTCTCTTCCCGTTTCACCACCCTCTGCCTAATGTGCTCTTCCATTTGGCAACAATCCATTATCAAATTGTCGTATTCTCTGGCACTGAAATCGTCATAATAAATAATCATAACAATAATAACGTGTAATACACGGCGTGTACATAGCGGCGGCGATCAATATTCCGCCGAGGTCCGCTGTATAATGTTACGCGTATATATACGTATATTTTTATTTTTATTTTTTTATAGTCGGCGAACGTTGTGAATACTAAACGGGAGGACACGCCTAATTGGCGTGTGGGGTTAAATTTTTTTTTTTTAATAAAATCCAAAACTTACCTGACCACGTAGTTGACGCAAATAATGTTCTGTTCTTCGGCGTTTTTCGAGTTGCACACGACCGTACCGCACGTCTGCATCCAAGTGTAACCGCCATTTTTATTCATCACCCTATAGTAGTGCGTCATCATTTGGCCTTTGTTGATGACTATAAAATCGTGAGAAAAAAAAAAATGTTAATTTTACTCTTATTGGCGTTTAATCGGCCGTTATTTTATATTTGCGGGAGAGACGGTTCTTTTAATAATTATTATTAACTATTGAGTATTTAACAAAAACGCGGGATATTTTACGATTTTCACATTCGTATTTGAGTGTCAAACGATTGGGTAGGCAGTAAAAAATAATTTAGCTAAAAACTATCGGTCGTAAACGCGTATCGGACACAAACACAATCAATATATCAACGAGTGTAACTCGACGAAAATCGAGATATGTGTGGTGTTGTTTTGGTTGTCTAACTTCTGCCCCTAAATCGTCTTCTCTCGTGTCTGACTTAAACTTTTTGAGCAGGGTGTAATATTATTTACCTATTGGCTATCACGCACAGTTTACGACCCGTTTTAAACGCGTGAAGAAAAAAAAAACCATATAATTTGGTGAACAGTCTAGCACTCCGAAAAAATCTGAATACGCCACTGCCGGGATCCGGGCACGATAATTCATTGTCTAAAAATATAAATAATATTTTTTTTTGACTACGAGCCATTTAAACTCTATGGCCGCCAAAACAACTTTCTCCCGACGATTTTTATCGTGATATGCCGATTCCCATTACATTTCGATTTTTCTAACAATTTTTCAACGCTGTCACTTAATCTTCCCCTCGACCTTTTCTCTACCACCACGCGCAATTATGCTGTTTTCATGCGAATTTCATAAACCTTTTGGATGTCCTTATTGCTATTCCTCCGATGAACTATACCGAATATTGTCTGTTATACATTTCGCATACAGACAAGTCTGATTACTCATCTTTGCTCGGCATTGTTGGTTCCTTATAATAATAATTCCATAATCCTCATCGACACTTGTCGTCACCCATGGGCCATGTGACATACGCATATTATGTAAACACAGGTCTGGTATAACTTATTCATTATTAGCTGTACTTATAGCAGTTGTTTTATTATTTCCCTCGACGGTATAATTTTGATTAAAACGTGTAAAATTATTGGTTAGCAGCACTCGGTCCTATGTTGATTTCTTCATGCGTGTTATTCTGACAATTAATGGCGGTTATGAAATATTTGAACTCGTTCCAATGGTAGTGGTTAGTGTGGTACTCGTCTACTCGTTTCACCGCCATATTATATTTGTTTTCTTCGTTGTTGACTCAAAACCGGGTACCTATTTTTAGTAGTATAGTTGTGAATCTCTAAACCGAAAATCGAAAATCGAAAACCGCGCGTGTGTTATAGTATATAGGTATGTAATAGTTACGCTCGCATGTCTATCGTGTAAACAGCGGCGCACGCAGACGGGGATTTAGGCGATCAGGACCCCCCTCCCGCGGTTTCCTTCAATAAATTCGTCGACATTTTACATTCAGCAGCATCTCTCTCTGTCTCTCTCTCTATCTGGGAAATCAGTGTACGACCCCCTTCAACCCCCCCCCCGAAAAATATCAGATATTATATACGCGTATCGGACGCCTCGTTTTAACCGCGGTGTATAAGTCACTCACCGTTTTCAAACATCGACGAAATATTCTAATGGTTTTATATAACCGTGTACGTAATACGTTATACAGGTACGTATGATCAAGTGTACACGATAATGCGCACCGGAGCCGCGGGGACACGCGACGAATAATTCATACGGACAACAATATAATAATAATAATAATATCCGATTCGTAAATTGTGTGTAATATTTTTATTGTCCGAGAGCCATCGTCATAATATACTATGCGACTCGCGCGTGGAATATTTACGGTCGGATTTCGGGACGCGCGCACGACGCCGACGCCATAATGTAATACGAATTAATTTCAGTATAATATTATATTATTATTATATTCAACGATATGACGAAACGGACATTGTTTCGTTTTTTTTTTTTTTTTTTTTTTTTTTATACCCGGCGACTACTATATACTACCAGGTTACCATTAGATTTCTCTTTTGTTTCCCCCCGTTTTAAAACATTCCATATGGGTTTATGTGCACGTCCGGGAACAAAATGCACATATAATACTATAATATTGTGTATTATGTACGCGCGTAGCGTTTATAACTGCGGCGGTCGCGACCCGTACGTATAAATAACAGTAGGTCCCCCTTACTTAGCGAAGCAAGCAAGGGCGGATTTGTCACGGCCTGGACGAGTATAGGCGCAAACAGTGCAAGTATTTCGGGCGGGGCTTTACGTCGCGTAATGCTACTGATCAATATTAGTTATGTGCCGAGTGGTCTTTACACGACAATCGCCTGATTTAGAGGGCTCGGATGAGTTTTTTTTCGGGGGGGGGGTGAGAGGCATGGCTAAGGTTCTGCGAGTCTCCCAGCAATGCTGCGTACAAGCGTATATTGTTAGAGAACCCCTATGCTAATCCTGTACGCCGATTGGTTCCAATACCCACGAAATAACAGTTTTAATCACATAAAACCAAATAAAAACCTAGAAAAAAAAAAAAAGTAAAAACAAATTCTAATAGCTATAAACGACGAGAAATTAATTAATGTTTCGAAAATTGTACCATGTCTGGAAAGAGCTAAATAATAGGAGAGTGTATCATAAGTATTCAGCGAACTTTTCGGCCTCTACGATTAATTTTCACTGAAAACGGAACAAAATCGAACATATAACAGCTGTAATCGTTATATTGTGAAGAATATTACAATTTTCCCGGATTTTCCCCATTATTATGGATATTACAAAGAAAATTAAAAAGTTACTTCCTGATCACACCAATTAGACCGGGAAAAAATAACACGTCGTATCATATTGTGGAATCTTAATAGTAATTAGAGATGGGAATTATGACTCACTTTGATGAATAAATTCACTTAAATGAGTCAACTCGTCAAGTCAACTCATCAAATTGTTAATTCTCAATTGATAAATCAAATCGTATCTTAACAAGTTATTGTTTGAACCTGTAAATTCAATTAATCAAATCACATTGACGATAACTGGACGTGTTTCTATAGGAACAACAGTATTACACTGAACTTATTGATAAGACGACAATTTCAGAAATTCGGAAGTGGTGACTTGACTGATTGAACTCATTTACAGGCTCAGTTCAGTTGTCCCGATACAGTGTTGGCACTGAATTTCCGAGTCACTGATTTAGTGATTTTGCAGTGTTGGTACTGCATTGCCGAGTCGCTGATTTGCGCACACTGATTCAATTCATTAAATTCACTAAAAACAGTCGACTCACTCATAAACTACACATCCCTAATACTAATATTGTCATAGTAGAATTTAAAATGAAAGTTACGTAACCAAAAAGTTAACCTGTAATATAGTGTTGTAAGTGGTTTTTTCGTTAACTATTAACGAGCACTGCGTGTAACATATTATTGTGTTTATCGTATTATACAAATCGAACTAAAAAGAACATTAAATAAATCTATAGGTGTTTTATGTGTCATCGATACGCTCCTTGCTTCTCATACGAGAGAACTAATCTTTTTTTTTTTATAAGGGTTTAAAGTTTATATTTTGATGAAAATCTTAAATATGACGGCATTTCAAAACATGTTTAACAGAACTTCGCTCAAAATCGTTTTTCGTTTGCAACGATTTACCGTTGAGTATAGATATAAATTCAATAATTAGTCTGTGTATCGTACCCATATTTTCTAGTTTCCACTTCTGAACACCTTATTTACTCTCAGTGCATACACTCGGTATGCAGATCGTTTTTTTCTTTTTAAATCTCTTTTTGTCTTTTGTTAAAAAGTTTTTGAAGAAGTAGGTTGTAGGTATACACAATTCGATTCGCATAAATCGAATTGTGCGTAGATACCTACTAGGAATACATCACAGAAAAATAAACCAAAACGTTTAATGTAACTTTACGAATCTACGCGCTGTGACGTATAAGGCTATTTTATATTACCGGAAACTGAATTCAACGGTCTCTGAATCAAAAATTTCAGAGATAATTTGAATCTAACTTATTTCAAATATTGTACGAAACGTTAGGATTCAATAAATCTTTTTTTGTTTTATTTTGTTTACTCAACCCCCCCTCCATATTTGCACCTATGGAACACTTATAAACGAATTGAAAACTAAAATTAAGTACGGGCTGGAGCAAATTAGGAAAATCCCGATTTCTCGATAGATCTATTAATCGCTGTATTGATTATACTCACCGGCATGTTTGATTTTCGGCAATCCTATAAAACCTAAATCAGGCCGAAACTAACAAGGCGTTAATAAATAGGCACCAAAGATGGGCTCCATCTAGCTACAGAGTTACAAAAATCAGTAACTTTACAACTTGTAAGTCGCTTTTAGTTTTTTTGTACGTGTATAAGAGTAACTCGTAAAGTTACTTTTTATTTGAATCAAAAAAGTTACAGATTAGTTTTCATTGTTTTGTCACCGATATCTTGAAATGAGGATTTTTTCTCCTGACACGTAGGTGTCATGATGGATAAGAAAAACCTTGATTTTTTTCATAATACAATGTGATAACATTTTGATGACGTGCTATTAGTATGGAAAAATCGTTTCTAACATCAATTCATGAAAGTTAACTTCCGAAAACCGGTCACTGTAACTCGTAAATTTTTGAAGAGTTACTATTATGATTACTAAAGTGATGACAAACAGATTTAAAAAGTAACCCTAACTATTGTAACGTGACTAAGTGACCGAGTTGCTGAGTAACTTGCCTAGCCTTTGGTATAGGCACCCGCGTTTTAATCGATCCCTCAAAGAAATACAGTAGAACCCGAGTTACTCGAAATAAAAACTGTGGATTATTCGTCGGCATTGTTTACCGTTTATCTAATCGGCGCGTGCGCCCCATAACTGTCAACCTAATAATTTTTTGGCAATATAATTTCGAAATAATAACGACAACAATAAACACTGTAATTGTTATACTGTACGGTAATCAGAAACCATAATACGCGCATACACTTTAAATGACTCTCCGAGCCGTAAGTTTTTTTCCCTAAAACCTCGACTAGCCGAAAAAACGCGCGTTTCCCATGGAGTTCGACTTATCGAGGCGTTCCGTTCTGCACCCGCAGAACAACACAAGCGCCGCTGTACGATACACCGTACGGTTATCGCGTCGCGGGGCGGTATTATAATATAATTTTTATGTACGCGTATTATAGGTACGGACTCTTCGGCCGGCGGCGGCGGGCAGAGCGCGCGCCCGCGCACAGAGACACCGCGCCGCTACTCGGTGAAAACGATATTATGCCGAGCAGGTATCGCACCGGAAGCTCCGCCCCGCCCGCCCGCCTCCTCTTGGCGACCGTACGTACGCGACGCTCGTTACACGTAACCGCGTTGCCTACGGACCGCCGCGCCGGCACCGGCCCACTCCGCCGGCGTACGTCCGTACGGTTTGGTTTGGGGGGGGGGCGAAGGGGGAGGGGAGTTTCCCATTTTATTTACGACACGGCGCGGCGGCACCGGACGGACGCGCGTTAGATTTTATCGCCGCCGCGGCGGTCAGTTCTATTGTTGTGCGACGCGCGCGAGCGCTGGCGCGCGGAGAGAGCCGGGGCCGTCGCGCAGTCACCCCCCCCCCTCCCGCCCCCCGCGGACGGACCGCTGCGGCCGGCGACGATCAAGGAAAGAGTAACGCACATTCGGTGAAAACAAACGCCGTCGCCGGTACGGTATTTAATATTATCGTCGTGACGTTCGGGCGGGACCGTAGTACACGGCCGCTACACCCGTTGTGCCCGCGTGTACCCGAACGCGCCGCCGTCTTTATCCGTGTACGCGTCCGCCGCGGTCGTGAATACTGATGGCGCGCGCGCGCGCGCGCACGTTAAATTATTACATTATCGTTTTGTTACGCGACGCGTTCTTCCGGCCGTACGTCCTGTCGGCCGTACGGCGCGGAACGGCCGCGCCGCCGTTTAGACGCCCCGCCGGCGCGACCCGCGCGCGTTTAGCAGACGCGCGCGTCCGTCCGTCCGTTCGTGTTACGAGCGGACGTAGCGGCGGCCGGAAAAAAACGCCTAGGGGCGGGGTTTGAATCGTCGCTCGGCCGTGGCGCGCTGCACTGTACGCGGCCAAACACCTATTATCGCCTGTGGGGGGCAATCTACGCTCGAATGAAAAAAAACCAAATTATACGACACCGCGGCTCAAAAGACAACCGGTGTCGGGGCCGTCACCATTTTGACTGTGCCGGCGGTCTTTCGGCGCACAGACGAATGCGTAACTACACGTAAATACACGCGCTGTACTGTTTAGGCCTTAGCGACCCGCGACCGTTGCGGTCGAACGATAATTGATCGGCATTTACCGCGGTAATTCGCGCGAGCCAGTGTACATGTACGCGCGCCGATATTTTACCGGAAACTAAAATGCCGCGGAAATTCACGTCGCCGCCAAATCCATTGTCATTTGTCTACGCAATACGGTCGGCCGATAATACCGGCGTCCGAGCCTGCAACATCGCGTTGATTACCGCGGCCTCTTCAGTTTTCACGTCTGCACGGCGACCCCTAAAAGCGAAACGCTCCAGGGACCCTCGGTGCGCCGGGCCGCCGACTGGCGAAAACGTTTCGCATATCGTCGGAAAACCCGTACGTTTTAACGCGGTACACGTTGTGTGCGCGGCGTGAATGGTTCCGGGGGAGTTTTCAGCGACCGCGGAAACGCGGCCGTAGCATGTCGGAAGAAAAACTGTTAAGGATTTTCTATCGAATGTGTGAAATTGTTCATACGTTTTTTGTCGTATGTTCCCCGGAAAATAAAGATTATTGCGCCTGATTTTGCATTGCACTGTGTTTTTCCCGGTACTTTTGGACACGTTTAGCGACTCCCATTAGACCAACAGGGCTAAATTGGACGTTTTTTTTTTCTTTTTGTAGATCAATTAATGTGATAACATTCCGGCCGAATCACACATTAACCTATCACTATGTAGTTACGGGAGGAAGTTGTATTGTTTTTTTTTTTTTTATCTTTATACACCCCTACAGACCCTCCAAATGAGACCAGGTTTTATTTTGTATACGCACCGTGTATACGTATCATGGATACGCCCTTTGGTGGTTTCGACCTTCGATCCCCTCTCAAACCGTTTTTATGCTCAGATTTCATGTTTCACATAAAATAACGGGTTTCAATACCCGGACACTGTGAGAATTATAGATTTATGGAAGTAAGTAACTATTGGTTCGTTGCTACGCCAACGCTCGCTAACTGAAAGATAACCGAAATCCTAACGTCTCTATACATGTTATGATATTGTATATTATTTTATTCGTCTGGCGAAATCATAATTTAATCGTCAAAGTCCAGATTTCCCAGATCAAATAGATTAGATACCGGATAACATCGTTACACTGACAAAAGATCCGAGTCTAAACATTTGGACATGGGTCGTATTTTCTGTGGCAGTAAAGGAAACCGTTTTTAGAAATGTAATACTCCGGACTTGACTGTGTTATATTACCAGAAAGTTTGGTTTATCAAAGTTTTCTCGAAAAATATAAATTTGACCGCGAGTTAATAAGCCGCAGAGGCGGTGAAAAAATACTATCGACAAAAAGTTACGTATCACTCAAAGGGAACCATCTCGCAACTTCGATTTCGATCGAGAAATGGACTTGGAAATTAATTGACGTTCGTTAATAGAGTGTACTTACGGTCTAAGTGACATTTTCGGAGTTTGCCCACGTCCTCGCCGTGACACAGCGTGTACATGTTCATGCCGGTCAATTCGTCGGCCGTGTAGTCCAATATTTCCGCAACCCTGCGATTCAAAACCAAAGACGGCGACATCATTACAATGTACGTGTGTTATATTATTACTGCGGTTGGGTTCGACGGAAACGTGTTTTTAAAACTACAACGTCCTCGTGTAACTAATGATAATAGATTGTCCGATTATCGGACAATCGTTTCGCAGTTTTACCGGTACACGCGATAATCGCAAACTCACCTCGGTTCGCAATGGGCTATCCGGAAGTCGAAGTACAGTCTGGTGACGAACATGTCGGTCTCCAGTCGGATTTCGTGCACGCTGGGCGGCGGCAGGGCGATGGCCAGCGACACGGCCCCCAGAAGCGGAGGAGCGCACTTCCGGTTGTGCGAAAACGTGTACTGCGGCCTCAGTCTGCAGATCAACAGCACCACCTGTATGTACAATAACACAAGGCACATCGTCGGGATGAAAAAATAAATAAATACTAGCGTCGAGTAGAAATAAAAGAAAAAAAAAACCAAACATAACGACAGTAGGAAACCCGGACAAATTAAAAACTAATGGTCGTCGTAAGATAAATATTACATATACGTAAGTGTAATAAATTATTTATCGTACTTGTCGACGGGTTTTTATAATCGCCTTCATATCGTCGCGTACCTGTATAATGTTGATATAATATTATATGGTACGGGGATACCGTAGTACGGGTAGTATATTATTGTAACGCAGGCTGCGTTACAGTGGTATTATATTATATACTTATAGTGGCGTGTGAAAAAAAAAACGGTGGTTAACGCGACATCATCAACAGTTCTGACACGTAAATGACATAAAAAAACAAAAAAAAAAAAAACAAGGCGTTCGTCTCTCGTACACTCATCACGATCACGGTTAGCGATATGATTTGTACGTCCTGGCGATCGTCTCAAGTCGGCTGTCCGCCTATAGGTTATAGTGCCCGCAGTATATATATAGGTACCTATACTGTACACCGGTCATTCAATTTTCGGTTCACTACTGTGTATATATAAATATACATATGAGTTTGATATTAAATATTATTTTAAACGTTCGCTCGTAACGTCGGTAGGTTTTTTTTTTTTCGGACGTTTCACGCTAGAATTTACTGTTCCCCTACCGTGAATCGAATTATCACTACACCTATATACACTACACTGTACACAACAAAGTGTCGCGTCGTAGTGTTTTTTTTTTCTTTTATCTATCTTTTTTACACTCCGAACAAAAAGATCGACCGCAGAGCGACACGCACAATTATTATTATTATTATTATTATTATTATTGAATCGTGTATTCTATTGTTCTTATCGGTATATTATAAATTATTCAGTGCAAACTATATTTTATCGGGTGTCGTCCTCCCTCTACGGCCTCCGACGGTTCACGGGTCAAACTATAATTAATTAGGATCATTTAAAAGAAAGAAAAAAAAAAACCATAAAAAGAACCAGACGTTAGAAAACCGATTATAGAACTGTTCGTCTATATATATATATATATATATAAAAAAAAAATACCTAAAAATCATTCACATATCCGTATATATATATGCGATTGTTAAATTAATGAAAAAAAAAAAACGAGAAACGGTAGGATTTACAGGCAGGACCCAAGTACCCAAGTGTATAGATAATTATCCACGGTTGTTTAAACTGATCTTGTTGTGTTGTTTTGGGTCCATCGGAAGTCAACCAGAAATCTCGGAGAAAATTACACCCTAAACACAAGTCGGGGGTTATACCCGATGGTAACGGTAATTAGGTGAACCACAAGGTACACGGATATTTCGGATGATCCTTTGGTTTATATTTGAACTGTTGTTATATTTTGTAATTTGTTTTGTTATTTTGTTATACACAAAAAAAAGAGTTATGTACCTATTATTAAAAAAATTTTTTTAAAATTATCGTTTAGATTAATTTGTTTTACTATACATGATGTGATGGTTTTTTTTCCGTAAACAAGTTTTCGACCAAAAGATTTTGTCCGATCGTAAACCGACAAAGACGGAGGGGGGGGGGTTAGTCTAGTCGGCGCACTGAATACATATGTGATATTTTTTTTTAATTTCTTGCAATTTTTTTTCGTTACAATAAATGAAAAACTAACCACAAACACGACACCGGTGCTAGCACGTATTTGACGGTTTTAAACGTACACAGATGGGAGATCGCGATAACATCTCAAAACCGAATTTTCAATAAACTTCAATTTCTATTCACACTTTTTAATCGTTCGGTTTTCTGATCACGCGAGAAAAAACTGTTTGTTGAAGCAGTTGAAAACGACCGCGGTCTAACGGTATATTTTTCGCGTTTACAAACGTGAACTTACACGGGATTTTTATGGGGTTACTGCTGGATACCTATAATCTCTTGGTATTTGTATTGAAATAATGCAATTTGTAAAACTGACAGCTCATCGATCGAAATCGATTCGTTTTGTTTTATTTTTTGTGTTTAATATCGACTGTACAGTGTAATATATGGAACTCTTGATGCGTAAATCAAAAAAAAAAAAACAAAAATAATAATAATAATAATAAAAACTACTATAACACCCAGTCGTATTTACACGTTATCGCAACTTCATAATATCGTTTTCATTATGGTATAATAGTGTGATACATTAATTATTAATGTAATTTTATCGTTTTAGCTTTCTCTTTATAATAATGTGCCATTGTCGCCACACGTGTAACTACACGTACGCGCATTTGTATAAATATACGCGCGGTGGTCAACTCTGCGGTGATACAAGTTGCTAAATTATGTACGTTTTATTATGCACCGTCGACTGCGGTGTTCGCTAAAATGATAATAGTCGTTTGTCGTCCAACGATACGCGAACGCTCTCGCGTATAATATTATATTGAAAAATAAAAAAAAAAAATTTTTTTTATATATTCTCAAGGCAAGTACAATATTCGTTCGATGCATAATATTGTATGCACGTCCGATCGCCGCAGTCTGTTATTTATTTATTTACGATTTTTTTTTCGGGTGGCTTGTATATTGTTTTCTCATTCCGGTGCATTCCGCCTATAAGCTATGCGTATTGTGTAGTTCAGCGGCGGTTTTGCGGGGGCCTCCGGACCCCCACCCCCCAGACACCTCGGGTTCAGACCACGAAAAGTGGATTTTCTGTTACAGTAAAATTAACGTGTACCCGAGTAGAATGAAATAAATTGACGAATAGTTTTCGTATGTTAAATGTATCGTGCGTTAATATCGAAGGGCCCTTGCCACAAAATGAAAAGTCCCGTAAACCGCCACCGGTGTGTTGTTACGTAGTTAACGGCGGATCGAAAACAAACGCTCCGGGCGCCCGCGAAAACGTATCATCCGATTAAAACCGTCGAGTGCCTCGAACAAAAGTACTAATTTTTAGCGGTTTCAATGAATCATCCGTTTCCGATGGGGTCGGGCGTTCCTTCAACCCTTGCAACAGCCGCGCTCCTACGCACACCTCGTCTCGATTTCGCGTTCCCCTGCGGTTTCGCCGGGGCTGTACCGCGGCTCGTCCAAACAACTGTTCGTGTTTTCCAATATAATTATCGCGCGCGGCGTTGTTTCGAACCAACTCCCCGCACCCGAAGACGGATCCGGTCGATTTACGGCAGCGGTAAAAGTCGCAGGCGACAATTATATTATTATTGTTGCTCGGTAAGGCAATCGTAACCGTACCTACAGACCCGTACGGCAAAAATTTAACGGAACGTTCCCGCCGCGGTCGATCCGCAACTCGCCGTCATCGCGACGCGGTGCACAATAATAGCCGGTGCGACGCGCATTACTCATCCGCGGTCCTCTCGAGCTTTATAATCACACTCATACACAACCCTTTACTTCGATTCCGGTTTGAAAATTACGCGCGACTCCCCCTCGGAAAAACAAGGGAATTCTCATCGTACGCACACTGTATATAATACATATAATGGGATAAGAAAATGCAACGAAAACGGACAATTCCCGCGCGCACCCCGGACAGGCGGCGGCATAATAATATCCGTATTAGAAGTGTACGAGGTTTAAATATATATTACATGTACACGTGCACACTCACCCTATATCCGGATGATTTGAAATGACAACCGCGTTTGGTCAGCGTGGACTTCATTCGAATGCAAAACGCTCTGTCCAAGCCTTTGTACGCGTTCGTGCTGGACAGCGACATCACCGACGAAACTGAAAATAATATTACAAATAAATGTCCGATTTATATTATGCGTTGCGCAGCCGTAGAAGAGTGACCTCCGTGCATTGCGGTCCAGCAGTGACAATGCGTATTTACTTTCGATCGACTTGTACGTGTTATAACGGTGTCCGCGGGCAATGATATTTAAATCAAACTAAATCCAATAATCCATACGGAGTCGTCAGGAGTGTATGCAAAACAAAAAGGATTTCGGAATTTGATTTCGAAACGGGTATTTATGAAAACGAAACACGATCGTCTTACCATTAACTTACGAGATTCTCACTATAAACGAAAGCTCAACTAGGCTTTGAAGAAGGCTCCTATTGATTTTCAGTTCAAATCGGGGGCAAATGTTACTTGGATACTGCGATTTGTATCGTTTTATTACGACTATAAATGTCTAAGATTAAACTTAGCTAGGTGTCATAAACACAAATCGCTAAACTCTTCCGTTGTACAATTTTAAATAGGTAGCCAGTGAACGAATTATTCTTCGACAGTTAAAAATTTACGAGTCGCTTTTTGCGCATCATCGAAAATAATATTTGTAATACGTAATGGTATACCCTACGACTCACGTGTGACCTATTCGAAAATCTCGATCGTTCGTATAACGTTAGCGTTGTCCAAAAAAAAAAAAAACCGATAATGTTTTGATGATCCATTATATTGATGATACAGCTAGGCACAGGTATACCTCTATTATTTTATTTGTTACACTGCCATGGGATACCAGAAATCATATTATATACGATTACGTGTTCCAGAAGTAAAGTCACGACTGTTTGTGGCTAGACTAATGATCCATGCTTCCTCATTGCGCCCGCCCCGACCGAGAGTCCACCCGACATTATAATGTTCCGAACAATAAGCATAGGCGTATATTATATTATATACGACGGGCTGCGGCGGTCAGTGTTATGTGTGAAAACCGATTATGGATTATCGGTACGTATATAGAAATCAGAACCTAGGTACCTTATTCCGGTTTAATTGAAATTCTTAACGGTTTTTCTAAAAAAATCGACCGACAACTAAAAGGCGGGAATGAAAAACAAAAAAAAAAAATGATAAAAACTACTACGTGTTTTTTGGTAACGGCGAAAGCGACCGTCTTTTGCCCGTAAAACGTCTAGTTTTTACCACGGCGTGCGTAATGACGCCTATACCCATTACCCATTACCCGTTATCATGTTACGAAATACAACTATACGAACTCGCGTGTTTGCGCAAGAACGGCCGTATTGTCGTACAGAATTAAGGAGAGAAAAAAAAAACAACAAAAAAATGTACGCGCGATAGAAAAACGAAGTACGGGAGCCGAGCCGTAATGTTATGGAAACGCCGTCGTCGGCCCCCGCGTCAATTCGTAAAAATACTCCGTCACGCGCTATCGGATATCCTCGAGCCGTCCGTCGTCGTCGCGACCAAAGAGGACCGAACTAATTTTTCCCTCGGACCTGTTTTTTTTTTTTCCTATACTTATATACCTAGATATATATTATTTTTTTTCTCTCTCTCTTTTTGGTTATAAATTGGATTGCGTTTCGGTGTTCTATACGGCGTGACGGGGCGATAAAAAACACTCAGGGCGAGCGAGCGTGTGGCTAATCACGTGAAACGTGTGGCGGTCTACAACACACACACACACACACACAAATATATAAATCGTGAAGGTCCAAATATTATACGTAAGGAAAAAAACCGCGCGAAAATACAAAAAAAAAAAAACATATATATATATATATTTACCGTCGGGATTCGCCGTGCCCACGTTCGAACTGCCCTCTTCGGAACCGGCGCTACTCGGAGACGGCGACGCCATGCCCTGGCCCTGGGTCAGTCCCAAGCCCAGCTGTTCGGCCAGTTCCGAGTGGTCTGCCTGGTGTATGTAATCGAACACGCTGCTGCCCGTCATCTCCACCTGAAACGCGTGGAACGTTCAGTCGAAAGCACAATAACGTGCGCTTTTGCACGTCGTGCGGCTTATTTGCTCATTGCTGCGTACCCCACGCCGTAAATCCATTTCCCGCCTGCCCGAAACGCGGAACGTGTTCCGTAAATTGATAATAATTTTACCGTCGCGTTTATCTCGTTATTGATCTGTTTCAACGCGCGATTCTCTTGTCCCGAGATCCGGCGATTTTCCCGGGAGATTTTAAGGGAATCAGATTTTTTTTTTATTATTATCATTTTTTTTTTTTGATTTTGTTTGGGAAGGTGGGGGGGGGGTGGTGTTGCTCAATCGTTTTCCACCGTTTTGCGATTTTTTTCCCCGTATCTTTATTGCACATCCTAAAACGACCGAAACACCTATTTGGATTTTTAAACACCAGCCCCGACTCTCCTCTTGAACACTGCAGATTCGAATGGAGAACATTGGTACCGCCGATCGGACACCGTGATGTACGGGTTAAAATAACGGTTTAAAATTTTGACTGTTGAAGGGGAAACGATGAAGTCGCATTACGTCCTCCACTACTCGTATCCGGTCTAAATGTTGAATGATTCGTGTTATACGCGTATCAAAATTATTAGAGAAATATTCCCCAACCGTACAAGATTATTTGCACGCACCTGCGGCCGGTTCAAACTATGATAAATATAATTTCATTTTGGGGCGTCGGAGTTACGGATTTTCTTCGATACGGTACATTTTTCAAATCCAATTCCTACGAATTTAATGCCGTTTCTTACAGCTTTCTCCGGGGGTTAAAATCGCGCGGGTGTTATAGATATCACGCCGGGGCGGTAATTTCTGCAGATAAAATATAATAACATACCAATTCAATTAGTTGTAACGTCTAATCCTAGCTATTTTATAATATACGAAACCGGGATGGATAAATATCAGCAGGGTATATTTTTACGGTGGCGAGTGTCATGGCCGCCGTCGTCGTCGGCGATTTTGTCAGTTATAATTTATACTTAACACAGAAAACCAATGTAACCGGTTGACAGACACCCGAGGGTTACAGCGGTGAGAGAAACGGCTGAGAGGAAAGGCAAAATATTCATTCACTGTTGCTAACTCACTAACAGTTTCCTTCCGAAGTACCATGCAATCCGTCACGCGACTTTCCTACTCCGAAACGTGACTTACCCGACATAGCGTTTTACGTTTCTTCGTTTTCCTCCTTTATTCAACGCGGTTTTTTTTTCAACGACTAGGAGTTTCGGACTTCAGGTGTTTATTTAAAACACCTAAATGCTGCTTCTCGGGGAAGTTTATCACGTTTTAAAACGGCGCTGGTATTGCTGCATTGCGTTATACCCACAATATCCTCCTATCGTTTTTCCGTAAACCCTATGCCGCCCGGACGAGAACAACTGCCAGACGAGTTTTCGTTCCGCGAGATTTCAATTTGTTCGACTGCGGTTTGCACGTGCCCGCGCGACACGCCTAGCCTCGTGACAACACGCGCGGACGCAGACGATCGCGATAATCTTTCGCGGACAGATGTCGCGGCGCGTCGGCAATTATATACACGTAAATACCGTATAACGGTGTGCGAATTTCGGTGAAAAATCTTTCGCCGGCCGTCCGTCACTGTTGTTGCCCGCGTACCAATACGTATACACGGTTAATTTATAGAGCCGGTATATTGTGTACGTATACGTATGTATAGGTGCGTACGTGCTGCAGGGGGTCCCGGGCGCACGGTCCGCGAACTTCCGCGGCGGCGACGGCGGCGGTGACGGCGGGGAGGCGGCGGACGGGTTTTAAAGGTCGCGCGGGCGGGTTCCGGACCCGACTCGAATTCGACTCACGTACACTTGAGCCGTGCGAGCGTGTTCCTCATTCGTAATTCCGTACACTCTCGGGCCGCGGCACAATCAATAGCTACGCGCAAAGGCCGCGCGCGTATACACAGTCGGCGGCGGCGGCGAGGGAGTCACGGGGTTTTTGCGCTTTTGACGCGGCCGTAGCGAACACTGTACGTATCGGTACGTATGTGTATACGTACCGACGTGTACGCCGTCTCGCCGGTGGTTGGGCGGAGGTTCCCTATACACACGCTCGTGTCTGCGTACCTGGGCGCGTGTGCGTACGTACACGCGAAACTGACGATTGTTTCCGCGTATGCACGCCTACGTACCGTACTACCTCGTCCTCTCCCGTTCCGGGCCTCTTGGCGGCGAACACCGCGTCGCGTACCGCCTCGGGCGCGGCCACCGCACAGGTACGGGCGGAAAAACCGCGGCGTTACATATTGCGCGCGCGCTCTGACGAGAAATTCGGCGTTTTCGTCGTCATCGTCGGTTAAACTGTACACGCGGCTGTTATAACGCGTGTCACGCGTAGTTTTCGCGGCGCCGACGGACGTCGCGCGGGTTAGAAAATAAAAAAAAAAAAAAAAAATTCGCCTCCCCGCGGCGTACGCCCGCGCCCGTCCGACACACTCCCGTTCACCCGGAAACTCGCTTCGCGGATGCGAGTCCGACGGCGCAGCGCCGGCGTCGGGTCGAGCGACCAAGCGATCGTCTCGTCAATTAAAACGGCCGGGCTCGGACGGATGACCGTAATTATGACGGATGTTGATTGAGATTAACAGAGATAAGAGATGCCCTCGGTTTTTATGGATCGCCGATACACTTACGCGCGTGTTTTGCGCAGTCGATTTAAATCAAATCGGATTTCCGCTGTAAAACCAATAGTTTACAGGACGTGTGAAGATCCACGTTTAGAGCGGGCGGACTCTAGTTTTCCGGTTTCGCCTGGGTTATAAAAAACGCAGTCCGACGCGGCGCCGTGCGTGTCCGTACGGGGTCGCGTTGCGCGGAACGTTTGTGTTTTTTTCGCGCGCGGACGGTGCGGCTGTTCGCGTCGAATGCGACCGGACTGGGACGGATCGTTTTCCGGCGGGCCGAATGTCGTACGCGACAATACACAAATATAATTGGTAGCGTACGCGAAAACGGAACGGACGTACGGTGTTTCTGCTCGCTGCGGCGGTTGACAGCGATTCTTACGGACCACGCGTATATGATGTATAAGAAAAAATAATAAAATACATTCCGAGACAATGGGTAACGTTATAATACGCAAAAAAAAAAAAAAGTATTTCGCGTGACAATGAATGAAAAAAATAATAATAAATCAGAAGCAATTTAATTTTAAAAGAAGTCGATGGCGAAAAAAAAAAAAGCGGAGTGACGAGAATCGAGTGGCAATTGTACCTATGTATAAGTTACGCAGCGGAGTGTCGCTTGAAACCGTATATACCTACCTATAATAAGAAATCGAAGAACCGTAAAAAAATTCAAAAAACTGAGGACGTAACAACCACGATTGTGTGTATACCATTATAAATTAGTTGTGTCGTTTATATCGTACATATTATGATATTATAATACGCTATCTACTTACACCAACTTTAAGTACAGTAAGTGTTCTTTGGGCGTTATCCACCCGTGCACGGGAGTGTTGGACTCTGCTGCATATAATTACGTGCAATCACGTCGTCGTTTTGTTTAAATCGCAACCGTAATTTAATATATATGATTAAACGTGACATTTTACGAGGGTGCGAAGTATTTCGCGATTGTTTCGAGTATATCGCGCTGAACTGCGCAATATTGTCCGACTCCGCGTGCCGTTTTCGAATTTATAGGGGGGAAAATGAATAATACATGTATAAATGCTGCGCGACGACGTTGGAATCGTATATTTATACACTTATTGTAACACCTAACGCGAGTAATAATAATACTAATACTGCAGCATAATTTGTATTGACATCAAATGCTTGGGCGCGAGTTAATGAAAATTAAAAAGAACAATAATAATTACTATACTTTTAGGATAAAATGTAAAAAATAAAAATAATACAAACGCGACAAACGTTCGAACTCGTAAAATAAACCAAATCGTATTTTCAATGTAACACGATCAATGCAAATCCCATGTTAATAACAATAATGTAAATTCGAATTTCCAAAAAAAAACAAAACCTAGGTATACTCATATTCGTCTACTCGACTGGATAAAATGTTTGTACTGCGAAACTTAACCAAGTTAAAAAAAAATTAACTTTTTATTTAGACTTTGAATTTGTTTGACTTGTAGCGTTAATGTCCGCCGTTTATAATGATCATACTTATACTAGTATATTGCGTTTACGGGTCTCGCGTTTCGAAATACTCACTTGTGATAAGCCCAGGTAAATGGACACGGTTTCTGATATGTATAGGAATCGGCCGTCGGCAGCCAACGCGAACGCGAAACCGTCCAAAGACTAAAAAAAAAAAAAAAATATAAAAAAAATTGTATTTTTACTTGACCATAAACAGTGGTATTACTTTAGGTATTATTTATTTCTTGTACGTGAACACTTACTTGAAGTATGTGCGTGCCTTGATGCTGTTCGAACAGTTCCAAGGCTACAGTGCTAGGAGATCTATTTCGAGCTGAGGCCCCTGAAACATACAAATATTATTATTAATCGTATATAAGTACATAATAATACAATATTGTCGCGGCGTTTTTGTGTATTTGTTCATTAAACGCGCGCGCAAATTCATATCGTTGTTATATCATTGTATCCCTCAAATATTAACCATCTTATATATATGTATATATGTACGCCGCACAGTCCTAATATGCCCCCTACATAAATACGTATTCGGTTTAATCAAAAAAAAGGAAGAAAAGTCCATCCTAATCCTCGACCGAGTAAACATTTTCCGTCCCCTAAGCTCCCTCGCGACTTTCATTTAGCAATGCTCGGTCGTTTACTCTGAACAAACAGTCGTCTCCGTCCGTACAGTTGTGTCGGTATTAATAGCACTGCACATCTCCCTTATTTATCAACCGGTATCATAATAATAATAATAATAATAATAATAATAATCGAGCGATTGGCTGTAATAATATTATACAGTTCTGCGTATATATCAAGTTCGTATATTTAGGAAACAAAATCACAAGCGATGAAATAATTGCGACGGACGTAAGAAGTAGGATGGCGTAATTACGTATGCAAAATAAGGTCTCTTTAAAAGTGGAGAACTTTTTCGCCAAAAAGACGAGACAAAGTTTAGGGAGTTCTTATCAAAAAAATCCTCGTAGAGCGTGAGTCGAAACTTGGACAGTTGGCTTAATTAAGGCCAAGAGAGCCAAAATTGATGTCTTTTTGGAATGTGCTACAGGAGAATAGCTCTGAAAATCTCACGGATAGAAAGGATAAAAAATTAGGAGGTTATTCGTAAAATAGACTGTTTGGAATCAATGTGACGTGGGACACGCTTAGGGAAAGGAGAAAGAGGTGAGTTGGACATTTTATGAGGAAGACCGCTTGGGCGATGGCAATAATCGAAGGAAAAATTGACGGAAAGACGGGATGGGGAGGACCAAGGACGTCGTTCGTATAAAGCAATACATATGGTGATGGGAGAAACCGAAACAAATACACATATGTAGCTTAAGAAAACTATACGCGATAAGGGAAAATTGATGGAATACTAAAAATTTAACCAATTACATAGGAATGAAAAAAAAATTTTTTTTTTAGACGCGTTGTACCCGTTGTGCGAAAACACCGTTGTAGAACGTTATTCTGAATCGTTTGGACGTTCAAACAATATTTCTGTGTTTCAAAAAAAAAGAAAGAAAAAAGAAACCTACATTGAAGACATCACGTAGTAAGTATACCTATATCGTATTCCAAAATACTAATATTGGCTAACACCACTACCACCGGGAACCATCATAAAGTATTGCTCTGCTGCTGTTGCTGCTGCTGCAGGAGAATCGTCCCTCGGGACGACTACATACTACACACATGTGTTCCTGGCGGTGTCAACAATTATTTATTGTTCTTTTTGGCCTGCAAGGGGAAAAATGCCCAACTTTTACGGAAAATACGCGCGCTATAATACGAGTGTAGTGCGTGTAAAATACGCAATAATATAATATTATATGAAATTAGTTTCGTAAATTACGAGTGCGTATACTTCTCGATATGAATTATGTATATATACATTTTTTTTCACAATATCATTGGTGTCTATTAGGATTTGCAAAAAAGCGGTACCGAAATTATGTCATTTTTTTAATATTATACGATTGTTCTGCAATGAAAATCCGTTTGATTATTTTAAAAACATAAAAATAAAAAGTACAAAGTTTCATTTGAGTCCAGGTTTGTAAAGTATTTAAGTAAAAGTATTCTAACATACCTTTTTAGTTTATTGAATTTACTAGGTACACGGTTTCATATGGTATTATATTAATTTAATACGGTATACGAGTGTACTATACATATTTAAAAAAATAATCCGTATGTTAATGAATCTACAACCATGCGATGTTACGGTTTTATTTGTGTTGTTTCCTGGGTCAAATTGGACTACGGTTAAAAAACACGACTGCACGTACAACTAATAATACTACTTCGCTCGGAACCGTTTTCTTCTTTGATATTATTTATCGGTATACACCTAAATCATCCTGTATATTAGTATACCTTTTCAACTGCCCACCAACTACAGTGGCCTACCCGTGACCAGTATTACATTTTTTTTCTCAATATTATAACGCATAATATAATTCTATCTTTCAATTTTTATAACATTTAACTACGTTTAATAAAATACGAAAAATATAAATATAAATATATTTTACGGATACATGCAGTGGGCAATTTACTATACGATAAAAAATATCGGTTCACCGAACACGAGAAGTGTTGACCGCCATCGAACCGATGGAAATCAATGATCCGAAACCCTTCATCGCTCGGTTCTCGCTATTTATTATTGTTAAATAAGTTTTTTGCAGTATCTTTTTATTCGATTTATTTTTTTTTTTGCGTTTGCTTCGCTATATACACGCACGCAAAAAAATGTATTTATACACACGTGTGCGGGGCGAGATGAGGGGCAAGGGGATGTGTGTGTACTAGCTGTGTACCTTTGTTATCCAAATTAACTTAAGTCGGTAACGCGCGTGTGTGTTTAACAAATCCCGTCCCCCTATTTTGCGGGTGGCTGATTGAAACCGCAAAAATATAAAAAAAAGAGTGTGAGAGAGAGAGAGAGAGAGAGAGAGTAAAGGGGAATGTTTAAAGCCTTCCCCTCGCCGTCGCCGTCACCGCTAACTCAGTTAGCTCCGCGAGGTTTATTCACGGGTCCCCGGCAATCAGTCGGGTAGTGTTTTAAACTCTTCTCACCCCGAAGTATTCCTCTTTGTGATGATAACAAGCCCCCGGGCGCTCTTAATTCGCTTTAAAGCGAAGTCGGCCGCGGATTTGTTTGACGAGTATATTATTATTATTATTATTATTATTGCATTGCCCACAAATTATAGTCATAATCAAATTTGACGGTTATTGAGATATTGTCAACACGGAATTATTATTCATTTTAAAAGCGTCCGGTGGAGCGGTGAATATGAATATCGCATTGCGACGCGCCAAATAATTAAATCTCGTGTATGCTCAAGACTAAACAAATTAGACATTACGGTTTTGTGTCAAAAAAAAATCACAATTTTCCTTAAAAGGCTGAAAATTTGATCACAAATATGCTGTATATTATTGAATTGTTGATGGTAGTTGAAATTTTTCTTCAATCGTTAGAGAATACATCCGATTCAATAGCTGTCCGTAGCTGAATAGATGTTTTTGATCGAATACCTATATTAACAATAGAAAATCGTCAATAAACTTCATTCCCTTTGTAGTTAATTAAAAACACGCTACAAAAATATTTGACACAGGTTTTCTTTTGAAACAACACATACCCCGCACCTTGGGTAGGACACTGTTCTAGGTGGAATAAATTGCAATCAGATTTTTTAATTTTTAAGAAAAACTGTCCAGAATCTAGAACAGTTTTTTTTTATAAAGTACTACCGGACGAAAATTCCGTTTCTTTCAAGATTATGGATGTGAAGAATTTGAATGTGAGCATTTCGTTTAATTATGTATCAAACAAGTTTTGCCCGAAAAAATCTAAGTGTGAATTATGAAAAACTTTAAACGAACAATTTTTTAAATAAAGTACCTACTATCTGAGCGGAAATTTCGCATATCAAAATCTAAGAATTTTTATTAGCCTAAAAAGTGTTTTCCGAGACAAAAACCATTCTTCGTAAAACTATAATATTACAGCTTCTTATCGGTACACTTAGAATCTAAAATTATTGAAAATAATCGCGACGAAATGTCATAAATCGTGTTTTTTACACTGCTGGAAGACCGGAAAAGTATCAGTATACAGAGAGGAAGGCGCGAACGTATTTTTATTTTCCAGTTTGTATACACTGCCCTGTACTTAGGCCGTACACAATGGTTTACTACGATGATGATGTCGATAGAATATTGTGTGTATTGAATTTTCGCTGGCGAGTGCTGGCGAGACTGTAATCAAAATAATTGCCGTGGCGGTTGATAGGTACAGGTATATAATACGGTTTAAATATTGATCGGATGATTGACCGTGGAGAGAGATGAGTTTGGCGGTCTATAGGTGGGTATATTATATGGACACAATAATAGGCATGCGCTCTCGAGTCTCGTGCTGATAACCGTGGAAAGAATTGTCATTTTTTGTCCAAGACACGAGTCACGAATTACTAGCTACCTACCTACCTAACTGTCGTCTCTTGTTCTTTTCGCTTCTTCGTCCTTGTCCCTCTATTTCGTTTTTCTATTTTGATTTTTCGATATTTTTTTTTTTCTTTTTCTTTTCTATACGCGACGATAGCTATCCGTCAGCAGCAGCTATTGTGCCACCGAACAAGAAAGCTCTGAATTACTATATAATATCATATTATACACATACCTGTACCTATAATACGTAAATAGCTCTAACCGAGTTTTCCATTGTCGTTGAAAAGCGTTCAACGATAAGTTTTCTCGTTTGTCTCCGGTACACCGAGTATATACAAAACACGAATATTCCAATATAATAGACAGTGTATAATAATAATAATAATACAGAGTATCGAATTTGGATCAATATATATTTCATAATTATTATTATTATTGCGTCGAGATTTACTTTGTAATATAACAGGTTTTTTTTATAGGACATGGATATAAAACAGAGTACGAACAATATTTTATTTTTATTTTTAAAATTATAAATTAGAACGGGTTTTTTTTTTTCAACGTTATTATCAATTTCGAATAGATTTTCCGATGGCAATCGAATCGGATAACCAGATTTGTAAAACATATAAAAAAAAAAAAAAACAAAACGCACAGATAGCAGATATCAGAGAGATTTTGGCATAGGATAATCTGACACTCAGTGCTTGAATAACATATATTTATATTCAGAAGAATAATAATTAATCCGTGTAATTTTGCTGAGAGTATAAATACCAATCAAATCTGTGACGTGATTATTGTACATAGACTATATGTTCTAACCCCGAGGAGAACCTAACAACTTACTGTTTATATTTTCACTTTCTAACGCATATACGATAGTATAATATGAAAAACAGTGTAGCCAATGACAGATCCAGACATTGATTTTCAGGAGGAATGACATAGTCATTTACAACAATGAAACTTGGTATGTATTTTATCACAATACAAGAAAAAAGTATACTGCGGTCTCTTCTGGGGCGGAGCAAAGAACCCTATTGAACTTTCTGGATCTGGATCTGCCCTACCGTTATATAGTCTAATCGCAAACTGTTATCGTTATTCTGCCAATAACGTAAGTCTATCAATTTGATACCCCGTTCGCGTGTCAGTTACGCGGGTAAAATGCTTAACCTCTTCCGTTTACTGTCGAAATTATGTTTTTGATAATCGCGGTACGGGTAACGTCATATACGGGCAACGCGATAACATTTTTATGATTAGGTATGTATAACCACCTAATATATTAAATGTAATTAGCGCGGAAATTCGCCATTAACGGAGAGTGTGACGATGACGTCGAACACGCGTTTTTTTTTATTTTTGGTTCTAGGTCACAGGACCGTCTTCTAAATATGAAACACGAGTACGATACAGATTAAACTCGGGTCACAGGTGAAGTTTGACAATTGTTTTTTAACACGCACAGAGCGTTATTTAATATAAAAATGTGCGTATGATTATTCTTGCATGTTCCCAATTAATTTCGTTTCACGTTCTCTCAGCAAAATGTTTACAATTACCCTGTGACAGACTTTGACGACGGGCAATTTGAAACGCAAACGCTCGGTGGCGAAAAAACCCGTATTTTCCGGCGTCCTCGAATGACTACAGCGCCGATTGCAACGTCGTCCGGCGGAAAAAAAAGCCGTTCGCGGGATTTCAGTCGCCGAAACAGTCGTATAAACACCTTTTACGCGTTTTTTAATCGGAAATCCGCGGGACAAGGATAAAAATAAAAACACCAATAGTCAACGTTTTGAATTACGAAAATCGTATGTTCACGGGCCAGTCGTCACGGGCACTTACGACGAGCCGTCGGCACGTGGACGGACAGACAATAATATTAGATGTGGACCGTGCAGCAGCATCAGTAGGTATCCCCATATATGACTTATGCCACGTGATTGCCCGTACAAATCGTTAAGACGCCGTCACAGTGGCATTTTCCGCTCCAGCATATTATGCGTTACGAACGGACAATGTAGAATGAACAACGCACTAGAGTGAGACACTCGTTGTGCCGGAGAACGTTGACTATTTTCGAAATTTGGTTTTTTTTAGAAAATTTATTAGGAAACAAGCAGCTCTAAAATGTCACGCAAACGTTATTTTCCGTCACCATTATTACTGGGGTTGAAACCGTTAACTGTCTTCGATCCGATAATCAAATCGCCATCGACAAACGGGATTTCAGTTTAAATACACGTTGGCGTTTTAAATTACCGTCAGTTCGCTGACGAGACATGCTACTTGATGTTCAAGTGTAAAAGACGCACCGGCACACAAATAATGATACTTCTCCACTATACTCTTAACCGCGAAACGATGAATGCAAAACTGGTATACCTCGGCACGGGTCGACGGAAATTAAAAATTAAATACCTTTAAATTTAACCGTCGTTTTTAAACCTTGGAATTAAATTGAGAAAACATACTCAACGATGATTTTTTTTTTTGTAGCCAATCAAAATGCGGTCGTTCATAAACCACAATATTTTAAATTCTAAGCGAAGAGAGAAACGTATTGGCGTTACAATGATATTTGTTAATTTTTTTTTTTTTATTTGTTAATAACTTCTATACCAGAAATTTCGTTTCGATTTTCAACCGAAGTACCTTTTCTGAAAAAAGTTTTCATGAAGGTATTGATAAGATGGTTATATTTTTTTTTTTTTTATTCTTCTAGCGGTTTTTATAATAATTGGGAAAAAACATATGAAAAATGTACGAAATTAATTATTTTTAATTTGTTTTTTCGTTGCGATTCATTATAGGTCGTAATTTGTTGCAGAAAAAAAAATTGAGTGTAATGTAGAATTATTTTTTTTATAAGAATTTTAATTTCAAAATTCGACAAAAATCGTATTACGGCCATTCAAAACACGTATGACCGGACTTCGTTCCGAATCGTTTTTTCGTTAGCAATGGTTTACCGTTGCGTAAATTCAGTTCCCCTCTATATCCTACCTTGCCAACTTCTCACCTACAATAGTGGTTTACTCATCGCGTGCGTCATATATATGTCCGTCTTTTTTTCTTTTTCTTTTTTTTTGTACATAATATTGTCCATAAGATAACTCGTAATCGGCCCATCGTTACTGATTTCACATAATATCATACCGCGTGCGTTAATAAGTTAAACGTCGCACATTTTCAGGAGGCGGTATACATTTTTTTGCGTGGGCGGGGGGGTGTGGAGGGAGTTACACCCGCCGGTCACCCCCTGAAAAAACACTGTTTTCAACATGTACAGGTTTATAGAAACACGGGCGGCCGACGAATTTCCCCGGGAACGCACTCCTCCTGCCGCGTGATGCGTCGACCGCGCGCGCCCGTATACCTGTACGGCGCAGAACCAACCTCCGTCACCCCCCCCCCCACCACTACCCCCAAACCGAAAAAAAAGCCACCCGCGGAGCGGCTTCGCGTTCGCGCCTCTTACGCATGCAAATTGCCGGTCGCGACAAAGTGTTCGTTTATAATGTACGCAAATTTCATTGTGTATACGTCGCGCTCGCCGTCGCGGGGTTATGCGCGCGTGTCGTGGGACGGGCGGACGCGGCTCCTTGTTAATCTAATAACGCCGCAGCCGCCGCCGTTAACCAAATCGTCCGCCACCCTCTTTTGCGCGTACGTTTAGCTAGTTAGATTCGTATTGTGCACACCCGGGGACTCACGGGGACGCGCAGCGTATACGCATATAATAATATATTATGATCGTACAGCGCTGTATTATTACGATTATTATCGTTATTACCGTTATTACCGCCGTCGTCGTCCGAGTCGATACCAATAATATTGCACAATACATTGGCCGCGTCGGCCCGGAGGCCCGATCGTCAAACGAACCGAAAAATATCGAAAACATTTTATAGTGCTCGCGTCGTTGAAAAATAAAATCTGTTTTTTTTTTTTTTGCAGTCGGAAAAAACAGTAGCCCCGCCAAATCCGGGCGCGTCCGCGGCGCCTGAACGTTACGTTTTAAAGGCGTCGCGAATAAATGTCGGCATGATGTTATTTATGGATGCGCTCGGCCGGTGTTCTCGATTGGACCCGTCGAAAAATAGGACGCGCGAAAAAATAACACCGCACGGTGTTATATTATAATGCTAACGGATAGAAACTCTGTCAGCCCCGGGCGGGTCCCGACGGACGTTCGCGATAACGCGGACAATAATTCGATAAACGGCGCGGTAAACGAATTTAGCTGACCGTTCACCGCGGCGCATTTAAACGCGCGAAATCGAATTACGCGCGGCGGCCGCGGTAACGTTTTGATTGACGTTCGCGAGGCGTGGGCGGCAGTGTGGTCATCGCCTCGTAAAAATTAAAGACGTGCCGCCCGGTGATCGAGTTAGGCAGTCGCGGCGGCGGCGGTCAGAACACGCGGTCGAAACGCGCGGCGTTTCCGAGCGCGCCCTGCGAGAGACTGAGCGTACGGGGTACGTATGTACAGGGTCTTCCGAATAACGGTTGCGCGACTCGAGAGTATTGCACCGCGGGCGGTATTGCGCGCCGGCTTTTACGCCGTCGAACGCCGCGGTCGAGATTCGCGGTGGCGTATTCTTTGTCCGTGCAGCCGAGACTTTGTTTGAGAATCAAGGCACCCGCCTATACGATGTATGTGTACGGTACGCGTGATGTACGGGATTTCGACGCACACACGGTAATACGGTAATTTTCAGGGGGGACAGAGTAGAGTTTTTCCCGAAAATACAGACAGGTTTTAGTCGACCTCAACAAACGGTTTCTAAAGGTTCTAACGTTTGTCGGGGGAGACATGTGCCACTTTACATTCCATATCAGACTTCCGCCGAAGCGAGCGTTAATTTAAATTATTCTCTAGCTTCTTGAAAATAAATTGTATACTTGACGGAACCGAGGACTTCTATTGAAAGATAATTTATGTTGTTTATAGTGTACTTTGTTAGTTGTTTTGCCGTTGTTGGTACGTTTTTAATTATAATTAGACTCGAGATTTGAGATCTCCCGAAATTAATCAACACGTACGACTTGTATAAGTTATGTTTTGTAAACAGTCTAACAGACTATAATATAATTAAAATAATCTAACATCCGCCGGTGTACCTATTCGTACTCGCCCAGCCGCGGTGAAATATTCAGGGGCCACGGCCTCTAAAAACGTCATGAATAATATGTTTAAATCTTTTGTATTGTCTAGCTGGAAATTTCGGTATCCAAACCGTTTGAAACGATAAATTGCGATTGTCGAAGACTATATTGCAAACGTTTTATACGTTTACCGAATTCAAAAGTAAATTGTATACTTTTATATTCGCTATTCGTGCATTACTATACGGTCTTCTGTCGTAACGATAATATCCGATTAAACGATTATTATTATTATTATTTTTTTTTTTTATTTTTTTTATTATTATTATTTACGGATATCAATAGTTATGGCTAACCGACTATACTATACATAATTGTCTTTCTGTAATGACAAGCCGAACGCATTGTTATGTGCGATGAAATTTATGTAAACTATTTGCACAAGGTACGTTAGTTATTAATTTTCAACATTCATATTGTTCGTGTGAAGTAGTATTTAGGGGTAATAACTGATAATTTAAAAAACCGAGACGAACACGTTATTATCTTCTCCTTGGGTTTTTTTTTTCTCTATAAAACAACGAATACGACCGAAAATTATAAGTTTGGTCCCTTTTTTTTTTTACAATTCCAAACAGCCCTTTAATTGAACTCCGGTCAAGCGTAAAAGTTATTTCTGTGTGTCTTCCTTATATATCCCGACCCCCGAATGCGTATTCGCGCACCCGGAAGAAACGGAAAAAAAAAATGCTTATTTTACAATACGATCGTCGTCGGTGCGGTTGAACGCGAATCCGTCAAATTAGTAGGATTGTCAAAAGCAACGTCCGTCGCCGACAAGCGCAGACATCGCGGATAAAAAAATAAACAGTAGCTATTAAAAAAACCGATTCGTACATATATACATTACTGTAATCCTCGTCTATGTTTTTGGACAAAATTTTAATACACGGATGGTGTATGGTATGATTAACATAAACCGTTTTGCGTGATTTGAAATATAAATTAATGCACGTGTAGTCTAGGAGAAACAGAAAATAAGGAAAAACGAGACAGTCGTCGGTACGTTAGGATAGTCGGGAAAGAAATAGGCTGCAAGTGAACGAGTGATTAGTGGTTAGATAAAAGGAGATGGTGAAAGATAGGGGCATGTTTAGAGCAAGGGAGAATGAGAGTAGCTGGCCGAAACATTTGCGCGGAATAAAGGAGAAAGAGTATTGGAGACGAAGCGAATAACGGGGAGCTATTTAAACGGTACACGAACGAAAGGATGTTTCGGAAGTTATCTCGTCGCACGTTGTTAACGCGTTGGGCGTATACAGACCGAGGGCGAGACGGAAAGATGTTGCGAAAATGACGCGACGAAAGTTTTCGAGAGATGTAGCGGATTGGGTGACGGATTTATGGACAGATGGAGATAATTATTGGACGATAATTGGTTGTGCGGCACATGATGCGGACGCGTAGAATGATCAACACGAACAGAGAGAAAAAACAGACGCGGTCGATTTAAAAACATTTCTTTTTTTAATTATTACCTTTGAGGTTTTTGGACGCGGACAGCGGCCCGTCCCGGGTCCATGGCGGATCGCCGTGACCCGAGAAATCCCTCAGTTTCAGGTACGATATCGTCAGCCGTATGATGGACGCTTTGTCCAGCTGCGACGTGATGGCGGCGGGCAACGGCAGCATTTTGGCCAGCTCGTAGAACTCGTAGTTCTCCTTGCCCCGCCGCGACCTGGCCGCGTCCCGACTTTTTTCTTTTCTCAGCTCCAGTATTCTGTAATTAAAAAAAAAAAAAAAAAACTTAAAAAACAAAACAAAAAAAACCAATCGCGTTATAAAAACTATCGAGTAAAAAATTATTATTGACCGCCGCAGCTGCAGGAAAGAATTGGAAAACAAAGAAATAAATGGGTATAGTATATATTGTATTCACGCGCAATACCGATTAATGAGAATTAACGATAAAAATTTTAAAGAGAATATAATATCGCCGCCGTCGTCGTCGTCCGGTAAAAAAATCGTCTCGTATAAAACGTACGTACGCAAGTACCTGTGCGATTGAAATGCACGGGCCGTCGACGGTTTGTAATTTTTTTTTTTTTTTTAATTATCGAACCGCACACACGCGTATTATTAGTCTCCGTCGACAGTGTTTATCGACAAACCGGACGAGTGTCCATTTACGGAAAACGGACGGACGAACCTCCGGGGCGAGCGTCGCATTCGAGTCACATACGTGGACGTACATCATATCGCACACGCCGTCGTCTCCGCCGTTCTCCGAATTTCAGACGGTATCAATTCGAATTTACCGGTTAACTAAGTATCGACTAATGCGGCGAACGAACTAACGCGTGCAAGATAACCGGGGCTCGGCTGTTCTGTAGCGCTTCGAGTAACCAAAATGCGCGGCTCTAACACACTATGACCACAAAAAAAAAAGAAAAAAAAACGTGAAAAATAGCAAAAAACGAAACGCGTTTACGTAAAAACCGTTTTAAATATACGCGATGAGAATTCGTAAATCAATGTAAACCGTTCGACGGGCCAACACGCCGGGGCTACTTAAAAATGAATTATAATGTGCGTGTTTTTCTTACGAATTCGCATGAATGACGGATTTTTTTTTTTAAATTTTTTTTTACAACGATGTGTGTTTAGTTCTTATGTATTTTTTTTCCCGTGAACAACTTTTCTACCGGAAATTTCGCTCCGATTTTCAAGTGTAGCGCTTTTTCTGAAAGGAAATTTTGATTTCCCCAGGGGGTTTCAGAATAAATCAATCGTTGCGCGCAGATATACATATTAAATGTCCTCTCTACCCACCCAACTTCTCACCTACAACAGTGGCCCAACCACCCTGCTAAGTATATCCGTTTTCTACTGTTTATAAAAATTACAAAATAAATCATTGTATTACGCATATAAGTAAAAAAAAAAAACACTAAAATTTATAACTCAACTATGCTAATAGGTAATATAAAAGTGAAGGATTCCAAAAAAAAAAAAAAGTCAATTTCCCATCGATAGATCCCGAGCTTTTTCTCGTAGCTCGGCTGAAATATATGCATTTCGGTATTTAATTACTTATATTTTCTTTGTACTTTTAACCCAATGGGGTTGAGGATACATTCCTCTTTTCCTGCGTACGCCGCTGCATGTGAGTAATGCACGGGCTCGTATAATCGCGGGGACGGGCGAGATAATTCGGAATCGGTTTACGAACACGGATACTTGTGCGACGGTTGATTTCGGTATCGCGGTAGAAGATAAAAATTATATCCAAGATTCAATACGAATTTAAGATGCTCGTAAATCGAAGACACCGTCCAACCCTGTGGAGTATGAATCGAAGGTTGCAGACGAGAGGCGCACGGGCACTTAAACAAATAATAATAACTATACTAACATAGGTATATAATATTATTAGAGAAAAAAAACTCATCTGACCTTCGCAAATTTCTCGGTTGCATAATAATTGTCGCGGAGTTTTTACGGTAACTGTATCTATTTTTTTTTTTTTATTAATCTTTTTTTAAGGACATTTCCAGTAGTTACTGTTCATTTTTTTTTTTTTTTAAACTCGTTTTTGTCAATTTAAACGTTTCGGATTACCATTTTTTTTTTTTTTTTTTAATAAAAAAAAAACAATTGGTATTATTTCCGTGTAAAACAAAAGTATTATTACACTCATATTACTATATACGAGTATGTACTTAGAATCGTTTAGAAATACGCGTTTTCTGTATTTGGAAAACGCGATTTACGGAACACTACGCGCAGCCGTTATTGGACTCCGTTCGTTTTTCAATATTTCGACATAAAAACCGGCGAATAAATAACGGTTTCGACTTGGAGGAGCAATTTTCGGGACATATCAAAAATACAAAATAAAAAAACTCATTGTTTCGTCATATATCCATCGTTTGTGGACGAAGCAAGATTTCTGGTAAAAAATTTGTTTACAGACAAAAAAAAAATAAACAAATATATCTTAGGAAAACCAAAACTAATCCCTCGCCGCGTTCAGAAACTAATATTAGGTTAGGTTAGGTTTAATACAAAGTTTTTGATTAGTTACGGTCGATTTTTTGTACAGGTGTCTGTCCCCCCCTACCATTCACACTAATTTTCGTCCAACGATCGTACCGCGCGGGTTATACTCAATCAAACAATCTGTGGAATCGAATGAATACAATTTTCAGTTACATGTTCCGCGGGACAACTGATTTTTCGACGACCGCGTGGAATACACGCGTAAACAATATGTTTAACAAACATCTAAACCAATTCTAAATAGAATTTAACGAGACCGGAGGATTTCGTCACGTCGCGTGTCATCCGCGTATTTCGTACGTATCCGTTTTTTACCTCTCCGAACGATATTTTTTAATCACACTGACCGTGTGCAATGGTAGACGCTGACGTTTTATATTTTATATGTAAACGCACGGCTGCAGATGCAGGTGGTGCGACACACAGACGATCTGAATACGATAGGACAGCCGATATTTATGAGCTATGCGCGGTGTCCGAAGATTATTGCGCTGACGGCTATACGGATTTTTTTTCATCATTATTTTATCATTCATATATTATTATATGTATAGGGTATTATTATTCTAACACGACCATTTTCGGTATTGCGAATCGTTATTAATAAATGGTATGGGTTGTGGTTTTTTTATTTATTTTTATTTTTTTTTTTTTTACGCACCGATCGTATCATTTTTCCCGCTAACAACCTGCTGCTACTGTGCGGGTCAGTAGAATAATAAATTTCCCGATTAGTACTTAGGTACTGTGGGTAAGGTACTGAATGTGTCGAGACTGTAGAGAGTGATGGACGAAAAAAAAAAATCCAGTCAACAAAAAAAAAAAAAAACATTAAAAAAAAAAAAATCTACAATATTATATTTATATAATAAAAACAATCATAACAAATAAATAATCGATAATATACGAGCGCGCACGATTGAAATGACGGTAATAAAAATTTATAAAAATGTTACGCACTTTATACACATACCTATATATTCACATCTCCGCAGCCGCAGCGTGCCGCTGCGCATTATTATATCCATAATATATAATACAATGATTTCGTCCGCGCAGACGCCGGTTAGGTTACGGGCCACGTTATATCGGACCCGATATTATTCGAAGGATTTAAATTAATAAGACTGTTTGTTTTCAAGGGGAAAACAATGTCCACACCGCGATATCCGCAGTCGATTTCCCCCGGGAGCGACTGGACCCGCCTCATCACCGCGCGCCCAAAATGAATTGCGTCCGACCCGTCCGTCCGTATATTACAGACGTAAACTGGCACGCCGTACGTTTAATCAAAAATACCTCGATGACGATATTATCCTCTTACCGGACCTCTTGCTCGAAAACGCCGGCGCGTATAGAATACAGCGAGTACCGACGAAAATCCTCCGACGCGTGATATTTGGACACAGGTATGAGAGTGTATAAACATAACGACGAACCGATTTTCGGCGCAATCGAAACGCGTATAGGCGATAGCGTTACCGGTGTGCGTTTGCAGAATACGTTACAACGGTTGAATGTTACGACGGTATTCACGGTCATTTTTTTTCACGGCCGAAGCACGCCGTACGAAAAGCGAACACGCGCGGGCAAACGTACTGCAGAAATCGAATCGAACTCCCGGAAGAAAGAAAGCTTTCGGCGGAAGGCCGGAAAAAAAATGACGACCGGACGGAATACGACCGCGAAATCTAAAGAAATCGAAAGTGATCGGAAAAAATGCGAGGAAAATATCCTAGGACCTTGGCGAGGCGGCGCCAGTAGTCACGGCTAAAATTATTACTCAGAGCCCGTGAGGCCACACGGCGATAATGACGACAAACGATCATTACGCTGGCTTCGCTGTTATTTTAAATTTTTCGCGTACGTTTTGTCACATTACGCCGTCTCTAGCATACGGGTTTAAGAATTAAAATAACGTCCGACGGTTACACACGCAATAGTTTTTGAAACCGTCGAGTACAACAATCGTTGATGGATACGATTTTCCGTGTAGGTTTTTAGGGTGTCGCAGCTTGCGGGGTCCGACGGAACCTTAGGGTTGTAACTTCTAACTGAGATATCGGCTCGAAATTACGCGTCATAATACGTTTATGCACGCGTTACTCATACCGGCTAATTCGACGGCGAATTTAAAAAAAAAATAAAAAACAAAACGTTAGACTGTTGATGAACTTGAAAAACAGTAGGAGGGAACTCTGCAGCAGTATAATTCGCACCCGACCGTCTCCGTCGTCGCTAATGATTCGCGTAGTTGCCCGGTAACGGAACGAATACGCGGACAAAATGACGCATTTAAATGTGACGATGTGTGCGCGCGCGTTGAGATTTGATCGAGCAACGCGCTGGACGCGAGATAATCGGGACAGGTCGACGGAAAATGACGCGTTAATTTCGTTGCAGTCGTCGTCGTCGCGGGAAACCCTCGTCCGCGCGTTTCAAAGGCAAACGAAGTTAAATCGGCCGCGTACACGCGAGGAGTCGGCGCACGTTGATTGGCGGCGGAGGAAAAAAAAATATAAAAACGTTAGCGGAGTTTCTGCGGAACGCGAGGGGTCGCAGCGCCGTGCGAGATAGGTGATGGTGAGATCTAAGTGTGTGCGTGCGTATATATATATATATATATATAGTATACGTTATATAGTGAGAAAATAGAAAAAGCGGAGAGGGAGAAAGAGAGAGAGAGAGAGAGAGAGAAAAAAAGAGGAATTATCAATGACAACGGTTTCCCCTTGGCGCGAACGCCAGCCACTTGTGTTCTCGTCTTCTCTTCTTTTACGGACCAAATTGACCAAATTGCCCGACCAGCGGCGGCGGCGGCGGCGGCGGCGAAGTTCCCGCGGGACCGTACGCGCACCACTCGGCACTTTGGACCCCGCGCCGCGCGCGCGTTTATTAGGTTACCGGTTCTCCTTCGGAAAACATTTTCGCTTTTATAGTCGGACTTATATCATATTATACAAGCGAGCGTGTGCGCACGCCCTGTATACACATATATATATTTGTAGTACGGCGCGTCAAAAAACATCAATTTTACTTCACGGTTCCCGCCGGCGCGTACGAATATCGAATGACCGCACCGGCAGCAGTCGCCCGCGGTGTATTCGAATAAGACATTGCCGTGTCGCCGCGCGGCGAAAAAACCGGCGGTAAGTACTCGACGGGAAACCGCACCGCCGTGTGTAGAAACCGTGTGTACGGGTCGTACGCCGTCGTCCTTTCCGCCGCTCGTCCCGTTTTTGCTTTCCGGACGGCTCGCGGAACAATCGGAACCGCGAAACGCCTACATCGCGTGTCCCGATAGCCACCGAACCCATACGTTCGTTACGCCGCGGCGTTTCCGGAGTCCGGTCCGCGCAGCTGATAACGGACAGTTCACTGGGCGATTTCACGGAACGGATAGACAATTGGCCGGCGCGCTGTTACGCTGTTACACGGGCGCGCCCGCAATTTCGCCTGTGCATTAAGTCCGAAAACGAATCCGGAGCCGACGATACTGCCGATCCCGGACGTACGATCACGCGCGGTCGAACGTTTTCGTTTTTTTTTTTTTCGTTTTGCCGAAACGGACCGGATTCGTATTAGTTTTGCAAACATACCCGCGTGTGCGCGCGCGAATATTTGCGAGATCGGTTTAGTGAGCGCGCGGCGGATACGGATAATGTTTCGAAACGAAACGTCGCGCGTCGTATGCGCGAATCACGCGACCCTAACACTCTGTTGGCGACGGGCAGAAAAAATGGACCGGCACACGGAGGCGGCGGAAAACCCTACGACCGGACGAAAACGCAGACGGTAAATTTAATAATCTCACCTAACTCATCGGTCGACACCCGTATCGCGTCGTATTTTCGTACGTCTCGCATCTACGCGCGGTAACCCCGGTCCCGTTCGCGATTACAGCGCCCCTACGTTTGTTCTCTGTCGCGAATACGATTATTAAAATCTGTCGACGGATGCACAATATTATATCGCGCCGAATCATCTGTTGAGTGTCGCAGCCCAGTGGAGTCTGTAAAACGAGGGGGAGAATCGCGCAGGCCCTTTTCAGCGAGGACTTTGTTTTACACGTTTTTAAGCACGCGAGTTAATATGTTTATTCCGTCACACTATGTATATATTTACATAATATAGTACTGTTTCGTTAATAAGTTTATTTCCATATCTCCCGATTGAACTTCGCATCGCATTAGCTATGCTATAACATACTGTCGGTTGCTTGCGCTTTTTTAGACAAAAAAAACACATCTCGGTAAAACTGTAATAACTTTTTCGCTCCGTTCAGGATCTAAAATAATATCGCAGCGAACGTAAATACGATTCGGTGACGTGTTCGTTGTTATGCCTTTTTTGTTCTATAAAAAAAAAAAATAATTTAAAATACGATCTCTGCGTCTTCGTCAAACGGGTCCGATATTATTGTTGTATCCGATTTTCAATGTATAATAACATACTATCACAAAACTACAGTTCGAAATCGAAATTAAAAAAAAAAAAAATCGCGTTTCTCTTGAATTGTGTTAGGTATAACTGCAGCGAATAATATTTTAGTGTGCAATTTAAAACAACATTATAATCGTTTCGATTTTATTTTTTCGAGTGTATGTGTAAGGACGTTATAATAATATTATCGTTATACAAATGGCTGTTGATCTCTTTTTATATTATCTATTAATAAAATAATAACATTCCGTTACGGACCACGTGAAACGTATTTATTTTTTTTTCGTTATAATACCTATATATTTTTCTCCGTTCGATTCTATTGTTTGTTCGTTTTTTTTTTATTTTTTTTTAGGACAGCACGAGAAAGACCGCGTTAATCCAGAACGGCTACCGGGTCTTGTCGCCTTTGACCCGGCTCCGAGAGCCGCTCCCGTGTTTGATTAATAATATAATAATCCATCATCAATCTCCTCCGAATAATAAAAACAGAGAGAGAGAGAGAGAGAGAGAGAGCGAGTGATACAAAAGGGATGGAAAAAAATATTCTCCTCTTTTCATTCACTAATATAGTATGGGTATAAATATTTATTTTTTTCTATTATTATTATTATTCGTAATAAATACTGCAACGCCCGAGCCGTAAATATAAGATCGTTTCGAGACAATTTCCTACGTGATTTTCGTATAACGCTCTCGCCGGAAATGCATTTTTCTCCCTTTCGCGTTTTTATGACGAGCAGCGGGCAGTAAAAGCCGGGCCGAAAAGGTCCATTACCTACAATTCATAAGAGACCTATGAAAACTGCCGGACATCTTCAAAAATCGAACCTCCCGCGGGACCGGGTTCGCGACTTTTATCAACCCCCTCCGCACGACCGCTGCGTACACCTCCTACCCCCGCTCCCTCCGTCACGGTATTTCCTGTCGCTCTGCATAACGTTTGACATATTCGTAATATACCGATAAATATAACAATACTATGCGATAATAAAATCATACAAATTTTACTTTAATCGTTTAACCTAACCTACCTCTATATCAGGTAATATTCACTTTTGTTGATGTCCATAAAAAAAAAAAAAAGAAAAAAACAACAACAACGTTATAATAGGAAACTTGCCGACTGTCGACTAACGTGTAGACACGTATTACTGTATTGACCGAGTACATTTTATGTAATAATCTATCGAAATGGGATATACCGTTAAACGCGCGTATACGTGTGCGTAAACGAATAAATACGTTTAAACGGATCGATTGGTGTTTCAAATTTTTTAATATATAAATTTAAAACAATTAAATACGACACTAAAACGCCGTTATCGAAACCTCGGTGTGGAGTGAATCACCGGTATACCGGAGTATTATTACACGTGATAATAGTTGAGAAAAAAATCAAAAAAAAAAAATAATCTCCGAGCGCCGCGCGATCGTTTACAATAATAATGTCGTTCGCGATAATTCGGTCGTAACGCGACGCGGCGGACGAAGACTGCCCCCCAATCCCCCCCCCCCCCACACACACACACACACACACACACGCGCGCGCGCGCGTACGCATAAATATTACAAAAGCCGAGAGACGAGTGGCGGCGGAGGGATACGGCGCGGCGTTGTTGTTATCGCGGCGGGGACGAGAAATCGCGTTGCACAAACGCCACGGCCGCTCGGCGAAAACGGGCCGGGGCGCGCGTCCCGCCGCACCGGGTCGGTGCCGCGTTAAGACACGGACGCCGCGGCCGTTTGAAAGTTCGCCGGGGCGAACGCGGCGCTGTCCGTCCCGTCGCCGTATACGCAATTTACAATTCGGTCCGTTCGCCGTCCGTGTCAAAACACTTTCGTTTCAACTTAAGTGCGTCCGGGTCCGGGTGAAATACCGCAGTCTGTATATTATTACCTATGTAATTTCGACTGGACAGTATTAAAACCCGACGGACCTCGGCACGGTCGCGGCGGCAGGTAGGCAACACTGTCGGGACATTACCTGCACCGTATAAACCGTGACGCCGCGATGACAAACGACAACGTGAAACGTATTATTGTCATCGGGCACGCGTTACGGATTTATTGGTCCGAGCATTCACTCGATCGAGAAATCGACTGTCACCGTCGGACGTAAATTCAACGCGACCACGGCAACGCGCCGATCAACACGGTCAGACAACGATATGGGTTATCGAAACCGGCGGCGGTGTCCCCGGAGGCAGGGTTTCGGGGCGTTTGGCCGCCCCTTTCCATTGTCAAATTCACAAAAAAAGCGTTGACAAATCGTTATTATTAATAAAATATTAAACATACAGTAGGTCAGGTTAGGTGCATGTTTGCATCACTGCTTGTCCGGCTGAGTGCAGATAATAATAAATTGTACCGCGCGAAAAAATTTATGTTTTTTTTTTTTTTTTTTTTCAATCCTTTTGGTAAGTCACGTCGAGGAGTCAAGCGGAAGGTCAGCGACAGAGAGCCACGGGAATATCTGCGAGACGGATCATTCGATTAGGATTACTGCTGCAGAAGAAAAAGAAACCGCTGAACGCGCCAGGTGAACATGAAATAATAATAAAACTGTCAAGTCGGGGACGTACACATTTTTTGTATTTTCTCGTTGTCACATAATGTGGAATTATATTTAACGATTAACGATTTCCAAGCTGATGACCGCGATTGCGGGCTGCGCGTAACCGTGTCGATAAAACGATAAACGTGGTCGTCTGTTACGCCGAAAACAAACGAATTCGGAAAGTGTCGCACCGCTGTGCGTCGGTGAGCCGCGCGATTCGGTTCCGATGGTCAGCGACAAGTCCGACCGGGTCTGCGCAAGAGCCGGCACGAGTCGTCCTAGCGGACGTCCGACCCGAAAACAATCCGTGGTCCGAGATGGGAGTTGGGAGGGGGGAGGGGGGTTGCCGGTGCAGCGGGACGAACCTCCTATACCGTTCGACCGTCTCGGGGGGGGGGGGGTCCGTTTAGCTCATCTCCGTAGCCAGTGTGGTTTCGGCCCCCTACCCACCCCCACCCCATCCGAGACGAAGGCCGGCGGGAAAAGCCGAACAAACGGCGGGCGGGAACGGCACTCGCGTCACGCAAAGTCGCGGGTACAGACGGCGGCGTGTACCGTTAATAAAAGACGCGGACGTGCGGAGTCATAATAACAATAATAATATTATCGTTTCGTGCGTTCGGCACGCGGCACAGCTGACGGCGGATACGGCCGCCATCACGTGCGTCCGCGTCACCCGCCGTCACGTATCGCACGCGCGCGTCGTGCTCAGACGGTCAGGTACGTGCAGCGGACGGCGACGCACCACCGGCGGCCGCGGCGAGACGCGCGTCCTCCCCCGGGGCGTCCGCGGCGACGACGGCGACCGCGGATCACGTCCCCGTGCGGTGTCCGCGCGCGACAATACTGACCCGCTTCTCGTCCGGACGTTTCCGTCGGATATTTGTTTATTCGCTTTTTCCCGCGCTTTTTCCCGTTTTTTCGACCGGCAAGCCCGACCGGCGGACGACTGCGGTGCAGCGGTCGTCTACAATACACCGCACCGATTCGAAATATTTTTCGCGATCTCGCGTCGGTTTTCGATTGCAATACCGGCGACGGTTCAATGCCGCGGACATTTTTGGTGTTTGAACGACAGAGTATCCACCACCCCCCCTCTCATTACGCCACTGATTGATTTTTAATTTTTCGTGTCGGAATATTTTCGACAAATTCGCGCATCGCGATAACTTAGGAAAAGTTTAGACAAACGGCACGGACGTTCACGCGACCTCCGTCTCGCCACGTTTCAACGTGATAAAACTCAGTGTTCGTGAATTCTTTCAAAACAAAATAAAACAACCGAAAAAACGTTCATTTCAGATCGCCAGAGAAAATATTGAATCATCCGCTGCACGTTTCAAAATAATAGCTTTACAGAGATCATATTAAGTGCTGCACATCGGAGTTTTCCGAACTTTTAGACGCCGTTCGAGTAAAACTTTCGATAGGTCGTGGACTACCTCGATTTCAAGGAGACTTTTAAATTCAGACGATGAATGATGTGTCGGTTTTACTACGGCGTGTGTTTTTTTTTTTTTTTGTTGTCTAACTGCTAACAAGTTTTCCACCAAAATATCAACTATTGACTCCAGAGGTCTTTTCTGGCGGAAATTTTTGTTTAGCCGAGAATGAGATACATTGGGGTTTCCTTTGGATTTTTATTGGATTATGAGAAAATTTAAATTCTTATTTCGTTGCGATTCATTGCAAAATAATTGCAGAGGCCCGACATCGTTACCATAAAATTACTATTTTGATATTTGCAGTATTTTCTAGACGTGTTACGATTTTCAACGGGTTTTGTAGGCATTCGAGTATTTGGCAAATTTGAGGACTTTTTTTTGGGGGAGGGGAAATCTTGCCAATAAACCCGAATGCTCGTGCCGCTTTTTTAACAGAACTTTACGTTGTCGCCTCGTGATGCCGACGAACTCGACTTTTGTCGCAGCTATTTCTTCTTTACCTATTTGTCGTGGCCGGCACAATATTCTCCCAATCGATATCGCCGTGTACGTGTTTGAATGTGGGACGGAGGGCGATGAGATTTTTTTTAAAACGAGGACCGCATACATAAAAATAATAACGATAAAGGCGTGTGCTTGGCGTCGGTACCCGTCGTTTGAAAAAGTTCAACGGAAAATGTTATTAAACATTTCGAACACGCGCGCACGTATTATAAAATATACTACGCATGTGACCGTCGACTGTTTGATCGATAAGCGATTTCGACGGTCGATTCGTCTCGTTGTGTATTGTCAGTCGTCGGTTCGTTCGGATTACGAAATATAATGTACGAAAAAAAGGCCCCTTCCTTTCCGTGGCAGCAAAGTCACTAGAGTCGAATTATGACTCTCGTTTTTGTACAATACAGTAATATATTCTCTGTAAGAATTACGAGAGCAGGTTTGGAAAGTCGAAACCCCTCCAAAAGTACGGCCTTGACAATACTAAAAAAATGCAATATATATCATCCACAAAACCGTGTCGCCTTAGTTAGATCCGGAGGTCCGACGGATTGTTGAAAGCTAAAAACAAACCTCCCGCGTAAAACACGGCTGAAATTCGTGTTGAAATTGAACCGAAAATTTTAACACTCCGATTCCACGTGTAAAAACATTTCTATTACCCCTGGGTTCGAGCTCGTCTGGAAAAAGATCACGAAATATATCGGACTGCCACGCGATTGTCTCTATTTTCGGGGAAAATTCGATAAAAAGTTATATTAAACGGTACAGTTATGTATTTTGTTTTATTTTTATTTTTTTATACGAGTAGGAGTTAAATATACGTACTGGCAAACGCGAACGCATTTTGATGTTTAATATTCGGTGGAAGAGAAAAAAAAAAAGCAAACATTTAAAAACAAAATACGTGCAGTTGACTACCTGCATCCATATTCCTATATAACATATAACATAAAAAAAATGAAATAAAATCTTTCCAACAAATTACAATTGTTTTAGTGTATAGGTAGGTATATATAAGAGAACGGGGAATAATAATCGTAAAAATGAACTTTACGGCGGCAGCGGGTATACATTTTTAATCAACCGTTCCAAAGTCGTTTGCGCCTTTTCCCTCTTTCCCCGGAGGACCGAGTTAAAATCGTCGTCGAGTTTTTCAAAGGGTGGCGCGCCAACGGTCCGCGGTCGACCGAGTTTCATAAAACTTATGTCGTTTCACGTTTCGACGCAATTGTTGTGTATAAATATTGTTAAGTTATAAAATTCGAAATTAGTATTGTTAAATCAAATGTTATGTGCGGTCAAAATACATTATACGATTTGCAGCGGAGACGGGTCGTCGTCGCATTATAATAATATTCGTACGGTGTGTAACAATCGCACAGCAGAAATGGAAACTCTGTAATATTTGTATTGTAATATACGCACTTTCCAATCGAGATATTTTAACGGTTCTATGCAAACGGTATGAGAAACGTTTTAAAACATGTATAGGGGTTTTATGAAGTTTTATTAGTAAATATTAATTGAAAAAAAAAAAAATCTGTAGAAATTTACTGTTACGTGATCGAAATAATGCGGTTTCCATGATGCGAAGATTTTTAATAATTTTGTTAAAAAATAAATTATTCGACCGGGTTATCAAAAAACGACGGTGACAATGACAAGTTTATATTATAGAAGATAAAATATTATTTACGTAGAACAACTTTTGTAGTAAAAAAGATTCGCTAAAATTAAATTTCATAATTTTCATTAAAAAAAAAAAAAAAAAAAAAAAAACGCGAAAAGAATTCATGAAAATGTGTTTGCGAGTCAAAAAAACAAATGTAGGTAATAATAATGCACGGAAAACGGCAAAACGAATTTCAGCGAGAAATATACCACTGCGGATATAATATGCAGTTTCTCTCCTTCTCTATACGCTGCAGGTAATGCCGGCTGACGGGTGATCGTATATACGTACTTATTATATCGTTAAAGACAAAAAAAAACAAAAAAACAATACGACTTGTAACGGCGATAGTAATAAGAAAAAGAGGGGGAGGGGAACAGGAGGGAATTTACGAGTGTTTTCCGCAGCCGCGCGGCCGTAAAAGTCGAAAATAAAGGCGCTCGGTCAGTGCGAAGCAACACGACTACGCGGCTCCCGAACTTCTATGAAGTCCCACAGGAATATTATATACGCGTCGGGCTTGCAGACGGAAATGAGTTGCTAAAATACGGACGATACCGATACGATCGTACAATCGTTTTCTCGCCGCGACTGTTGTTCTCGTTTGCGGGGTCGACGAAAGGTTTCGTATAATATAACGTCGCGCGCGGTAGGTGCGTATAATAGGCGGTACAATAAATAGCGATTCAGGAAATTAACAAATAAAAAGAAAGAGAAATAAAACCCCCGTATGAAAGAAATGGAAAATCACGGCTCCGCGGAGCTTTTTTTTCGAGCCTTACGTTATTTTACGCTTTGCCGCGGGAATCGGATAAAACGAAAATGCGCGTGTAGCAGTCCGCCCGCAGCCACCTCTCTCCGCGGACAAGTCCCGGCAAGCGAAACGACTCCGAAAACTGTTTGTGCGACAGGCCTAGAAATCTCGTCCACCGTTCGTTGTGCTGCGGGGTACGCAAACGCCCGGGCCAGATAACTCCGAGTTTCCCGAAAATCCGGCCTGGCGAAAAGTCGACGCGCACAAATGCTGCTCGTAGAGCGGGAAAAAATGTCGAAAAACCGGTCGCGGGGAGGCGGGTGTTTTATGACGACCGCGGCGTACGGTCGCGGTATAACGGTCGTTATAAAAAAAAAAAATTACAAAAAAACAAACGTTCGGATTCAACGAAAGGAATCTATCCGGAGGGGGGCGGGGGTGGTGAGAGCGGATGGGGGGGAAAACGACACAATACGTTATAATAGAATTTTTTTTTTTTTGTACAGGTGACGCGCGCACGACGCGGTAATATTGCGTACGGGCCCCGGGTGCGGTCGTGAATCTCCCGTCACCGGGCGCGAAATGCGCCGAGTCACGTCGTGCGACGCACGAACGGTAGCCGGGGTCCGGGGTCTCGGCGGCGTCGCGAGTGGTCGACGCCGACGGCGGACACCGTGAAACGCGCGCGCCACGTACGGCCGCACGTCACGCGGCCCGTCGGACGGGCGCCAACGAAAAGCGCGTGGCCGCCGTCCGGTGGCCACCCGCGTCCGAATCGACGTTGACGACGGGCGACCGTCGTGGTCGTCGTACCCCGCGCGATATGCGACGCGCCGTTTTCGATCGCGTGCGCGCGCGCGTATCACGCTGTCGTATAGCGCGAGTGCCGGCGCGCGACGCTCGGGGGTGAAGGGGCCGAGTGAAACATAAACGAAACGAAAAAACATCATCGGCAGAAGATTTGTCGATTCCCCGAGTCACCACCACGCATATTATCTTTGCCGCGCACTGAACAATTACGTCTCGGGGCTCGATTTCGGGGGTCTCTAAATGTCACGGGCCCGTGGCCCGTCGCCCGCCGTGCCGCCCTGTCGGCGCGCTACTGCTCAGCTGTGTGGGTGCGTACGTCGTACGGAAAAGCGGACGAGAATTCATTTTCGGCGTTCAAAATGAAAGTACTAGTTCTCCTTCGTTTTGACGTGACCGATGGTTGTTTAGAATGCGGTTTTTTTTTCCCGTGCGCGGGGCGATTCGGCGATGAACCCGAAAGGAAGAACGCCCTGACGAGGTTCGTGCGAAAGTTGGACAGGATTGAAAATTCCTCTCGTACGGAGGGATCTACATACGGGTAGCGATTGTTAATGATTGAATTTCAAATAGTATTTATTGCCATTCATCATACCACAAATATCCTGATCACCCCGAACTCGGATTTATTTTCGACAGACTATTTGCTGCGACTCGGCGTATCTGCAGCTATTCGGTTACAATTATTCGGTACGAACCATGTGAAACGGTCCGTTTCTCTGTCAATCGAGGTTCGTTCATTCGTCGGAATGGGAAAAAAATTCACGCCAAACTTCCCGTAAAGCTCATCAAGTTGTTCTTTTTTAGGATCCGTTAAAAATCGCAAACACGGAAAAACATAGTGTACACGTCTCGTAGAGAATCTACAAAAAAAGTAAACGTATTCAGGAGAAGTCCCAGAACCCTGCAGCGATATCAACTAAAATTATAGTCCCGGAACTTTTTTTTCCCGTACATTAGGGATTTTCAGTATCCAGATACAAAATATACTTTTGTAAAAAGTGTTGCAATACGAGATACTCGATTTAGTCGATACTTATATTGTAGCATGTAAGGTTTATTTGAATACTATGTAGATACAATATCGGTACACAGAAATTAAAAAAAAAAATAATTGCATTTTTCATATAGTATCTTAAAAATGCGATATAGTTATTTATTTGAAACATTTCCCCCTATTTTCCAGCAATCGCCTAAACATTTTGAATGCATTTTTTTTTTTAAACCACTAAGGAAATGACCTTGGTCACCCCTCCCCGTTTGGGAGCTTATTAGTTGTATAATTGAACCCAACAGTTTAAATGACGTAATGTAAAATTTGACGAAGAATACAAATCGAAATCAAAATCTGTGAAATATATTGCCTTAGTCAGCCATACAGGATTGTATAGCTCTTATACATGGCCCGTAACAATAACCATACGTAGTTGTCAAGTTCAGTACTTCTAAAACGTTTCTGTGGGAACAAAAAAATATAGGGCGGGTACTCTATAGGTTACAATTCATATTCCGTAGTACGTATACAATGATTATTAAAACTACACAAATAAATATACGCGTATTTAATATTTTATTGGATATTATCGATGTTTTTTTTTTTTATTTATAGAATTCGAGATATAGCGATTAAAAAAAAAAAATAGTTGTATATAGGCGGGTGTATCTCTAGGACTTAACGTTTTTCTACATGCAATTACCAAACTGTCAAATATCGAATAGGTTTCGGACGAGCCACAAAATTGCATATATTTATAGGATAACACACGCTTAATAAATTTGTATTTTATCGAATCCTGGAGCAAATTATACTATTTTAATATTATGTTCTCTTTGGTGAATCGCATGGATAGTATTCAGCGGCTCTCGACTTTCTGATGTATTTTATTTAATATGAATAATATTTTTAAATACCTATTTTATACATAGCGAAAACCTTCGAATTGACAATTTTGGTTTAAAATTTTAATTTCAAATAGTATTCCGAGTGGAACGCTAAACGTTATTTATATAAATACGAACGCTATTGGTTACGGTTTTGAGCTGTTCGCTTTATATCATTAGAAGGAATTTAATGGACACTATAACATTCGAAAAATTGCATTATGAATTCTTCATTTTTCATGTCTGCAAAATGCGCATAAATAAAAACATTTATTTTCCAAGGGAAAAAATATGCGAAATACACTTAAAAAAAAAAAAAAAACAACAACAACAAACAGTTTTAACGCGCCCTCACTGCAATCTTGATATTATAAAACAGTTTTAAAAGAAACTTTTTCCCTTCAAAAGGATATTACATCTTTAACCCGATAGTTTACGAAGTATAATAATAAGAAAAAACATTAATTAGACTTTGGGAAACACGACGAATACTATTACGACGTGCGATTTTAGAGGTTTTGTGAAACGTTTTATAAATTGCGTGTTTTATCAATGCAAAATCGTTTTCCGAAAACCGTGTTCAAATTTGATGAAATATTTGCAACAGAATATTGACAACAGTACTTTCGTGCTTATACGAGTATAAATAATGGTATTATTGTGTATTAAACCGGAACCGAAAATTCAAAAAACAAAAAAACATTGAATTTAGTTTATGATAATATGGTGATAAACTAAACGAACAACAGGGACATAGTTTTAGTGGGTCTGATTTTATTTTATCTTTTGAAAATTTATTCGACTTTGAATCAAAACTCTTGACTATGACTTTTAAAACTGCCGAGACTATGGTTTTCCTCGTGAGATTACCGAACAGACATTTAAAAGTCGGACAATTCGGGGCCTGTATAATATTATTATACACGGGCCAGCGGAGTTGCCGTAAATTGGCTTGAGAGCACACACAAAGTCGTCAAATATTAACCAAAACACAAACATTGAACACGCAAATATATTTCTCTTATGGCGCAGCGGGGTGCAGTAAGTGCGCGCGTCAACAATGATCCCGACAGTTGAGGATCGCAAAACGATCGAGACTCGAGAGCGCGCGCAACGTATCCGTAGCGTTTTCAAAAAGTCCTGAGCGTATGCGGCGCGTGTCGTGTGCACCGTACCCTACGGGGAACATCCCCCAACCCCCGCGTGTACGGCCGCACAGCGCGGGTTCTATGTTATCGGTTTGATGCGCGCGAGCGGAAATCGTCAAGTCGCTTCGACGTCCGGAAGGTACGTTATAATGTGTTTTGCGTATTAAAAAAACAAAAAAAAAAAACCAGAAAATCTCGTATCGCAGATCTTTATTATTGACGACTGCTGCATCGCCGCGAGGAAACGTGTCGTTAACGCCGGGACGCGTTGGCGGATTTCTATGGTGCGATTCAACCGGCGCGCCGGCAATGACGGACGGAGTAACGCACTCAATACCGCGTGACAATGCGCAACCCGTCCGGCGGACGGAACCCGCCCCGGACGCGGCCGTCGCGCGGCGCGCGATATCGAATCGGACGGCAGACGGCGGGTACGCGTGCGGACGAATATCGGAATGTCTGCGATTATCAATCGCGTCTGGTAATCGCGCACGTTACGCGCGCGCCCGTTCGCGTTGCCGTTGCGTTGCCGCGGCGCCGCAGCGGCGGACGGACGCCTTTATTTTAGAAATCGCGGCCCGGCGGCCGCCGCTTTCGAGAATCTAATGACGTCGCGCGTGTTGTAGTCGTTATCCGCAGTTTTCGAATAAGTGATACGAAAACGAAATATTTCTACGCGCGCCAATAATCCCGCGAACCGTTTTTGTGCGTTCCGGACGCGTGCCGCGGGACAAGGTCGCGCCGATAATTTTTTTTTTTTTTTTACTACAAGTTCTTACAAGTCTTACGTGTATATGTATATATATATAAAAAAAAAAAAAACAAAAACAAAAACTAAATCCAAATGTCAAAGTCAATTTTAAAATATAAATGATTTTGTGCGACTACACAATAAGTTTGGTAACAAATTCACGGGAAAATGAAGGGTGTGTAAAAAAAGGTCGAAAGTTAAATTTGCAACGATATAACTTTGATACGAATAACTTGCGATTTATACCGTCATGAATTTTGTTTGAGAATTCAAAAATTTGCTCACCTAACGAAAATTCGACCGCGATTTTTTATGTCAAAAAAAAAAAAAAAAATTAGCAAATAACAAAAATGCTCTTCTGTACAAACAAAAGGATAAGTGTTTTTTTTATCATCCGTGCTCTGTGATTATATAGAAAAACCCGGAAATAGAAAAAAGAAAAGTTCAATTGTCAAGCGGCGAACCGAACCGTTTCGACGCCAAAAAAAAAAATCGAAACATGAAAAGTATACAAAAAAAAAACAGCGTGCACTGTCAGACCAAAAAAAAAAAAAAAAAAACTGACCCTGGTTCGACGAGCGGTTGGTTTTGTTTGGCGAACGGCATGCACAGGTCGGCGGGCACGAACCACGAGGGGCTGAAAGCCGCGGCGGCCGCGGCAGCGGCCACGGCGGGTCCGCCGCCGCCGGGCCCGCCGGTCCCGTGGTGATGGTGGCCCACGTTGGCAGCCGGGTGCCGTTGGAACGACGCGGACGCGTAGTCCATGGCCATCGCCTGGTACGGCAGCATCGCGTGCGGGTAAATCCTGCGGGGCGCGTTCGACCACGGAGACGGCGCGACGGTCTCAGTGGCGGCGACGCATCGCGGACTATTTTTTATTATTTTTTCGAGCGTGCGGTACGAGCGACGGTTAACGACGGCGCGGTATACGAGGCGGGCGGCGATTGTTGTCGGCCGGCGCGGCGACGGCGGCGGCGGCGACGAAACGGACGCGTAGGCGAATCCGTGCGGACGATAGCCGCGGCGCGGGTATCACGGGTGCGAAACGCGATCAAAAACCGACTGTACGGTCGTCGGCCGTCCGCACTGCCGTTATCATCACGCACGACACTGCAGTTTAATATTACGGCGCGCGATTACGACGCGGTCGCGGTGCGCGTATCGCAGGCGTACGCGGACGGGGCGCACGTACGTAAACACACGTACACGTATATATATTATGTCGGGCGCGCGTTTACGGTCGAGAAGGCCACGGCGGTGTGTGTGCGCGCACGGCGAGAGAGAAACACGTCCGGGACGGGCTGATCGCGGTCCGCACTGAGACGTCGACGGCGGCCGTCGCACGCGGACGCTGGGTGGCGGCGGCGGCGGTTGGGGGGGNNNNGGGGGGGGGGGGGGGGGGGGTTCGACGACGACGACAACTACTGAGACGCTGCAGACGGCGGCGGCAGTGACACCGCGGAGCGCGCGCTCTTCGCCCGCCGGGACACGCCCAGGCACGTACTCGATTGGTCGTCCGTACGCTCCACCCACGTGCCACTCTGCGTGCACGGTGTTACACGCGCGCCGCGCGCAAACCTCGTCGCCGCCGCTTACCTGTTACTATTTTTGTCACACCGTATCGTATACCTATACACGCGGCGTACGCACGTATACATATACACGCACGCTATACACTTACTGCCGTTTTACCGAACTATATTCATTAACGACGGAAACGGCCGTCACGCGCACCGCCGCGCGTCCCTGTCCCGTTCCGTCCGCCGATCCGGCAGCGCCGCCGGCGACGACGCCCCCCCCCATCCCCCCCCCCGAAAACCGCCCGACGCCCGCGAAAGGAATGACGGCGGCGCGCGTATAATATATTTATAATAATACGGTGTGCGCCTTGCCGCCGCCCCCCCACAACGACCCCCAGGACCCCCCTCCCCCGCCCTCCCCGAACCCGCGGCGGGATCTTGGGTTTCGCGAAACTCCGCCGCGCGATCAATTTTCTCCGGCCCGGCCGTTTCCGTTGCCGATTTCCCTAGCGTTGTCGTCGCGTCCGCGGCAGTTTAACGCGTACACCGCGAGACGGCCTTTTCCGGGTGTTTTTTTTTTTTTCTTTTTCTGCCGCGCATAGTACGCACGCGACACGTACGCGCGCCGCAGTTGTCGCCTTTTCCAACGACGAGGAAAATATAAATCCGTTTCCGAATTGTTACGGGGCCACGTGTGCGGCCGTGTCAATATCGGCTTAATGAAAATACGACGGCGCGTACGTTTCTTTGATTTTCGTTTTGTACTCTGCCAGCGGCGCGCAACCGTCGTGCCGTCTCCCCCCCCGAAGGGTAACGCAGTTTTTTTTGTTTTTCGCTTGTCGCCTACGATTCGTCACGGCGGCAATGCGGGTGTATACCTAATGTAATAGGTGACGCGCGTAATCATTTCGGAGAGTGAAAACGGGCGAGAAAAAAAAACAAACGGTCAGTTCGTCGACGGAACAACGTGGCCCGAAGCGGCGCCACATTCGGTGTCAATACCGTTGTTTTTGTTGTTATTGCTACAACGCGCGTTGGCCACCGCCACAGTCTGGGAAAAAGTTCCCGAACGTTTGTACGGGTCACGAGTCTAAAATGTTCCGTCGGCGAAAAAAAAAAAAAAAAAAAAGGCCGACTCAATGAACCTAATCGAATATTATACCGCGAACCGCCTAGCCCCCCCCCACCTCCCCGTCCGCGGTAGACGCACCGCGCGCCGCCGCCGTACGCCGCGTTTTACCGCTGTACTCCGCGATCACTCAAACGCCTCAACACGACAGACGTTACGCTACGGCCCCGTACAAAAAACACGAGCGTCGTTACCGCGCGTTGCGTTGCGCGTGTTGCGAGTGGTACCGTGCGCAAGCCGCCGTGTTCGGGGTTCTTTTTCCGGCCGCCGTTTCGAGGTGATGTCATTATTGTCGCACGCGTACGCGACTCGCGAATCATAAATGGACCGACGATAATATCGTGCGCGAAGTGCGATGTTAATGTATTCTGCTATGAGCTGTACGGTCGTGGGTGGATGGGGGTGGGGGTTGAGGGGGGGGAGATGGTCTGAGGGATTTGACGATTTTCTCTGCGCACGCGTATTGCATTGGAGAACAGCCAAATCCCGCGGACACGCCCTGTGTAATAGTTGCGGTATGTATTCAATTTTAAATGAAATTACGGGTAGGCGCGTCACACGCGCGCAATGCGAAATAATATGTTTGATATAAAAAAAAAAAACATAAATATATATCGATTCTTCCGAGACCGACACTTATTCATACTGTTATACGGACCGAAAAATTACAAAAAAACAAAAAAAAAAAAAAATACACATTTACTCCAACAAATATCTCACAATGATGGCGGGGTTTTTTTTTTTTTTTTAATCATTAAAAATCATTGCGCGTTTAATGGTAATCCGTTCAATGCGGATACTCCTAGCTAATCGTGATCCTAGTTGTCCAATTCTAATAGTATAAAGGTGAAAGGAAGTCTGTCTGTTACGTTTTCACGCATAAGCCGCCGAATCGAATCTGAATAGAAGAAGATGGGAGACCTCGGAGGGTAAACATAGGCTGCATTTTGTCGCGAAAATGAAATTTGAAGCTGATAAATTAAGGTTTGAAACGTTTTTAGGTACGAAAATGTAATTGTTTTTGTTGAACTATGGACTAACTTAGTAACGCGGACGAAATAAAAAAAAAAAACAAATTTTAAACAAAAAAATGCTATAACAACTTAAAATAGAGAATCTATGTGGCTGTTTACTGCCGGTCTATTACTGGCTATTCAAATAGAACGGGCTACCTTGATAACATTATGGATGAAAAAAAAAACTATGCGCTGTACTGGGTGGGTAAGTGAAAAGTGGAAACACGTAAAACGTCATCTTTGAATTTCGGTGTTTGTTGGTACAGTAACAACATTGTACAGTATAAAAAAATGTATGTTCTCGTGATTTAGCGTTGTTATAGCGGAGTGACAACATTATACGGTAATAGATAAATCGCGTTCTCGTAATTTTAGCCTTATTATAGTGGATATAATATAGTTTAATCCCCGTGCGGGTGTCTATGGTAACACGGACGAAAGAATGTATAACATAATAGAATTCTGCAGGCGGATTACCCACTTTTCACCTTTTTTTTTTTTTGGAACATATCATTTTCTATAAAAAAAAAAAATAGTTTCCATAATATTTTCGGGAAATGAAGGGTTTTCCGAAAAAAAAAGTAAAATACAAAATTAGTTTAGGGATACTGCAATTAAAATATTTTACATTTTTTTCTTCTTCTATAAATAAGGACCGCCCTAATATACATATATATATATATATATATACAATGTACGTCGCTTATAAGACTCACTTTGGGACCAGCACAAAATGAGTGATGGCCGAATGAACCTTATATGCGGAGGGGAGAAAGCATAGAATGTATTCGGATATGACCGGACCATTCCAAGTGATTTTGTGTCTAATAAGCGGCGGCGTCTACTGCATTAATAAAAGGAAATTTTCTAATTTAATTAAAATAAAAATAAAAATATAAAGAAATAAAAATAAATATACAACAAGATGGAAACGTTAACATATTATAGGCACTTTAGTTATGATTTTGAACTCACACCGGGAATCGTTTTGAACCTGACCTGGTCTATAACCTAACCTTAATATCTAACCTATCAATCTTGCCTATAAGAGTTCAAATATCGAAAACATGATGGTGATTTGTATTGGGAAAAAAAAAAAATTGTAGACAAATATTATATAATATATTATGTTGGCTATAAATATGTCATTAAATTTAATATGTATGTTTACTGAGTTCAAGAATAAATGCACACGTGATAAAACGATAGAATCAAAACTTAACCTACATTTAAAACCTCTAATTTTTTTTTTTTTTCTCAAGAACTATGGTAAAATATCTACATATATACATACGTTTTCACTGTAATCGTCACAGTTCAATGTATATCATATTCACAAAACATTATTGGATCTATTTTGTTTACATATAGATAATAGCCAATTTATTTCAATAACCACCGCGAAACGTGTAAAGGTCATATCGGTTGTTGTTAACTGATTGGTAAAAAAAAAAAAACAATCATACGGTACGTTAGTTTTGCGGTACACAAATATACGACCTGCAATGGCACATATTTACATTATTATCATTATGTTATTCGAAATGATCACAATAATGTTTGATTACGATAATACAATGGAATCGCGTTTGGAATGTGAATATTTTTTTATTTTTTTTGAAAACGACGGTTGAATTTATTTCGGTGTACCTATAGTGCGTCCAGTAACGCCAAATGCCTCCGAAATCAGTGTCTATACAATCGAGTATAGACGCACTGCTGTTTAATAAGTTTTGTTTTGACGCCTTTGGTGGCGAACATTTTCGGTGTAGTTATGTTGTACCTTTTCCACCTCACTTGGGTGACACAGACTTTGTACAACCTGGGGCAGTATGGCGCGTCGCCACTATACTCTACATTATGATGTATAGGTGTAACATATATTATATGAAAATAGTCAAAGGCTATAAAATATGTGTTTCTGAGGATATTTCTGAGGTCCGGTCCGCCATTGTCATAATGTACATTATTTAGTAGAACGTTAGCGAAACAAAAACCATAGAACTTGCAAAAGTAAAGGTATACGGACGGAAATATCAGTAGATATACGCTACACGATAGAACCGGTTAACCATGTCACTTGGATCAAACGACAATTACAGACGATGTGAGATGCAAAACGGAAATCAAGAGAACTATTGGAATAACGAATAAGATTGCATTTTACGGTAGAAAAAAAAAACAGATCCTATCACCAGAGAAAATAAGCATTACATTCAAAAAAAGAATACAGAATATATACGTACATGGCATTACATACTCAGTGAAGACACGGACATACGAATAATGAAGATAGAAACGTATGAAATGTGGTACCGTATACAGGCGTATGTAAAAGATTAACCGAATGGATCAAATGATCTACATCAAGTACATTAATAAAGGATCGATCAAACGTAAATTATAGACACGTGAGGAACTGCTGGACATCAAATTTATAGACATTAAATGGAAAGCAGAGGACAAAGATGAATGGAGAATAGTCGTAGAGGAAATACCAGTTGGAAGACCGATAGCAGACCCAAAGAGAGAAGAGAATACCAGAAAATGTTTTGTTTTGTGTTTTTCTGGGAAAAATTCGATCCAACTGCAATATTATCAATTAAATTGAGTTTCTACCAAGGTCCAAATTATGTCAGCAAC